TAATATGAAACCTGGGGCTCTCTGCATGCAAAGCAGGCTCTCTCTTCCACTGACCTCCTTCCCATCAACAACCCCATCAGCGTAACAGATTTGGGGGCTTTGACACCAGGCTAAGAAGGGAGGGCAGGTGTGTGTGTGTGTGTGTGTGTGTGTGTGTGTGTTGAAGTTGCCCACCCAGTAATTCAAAATATCAGAAATGGCTGCTGAGCACCAAGCCTTTGTCAATTGACATTTTCTCTCTGGGAAGGGGCTTTTCCATCCTGTGCAGCAACCACACACTCCCCAGGCAACAAGATATTTTTCATCTTGACTTCTTTTCCACCCTCAAAGAGAGAAATCACTTCTATGTTGTTTTTGGAGGGGTGGGGCATCAGGTTCCATAGAAGATACAGATTGTATGGGATGTTATTTCTTCTGTATTTAAGGCAACTCCTTTCCATGACCTCTTTTGAGGAGTGTACTGGACTCACTTTCCTTGGAATGGGCCCCAGGCCAAGTTCCCTTAATCTCTTGCCTTTCAGCTCATACCTCTGGCAAGCAGGCGCTTTTAAGGTTACCTGGAGAGGAGGACAGCCCCAATGAGCTTAAGAGGCATGGCTGGCTTGCTGAAACAGGGACATGCCACACAACTCAATTTCGTTACACGTCCCCCACTTGCCCATTATATTTTACCTGTATATAATATAACGCCTATATATACAAGCATTTATAACCCACTCTTTAAGTGAAAAAGGTCCCAGGCTGGCCTACACATCAATTAAAAATAACAACTTCACAGCCCCTGGTTTCAGGCTCACGATCTACAAATATGTGACACATATTTGGGGAAAAGCTCAACCTGCTCTCCCGTTCCAACCTCTTTTAGCAGTCTTTACATCATTAAAATTTCCACGTGTTTTACAAAAACTGTAAAACTGTAAAAACAAACGAGCTGGCATAGACTATAAAAGCAGCAGTAACGACAATAGGTAATAGGACATCTATAGGACAATATTCTTATTATATTTATTTGTTGCTTACTACAAAAAATCATCTCAAAGCAACTTACCATTTAAAAGCACACACCAAAAAATATAACAAAAAATACGCATCCATTGTAACTGACAATCTGCACCTTTTCAATATGAATTGTTCCAGAATGCTTGGGTGATCAAGTAGGTTTCCCTGCTAGCCTTTCTCCTACTTTCTTCCTTCATTTTTTTTGGGTGTGTGAGAAGAGGCTCAGATGCAAAAGAAGGACTTCCGGGTTAGCGCGATCGGCGAATGGCGGAGTTCCTCCGACTGGAGGAACTAGCTCCGTGAAAACTGGGTCTTCCCGCCGCGGCGAAGGCGGGGACCCGCTAGAAATCCCAGGCGGAGGAAGCCTGGGAACGTGGGGTTCGGCAGGGCACCAGGAGCGCCCCCCCTACTCACCGGGAACCCCATTTTGGGGCGCCGGAGCGAAGTGGGGTGAGCAGCGCGGTGCTGCGAACTGATTGCTACTTTCACGGAGTGAAGCCGCACAGCCATTGCCGGAGAGCGCTGACTTTTTCCTGTGGACAATTGGATTTAAAACAAGTACCCGTGAGTAGAAACGGAAAATTGGATCAAGAAATATCTTAATTTGGCATCGAAGCGGGAAGGTTCAAAACAGGAAGTCCGCCTTCCGCTTTTTGTATATAGACTAAAGCAAAAACCTTGCAAGCTAAAGCCTGGAAAGTCATTAAAAAAGTCTAAATTTCCTTCATTTATAACTACTGAAACCCCCTTGGAAGTAGGAGGAAAGGGGGGGGACTTTGTTTAACCCCTGCAGGAGAGGGAGTGAAGAAAGATAAGTTTCCACCGTCTCTAACCTGGGAACGGGGTGTCAGAGACAGAAATAGTTGGAGAGGTTCATTGACTGTGAATGGAATACTTTGACAGATAGCTAAAGAAGAGAAATAAACTGATTCCAGTGTTGCCTTTTGCATTCTAAAGAAACAAAATATCTGAAAAATGAAAGTAATTTTCCCTTGTTGGACTTGCCTTAAAAAAAATGGATACAAATAGAAATTGTCTCCTCTAGAGGGAGCTTGTTAAATTGTTGCTGCAGTCTACTTGAGGACTCAACAGCTGTGAGATTAAGATCATGGGACCAGTCTTTTCTGACCTTGACTCAATATGAGCTGGGAGGAAGTTTGGGTGCTTGCTTTATGCAAGACAAGTGCCTTGCTGGAACAGATGCATGAGAAGATTGATTTGATGAATGAGAAAATGGACTTGATGACTGTTGTGGTTAATAACTGTTGACAAACAGGGAATATTGATACAGAAACCATTCAGGGACCAACTCATGAACCTGTACTGACTGGGCAAGTGCAGAAGATAATGGAGGAGGATGCGGTTGTACCTTAAATAATACAAATGGAGAGACCCGAGGCCCTACAGGAGCATAAGCCGCTGTCATTGAAGATTGAAGTTGGAGTGGGCCAGGGGGAGTCTGAAGCTGAGGAGGTTCTTAACTTTGGAGAGACCTTGAAATATGCTTTTAAATATTTTTTGGATTACATTGATGACTGTGGGGAGTGGGACTGTGGGGAATGGGCGGGTTTGATGAAGGGAGATGGAGACAATTTTGGGTTGGAATCCCCCAGAGACCTACTCCTCAATGAGAAAGGAAAGAAATTAAGAAAGAGACCAACAAGAGACAAGGAAAAGGGCAAGTATAAACAAGAAGAAGAAGATCTGCAGAAGGGACATGGAAGAGATTTAAGGGCCTCGGACATAAGATTACCAGGTTGATGGACTAGATGGAATGGACAGTAAGGACTGACATGACCCGAGACCAGGAATAAGAGACGTTGGATGAAGACTGGAAGAAAACTGATAAAGAAAAAAAAAATTTTCTAGGGAATTGGCCTAAAATTAATGAATATTAGGGAAAATGTTGGAATGAAACTATATGACTCTAGTAGAAATGATATCAGGAGTTATGTATAATCGAGTATTAAGCTTTAAGCTCTAAACTATTTTATGGTAAGATAAGGTTAAATAAACTAAGGTAATTTGAATAACAGTACATGGGGAAAAGATGGAAAGGATTTGTTGAGTTAATTAATAGGTTAAATTGTTAAGATAAATTATTTAATGAAAATTGAGAAAGATGGAAAGAATTTGCTGAAATAACTAATCAAATTAAAATACAAAAAGGGAGGTGTGAGGAGGTCAATGAAACAAGCAAATGGAAGATAAAGATATGTAATATGAGATTTGTGTTTTTCTTTTCTTTTCCTTTTGTATTTTTTTTTCTCTGCTGTATTGTTGCATTGCTTTTTGTGTTTTGCTTTTTTTCTTCCTTTTTATGTATTGTAGTGTTCTTTTTAATTTTTTTTCTTTTTTTCCTGTAATTCTGAAACATTTAATAAATATTATTTTTTTAAAAAACAGATGCAAAAGAAAGTGAGATACATCTATTTCAGGGATAAGGACTCCTTCAGGTTTCTCTATGTGGCCTGCAGGACTCTCCCCAAGCCACACCCCTTTGCCCTGGCCACACCCATAACCTTTGGCCACACCCCTCTCCCTATGCCACACCCCTCCCGTTCCTCTTTTGCAATCGCCTGCCTAGGGGTTAGGCTGTGTCCTCGAACTCTGACAACGCTTTTTGTTTGTTTTGCTTGCGTGGAAGGAGGCTAGAGAGGGGTGTGCCAGTATGTAAAGAAACGAGCCTGCTGTTCAAAGCATATAAAGAGCACCCGCTGCTCCGCCCGCTTTGGCTTCCAGCCCCGCCCACCGCTGGCATGTGGCCCCCGGTAGGTTGCCTGGAAGGGAATGTGGCCCGGATCTCTTACCTACCTGCTAAAAAAATATATTTAAAAAGTCAAATAAGAACCGCAGCCACCGGGCGACCTTAAGGCTGCTTGTAGAAACTCGCACCCCCCAATTGAGGGAAGCAGGAAGAGGTGGGCTAGTCACATGATGCCCCCTTTGCAAATCTGCTCTGTGTGACTGCAGGCAGGAGGGCTGATCGCGGAGGTTTCCACTCGGTGCTTCGTACAACACCCTCAAACGCGTGTCTGGACGACCAGGGCGACGGGAGCGTTTTGTGACGCCCCTCCTGCTGGATCTGACCCACGCGCGGCGCAATTGTCCCTGCTTGCTGCAGCTGCTCCTGCGCGCCTTTGGAACACGGGCGCGCCTTTTGCGCGCGGACAGGGGCGCGCGCGCGGTTGCAACAACAAAAAAACCAAAACCCCGAGCCGTGGCCCTTTAAGCTGCGTGTGTGGGGAGGAGACTGCCGAGAAGAAGAGAGGATATTGGGTATAGAGAGAGGGCATTTGTGTGTGCGTGCCGAGGAAAGACCTTTGGTTTGCAGTTTGGGGAAGGATCTCCCTTCCTCTTTACCTCTCCGCATGCAAGCCCGCCTTTGCAAGCCAAAGAGGCTCTTTAGATCTGCAGGTCGATCTCACCGTTGCAACATTTTCTTCTTATTAAGTGTCATTGCAATAAACCAGGATTTTGTGTGTGTGAGAGAGAGAGAGATCGCTACCGGGGCGTTGGGGAAGGCAAGGCTTACGCACCTCCTTTGTGGGTCTCCGGATTTTGGAAGCAGGTTTGCAAGGCAAGGCGGGGAGAGGAGGTCGATTTTGATGCTGTAAGCATCCAGCCCCCAACGTTGGGGATAATGCATTCTGGCGAGCCCACCTCCAGGTGCCTGTCTCCGTCTGTGCCGCTAAGGGGCGGTGTGGGGCGTGACAACCCTTCTGCGTATGGCTGGCTACGGTAGCATTCCGCAGACACTGACATTTCCCTTCCTGTTTGGAAGCAAGCCTTGCATTGTAAAACGAAGGATCTGAGGGACTGGCACCTTGAACTTGGCCTTGATTCCCCCCTCCCTCACCCACCCACCCCCTTTTCTCTCCCCCCCTTTTCTCTCTCTCTCTCTCTCTTTCCTCCCCTCCTTGGCAGATCTCCTCACACCCCCAACCTTCCCCTGTTCCCCCCTCCCCTTCCAACCTCCCCCAACACCCCTTCCTTCGTCCATGGCGGAGACAAAAATAATCTATCACATTGACGAAGAGGAGACCCCTTATCTGGTGAAATTGCCCGTCTCCCCGGAAAAAGTCACTTTGGCAGATTTTAAAAATGTCCTCAGCAACCGGCCGGTGCATAACTACAAATTTTTCTTCAAATCTATGGATCAGGATTTTGGGTAAGTTGGCATTCTGTTTTTATTTGGCGTTGAAAATTTTTTAAAAAAAAAAGGGGGGGGGAGGACGTTTGGAAACCCAGATCTGCCTTGCCACGTTCCTGTGTGTTTGCATGATTGCCTGAACGCGGCGTGACTTGTGCCTTTCTTAAAATGTGGCGAGCTTTCAAATCTGCTGGGGTTTGTGAAACAGCCCCCACTCGCCCCTATCACCAGGTTTACGCAAAGCTACTCTGAATCCACACCAGAGGCTTCCCTCTGCCGTTATACATGTCAACCTTTGTGGGGTCGGGGGGGGGGGAGAAGGGTGGTGTTTGGAAATGACATACATTAATATCACGGTTGTGAAAAAGGAGGGGGGGTGACATATTCCACCCTCCCCTTTGGGTGTCAAAGGAAAACTGGATCTGAAATTGTGGATTTCTTGCTTTCTGGTGGCTTTGATCAGATAAAGGGGACTCTCAGGGAAAGGGAAAGGCTCCCGATTTTACGTGGTTTACCATTCTGGAAGGGGTTGGTGAAGGTTTAAAGCCTGGAGGGGGATGGCTGCGGGGCGTCCGGATTTCCCGAAACGTGGGTCTCTGGGGAGAATCGGTGGGTCCGTGATGATCATGGCTAAAAGTTCTGGGAGCAAAAAAAAAGGGGTTGCCTCCAACTCGGACCCTCCTCAGAGTAGACCTATTGAAAGGAATGGGCCTAAAGTTGGCCATGTGCCGATCAGTTCCCATGGGTCTGCCGCTAAGCAGGAGCAGCACTGGATCCAACCCAAAAGGTGTGAGGGGCCTCCTTGCCTTACCTGCTCATAAAGGTGTTGCTTTCTGAAATCTGGGTTGCCAGTAGGGGTTTGTGTTTGGCTGTAGACTTCTGGGGTCAGTTGTTTTTTTAAGAAGATGCTAAGCCCCTCCACTGGGCATTTCCTGCTTACAAAGAGAGGTTCAGGGAGGCTGTGGGTGTCCCCTCTCCCAGATCTTTTGGAGTGGAAGGGGTGTGTGAATTTCTGTAGGTGCCGTTGGTGGGTGGGTCCTTTTTTCTTTCTTTTTTACTATTTCTGCCTTGGCAGTGCCCCAGAGATGAACAAATTGTAACCCAGGGAACGGCCACGGCTACTGCTTTGGCCTCAGAAGGTCCCTGGTTCAAATCCCAGTGGCACCCCCAGATAGAACTGGGAGAGGCTTCCTGCCTGAAACTCTGGGGAGATGCTGCCAGTCAGTGTAGACAATATTGAGCAAGGTGGACTAAAGGTCTGACTCAGTGCAAGACACCTTACTATGTTTTGGTGTGGGGGCATATCCCTTAAATTTTGCTTGCCAAGGAGAACTTGGAATGCCTATTCAATTCATTTTGGCTCTCTTGAGAGGTGGGGAGACTTCCATCAGGAAGCACTGGAGTGTCTTTCTATTTATTTATCCCCCCCCCCTTCCTGTTCATCCTCTCCCACTTGGGCAGCTGCAAGGCCTGGTATATGACGGTGGTCCTCCTTTAATGTTGGGGGGTCTCTGTGAAGTGGGCCTGATTGCCCTCTTTTGGGGTGGGGTAGGAGCAGGATATAGAATTGTAGAGTTGAAAGGGACCCTGAGAGTCATCTAGTCCAACCCACTGCAATGTAGCAATCTCTACTAAAGCATACCTTTAGAATCACAGAAGTAGTTTGCATTAGACCAATCCGTAAAAATGGAGACATTTCCAGGTGTGCTGGTGGTTGGGACTTCCTTATTGTTTCATTACTGACTGGTGTCAGGAGATGGAACAGAAGAGGGATGAAGAGTGTGCACAATTTGGGGGACCCGATAACCACTGGAATTGGTAATACAACAACAACAGGAGGTTGTTCCTCAGATAGGTAGAAAGAGGGACCATACTGCTTATGGTTTTTGAGAGGAGGGGGCGTATCGTCTTGTCTTGGGCCGAATTGATCACCCCACCCCCACCAGCAGTAGTGGACAAACGTATATAAATGTTAGCTGGCGAGAGCATGGCAGTCTGTGTTCCCCTGTCCAACGAAGGGGGTTAAAACAAGTGGTATTGTGGGTGCTGTGCCTTTTTGCGCCCCCACAATGCTTTGCTCTGGGTGGTGGGTTCCAAAATCTCCCTGCAGGAGGTTGAAGAGCTCTTTGCTTGTCTCTGGGCTGTGGAGAAAGTGGCCGAGGTATGTCCAGAGGGCAAAGGGCTCTGCCAATGCCTCCCTTGTTGTTTGTGCATCAGGAAGGGAATTAAAGAGCCCTTTGTGCTGTGTCTCAGCTTGGGAGAAATCGGGTGAGGTGCATAATAGTTCATGTGCGCGAGGTGTTGATCTTTGGAAACATCTGTCTCTTTTGCTTACTTATCTGTAGTCTAGGGACACCTGCTCTGGGTGGTTCTAAAATTGCACACTTTCTAGAAAAAGAGGCCTTTCCCTCTTTGAGGTGGGCAACTTGCATGTCTGAACGTTTCTGTATACATTTTTTTTAAAAGCCCCGCTCATAGGAAACTAGGCTAGGAAGGTTCTCCCTGATATGCCGGTCTTCTTGGGGCAGGGAATTATTATTATTGTTATTATTATTATTATTATTACTTTGCATCCAGGTGACTTCAGTCATGTGCAACCATGCCATCAATCTGGTCAGACTCTGTTGCCTGCACCGACCGGCAACAGCTCTCCGGGGCTTCGGACAGGGGTTATGCCCAGTGTTACCCAGAAATGCCGGGATTTGCACGCGAAGCAAGTGCTAAAACCACTGAGACAAGCCTTTTTCCTTAAGACATGAGAACATAGGAAGCTTCCTTATATTGAGTTAGGCTATTGGTCCATCTAGCTTGGTGTTGTCTACACTGACTAGCAGTGGCTCCCCAGGGTGTAATGTGGGGGGTCCCTCTCAGCCTTAATTGGAGATGACATTGAAACTTGATCCTGGCATCTTTTGCATGCAGTGCCGATGCTCTGCCACGGACCTATGGCCCTTCCCTGCATTTGGGGACTAGATGAACCTTTGAGCTGACACAGCGAGTCTCTCCTTATGTTTCTACGACGCAGACCTTTTTTAAAGAATAAAAATAGTAAGAAGCCCACCTTAAGGCCTCATGATGGCCCACACTCCCCCCCCCCCCCAGTCTCTCCACCTCCAAGATCTGTATTGTCTGGTTTGGCACACAACCACTTGTTGGCATTTAGATAATTAAAAAAGGAAGGAAAAAAACCACAGGCCTCATCATCTCCAGCTCTTTGGATGGCAACCATGAATCAGCATTTGAAATCTAATAATCTCTTGGTAACAAGCCTCCCCTCCCCTCCGTGTCGGACGGCTCGTACCTGTATCTATTTCCGGCACTGCGATCTTGGTGTTGTGTGTCGCCTGCAAAAAGGTCAGACGGAGCGGAGGGAAGCGGAATGATGCAAGAGAGCCCCATGGAAAACAGATTTGTTTTATTCTGAGTGTTTTCCTGGACAGAGCCCTCTCAAGGCAGGGCACGGCGACATAAACCCCAAAGCTGGAACAATTTAATGTTAGACTGCATACACACCATATGTTTAAAGTGCATTTACCCCCCCCCCATCAATAATCCTGGGAATTGTAGTTTAAGGGTGCTGGGAATTGTAGCTCCATGAGAGGTAAGCTATGTTTCCAGGTTTTGGCGGGGGCTGTTTTAAATTCATGGTGTGTATGTGGCTTTTTTTTAAAAAAAAAAGATTATTTTTTAAGATTTTTAAGATCCATAAGAATGTAAGACAAGCCGGCTGGATCAGGCCAAGGGCTCACTTACCCCAGCATTCTGTTCTCTCAGTGGCTAACCAGCTGCCTGTGGGAAACCCATCAGCAGAATTCAAAGGATAAGCAACAGCATTTAAAAATATGAATGAGCCAGCATAAAATAAAGACCATGAACGGCAGCATTAAAACAGTAGCATATTCAATATAATCACATCAGTTAAAATTCAGAACCCTCAAGTAGTTGCTGGAGCCCAGCTCCCCTCATCGTCTGTGACCATTGGCCATGCTGGCTGATGGGGGCTGGAGTCCAGCAACATCCCAAGGATCAGAGGTCCCTCAACCACTGCAGAAGCCAAGATATTCAGAACCTTTTTGTACACCAAAGGAGCCAACTGTGCATCCCTTGGGGGGGGGATTTCCACACAGTAGGGGCCACCACTGAGAAGGCCCTGACCCTAGAAGTGATGCCACCAGGCCAAGACTTTGGAGGCAGAGGTCCAGGTGCGCCCCTCAGCAGAATAGGCAGGAGGGGCCCCAAAAGCAACACAGCTTGAAGTAAGTGAAGTAATTCAGTTTACACCTGAAGAGCAAAGTGTGTGTTGCTAGGTGCTTCCAGGCTAGCTATCAAGTGGAAGGCAGGCTTCCACATTTATTTATTTTTTGATTGCCGTGGTAAGTGTGAGTTTTGCTTTCCTCCTAACCTTGGAGCTGTGAATCATTTCAGCAGTTGTGGAGGGGAGAGGAAGACTTGGATGCACAGTGGCCAAACCAGTTAAGCCCCCTTGTCCACTTCCTTCAGTCTTCAAATTCCTCACCCCATTTATCTATTTTATTTTATTTATTGCATTCGTTTCCCCCAAGGAGCTCAAGGTCGCATACATGGACCCTTTTCTCAATTTTTATCCTTACAATAACCTTGTAAGGTAGGCCAGGCTGAGATACAGCAACAGGCCCACAGACACCCACTGGCCGAGTGGGGGATTTGCACCCTGGTCTCCTAGGTCCTAGTCCCGCCTTCTAACCACTGCACCACACTGCCTTTCCCATGCGGAACTGTTGCAACCCAGAAGCATCCGGGAGCGTTAGATCCTCACACACAGCAGCTGCTTATCTTAATTTCCCCTTCCCTCTGGCAATTAAAGTTCCTTAACCCTGCTGACATCCAGCACCCGGGGGGATAGTGATGGTGTTAACCTGCATCAAGGAGACGGTTGCCTTGTTGATTGCCTTGCTTCTGTGCATCAGCTGGATTGCTCTGCTGTCATTATGGGTTCCTGCTCTTTGCTTGGGGTTAGGGACATTGCAAGCTGTCTTATGCCAAGTCATTTATCTGACTCAGCATCGTCTACACTGAACAGCAGTAGCTCTCCAGGGCTTCAGGCAAGGAATCTTCCCCAGCCCTTTCCTGCCTGAACAGCCATTGCCTGTCGGTGTTCACAATATTGAGCTCAGTGGTCCTATGTCTTACAGGAAGGGCCATGGCTGGGTGGTAGAGCATCTGCTTCCATGGAGAAGGCCCCAGGTTCAGGCTCCAGTATCCCCAGATAGGGGTGGGAACGTTCCCTAGCCTTAAGCCCTAAGCAGCTCCTGCCATCAGTGCAGACAATACTGAGCAAGATAGACCAGTGGTCTGATTAAGCAGAAGATCTGCCTGTGGTTGTTTCTATGACTGACAGCGAATCTCGGGCACCCCCTGCTTCCTGATCCTTTTAAGTGGAGATGTTGAGGATTGAACCTGGGACCTTCTGCATGCAAAACCAGGGCTCTACTGCTGAGCCACATCCCCTCTTCAGAGCCCCCAGTCTCCCCTGGCAGGGCTTGCCTAGGATTTGAATCCTAGGATTTGAATCTCCCTGCTGTGAGGCTCTTCCCTCCTAGCCCATGGGTAGGCAAACTAAAGCCCGTGGGCCGGATGCGGCCCAATCGCCTTCTCAATCCAGCCCACGGACTGTTCAGGAATCAGCGTGTTTTTACATGAGTAGAATGTGTGCTTTTATTTAAAATGCATCTCTGGGTTATTTGTGGGGCATAGGAATTCGTTCATCCCCCCCCCCCCCAAAAAAAGTCCGGCCCACCACATGGTCTGAGGGACGGTGGACCGGCCCACGACTGAAAAAGGTTGCTGACCCTTGTCCTAGACCAACAAGCCCCATGCCTTGTCTGGCGTGAAATCCCACCACCTTGGGAGAGCGGTTTTGAAATTCACAGTCCAGACCCAAAGGTTGTTTTCTAAGCTGCTTGCAGGGGCGGCCGTGGTGTTTTTGACTGCAGTTGTTTGGAAGGCTAGCAAAAGCCAGGATCTTGTGAAGGCTGTTAGATGGGAGCTTGTATCTCATTTGATGTGGTGGCGGTACAGATTTCAGGAGTCGCTCCCTTTCTCTCTCTCTCTCTCTCTCTCTCTCTCTCTCTCACACACACACACACACACACACACACATATGCCTTATCTGCAAGCAGAAACCTGGAAAGACAGACACCCTTAAATTTCTAATTAACGGCCGGATTATAGACCGTTGTTACAACTGACTTGGGAGCCACTGTAAAAAATTGGATTTACAGCTGGAACAGCCGTAGGCAGCTCTAGGTTGCTGATGACCTCCAGCTGCCTGGAGTCAGGCGAAGAGAGGCTGAATGTGCAAAGTGTCATTATCTTCCTGTACCAGAGTCTCCCTGATGGAATCTCAGGGGCCGTCTCCAGTGCTAGCCCTGCTCAGGGTAGGCCCATTGAAGTTAGTGGGCATGACCGACCTGGGCTCATCAATTTCAATGGGACTTAGCTGGATACAACCTGATTTATAATCGGAAGAGCCTTCCAGATCTGAGCCAAGCTCCATTTAGGCCAGTGTCCAAGAGAGGCCAACCAGTTGTTTCTAGGAAGACTACAATGCAGAACAGAATCATCATGGCTAGTAACCGTCAATAATAGCCTTATCCTCCAGGATTGTCTGGGCAGATCCTCTTGCCTATGTAGTTCAGCAGTCCCAGGTTCATTCCCTGGTATCTCTGGGTAGGAATGGAGAGCTGCTGCCAATTAGTGTACAGTGGTACCTCAGGTTACAGACTCCGCTAACCCAGAAATAGTACCTCAGGTTAAGAACTTTGCTTCAGGATGAGAACAGAAATCGTGCTCCGGCGGTGCGGCGGTAGTGGGAGGCCCCATTAGCTAAAGTGGTGCTTCAGGTTAAGAACAGTTTCAGGTTAAGAACGGACTTCCGGAACGAATTAAGTTCTTAATTCGAGGTACCACTGTAGCGGGAAGGCATTGATGACTGGTAACTGCTTGCTATTCAGCACATTCCCATCTGCTCAGGCAGGAACTGAGCAGAAGTGGAGTGCAGTGGCCTAGCTGATGGAAGTTAGGCAGCAAAGGAAACAGAAATCTGGGCTTTGTGGCTGGCTTGAAATACATCTGACTGAGAGTTCCTGCTGATTTTTGTTGTTTGCTGTGAGCTTCCTCCTGCTTAGTCTCAGTGTTGCCCCTTGTAGAACTCAGCAAGGAGGAAGAGGATAGGGACCAAACTAGAATAAGTCTGGCTTCCCATTGGCTCTGTCTCTGCCTATCATCGGCTGTGGCTCTGTCCACTGTTGGGTTTCTTGCCTTTTGCCCCACCAGCCGCTCACAGAATTAGGAAATTATAGAGTTGGAAGGAACCCCAAGAGTCATCTAGTCCAAGCCCCTGCGATGCAGGAATCTCAACACATGGTTCCTCATCCAATTTGAAACCACACCAGACCCTGCTTAGCTTTGTAAATGTGCTAGCTAGTGAGAGGACCTCTGCCTTTCTCACTGGCCTGCAATGTTTGGAAGCTGCTGGCACAGAGACATTTTGTGCATGTCTTTTCCCGCTAAAGAAAAGAAGCGCAGCGGACTTGAGTGTCCTGGAAAATATTTCTTAATATTTTTTTCTCTCTCCCTCCGCCCCACAACCGCCCCAGCCCGCCTTCTTCCTTGTAAGTGGTAATTAGATTCCCCATTGCAGCTTGAAATGTAAAATGCAGGCTTGCTGCAGACTCCCGTTCCTGGCTCTCTTACAAGGTGGCTGTGTAGGGCTGTAATTTGGCAAGTGGTTTCCAACTTGGCAAGCGGCCTTTCTGCCACTGAGCCAAAACAAGAAGGGGGTGGGGGTGGGAGTTTTGTGTCAGGGAAGCAAATGGTGGTGTTGACTCTCTCTTCCCGCAACACACTTTTTTTGCGGGTGGGGGGAACCGAGTCTTGCAGGGAGAGCAACCTGTCCGGATCTGACTTAGCAGTAATGCACATGTTGTCATAAGGGCACGGCCCTTTTCCTGGATCCTCCTGAAACAATAACCGAAAGACGTAATAAATAAACCCGCAGCTTGGGAATGAAATGTGCCGCTGAGTTTGCTCCCGGGCCGGAATAACAGAGGCAGAAAGAGAGTGGAGCGGCAGTCTGGAGCTTGGCCAGTATCTGGGCTCAGCACAGCGACTGCCCCGTGTCAGTTTCCTAAAATATATTTATGTATGTATTTCAGCGGAATATTTGGCCAGGACACCGTAGAACCAGCGTTGCAGAGCTGGCTGCTTGCGAACTGTCCTTGTTGCGGTTCTAAGCTCTGATCCGCTGGCAAAGATGGTGTAACAACGCGATTCTGTGCCTTGGCAGGTGGAAGGGGGTGGGGGGGAAGAATCCTGAGTAGCTGCAGTGGTGCAATCAGGTAGTTTTCAAACTCTGGACTTTGTGGGTTGCAGCCAACTAAGATTTACTCTGAGTGGACCCATTGAAAATCATGAACTTCTGTTAGTCCTGGCCGTTATTTAATTTATTTATTTCCAGGGTTTGTATCCCACTCTTCAGCCAAAAAGGCCTGCAGAGTGTCTTACGTACAGTCTGAAAAAGACCTTCCTTACAATCTTAAAAAACGTGACACACAAGGGAAAAGGGACAGGGAGGGAAGAGGAAAAGCAAAAGTCAGGCATCAGTTTCTAAACATGTGTTCCTATAATGAACAAAGGATGACACGGTTCAGGGGCAAAGAGGGGCCTGATGGAGCTGGGCCTCCAGCAGAGCTGAAGAAACCAGCCTTCTGCTTCCTGTCTTCCACTGAGGCAGCTTGGTGGAATGGTTGCCCCAGATGACTGTTGAGGGAGAGGAAGCCTGATGGGACTAGCCTGTCACAGCAGAGCTGATGGAGGGAGTTCTGCTTCCCAGCTCTCCCAGTGCTGGAATCAGTGGGCCTGCTCTGAGCGGGACTAGCATAATGGTCTTATTGGACTCCCTCTTCTTTCGATGGGTCAGAATTGCTTACTTCAAAATTGCTACTGGTGTGGGGAGGGGGCGCCCAGCTCATTCTGCAAAGTGGGGTCCCAGGCCTTTGCCCCATAATCGGGCACCCTTGGGCTGCTGTTGCTGTAGTCCTAGAAACCCCACCAGCGCCCACTGTCTTGAGGAGGGTGGCCACATGTTCGATGCTGTACATTTGAAGCCCATTCAACGCACATTTAAGCCACTTGCCTCCCCTCCTGGCAAAGAACCCTGGGAACTGTAGTTTGTTAAGTGTGCCAGGAATTGTAACCCTGTGAGGCTGGAACTACAGTTCCTGGGATTCTTTCGGGGGCTTTAAATTTGCATTGGGTGTTTTTTAAAAAAAGCCCTATACAGCCTAGGACTCTCGTACCTACAGTACCGCCTCTCCTGGTATGTCCCACGGAGGACCTTACGGTCTTCAAACAAAAACACCTTGGAGGTCCCGGGCCACAGGGAGGTTAGGCTGGCCTCAACCAGAGCCAGGGCTTTGTTGGTTGTGGCCCCAATCTGGTGGAACGCTCTGTCACAAGAGACTAGGGCCCTGCGGGACTTGCCATCTTTCCGCAGGGCCTGTAAGACAGAGCTGTTCCACCAGGCCTTTGGCCAAGGCACAGTCTGACCCCCTCCTTTGGTAATCCTCATAGAACTCTAGCCCAATGTTTGCCATTAATTTGATTCTGAATTGATTTTAGAATGAATTGATTTTAGAATGTATTTCAATTAATTGATTGTGATTTTATGTAAACTGTGTTACTTTTACTGTTGTTAGCCGCTCTGAGCCCGGCTTCGGCTGGGGAGGGCGGGATATAAATAAAAAATTATTATTATTATTATTTAGTGTGGATTTGCCCTTGCTGTACAGAAGACAGCTCTGTCTGACAGCTGTGTTTCCCCTCCGCTGTCAGAGTCAGTGTTCCTCTGGATACAGGTTGATGTGAGTCACAAGTTGTTGTTCAGGTTCTCCCTTTGGGTTTCCCACTAAGGCATCTGCTTGGCCCCCGTGAGAGCAGGATGCTGGACTGGATGGGCCTTTGGTCTGATCCAGCAGGCTCTTATCTTCTTAAGGACTGTCTAGTTCAGAAGTGGTCAACCTTTTTATACCTACTTCCCACTAATGCATCTTTCTGGATGGCAAAATTTCCTTACCGCCCACCCGTGCTTGATGGAAGGAGGATTCAGCTTGTGCCGTAGAACCCCCTAGCGCCCACCAAGAATCCTGAAACGCCCACTAGTGGGTGGTAGGGACCAGGTTGACAACCCCTGGTCTAGTTTAAAGATGGTTTGAAGTTGCCCATCAACAGTGAGTACCTGGACAACAGACGGAACAGGCACACAACCCACCTGTTCGCAGGCATCCCAACTGTGTTGAGATATATATTGTGTTCCTATTTAAATCAGAGTAGCTCTTTTTTTGCTTTTGCATCTGTACACCTCAGAGTTTGCAAATGTTACACAACACTGCCACCCTCTTTCTCTCTCATTAATTGGTCTGATTGTTATTTTTAAGTGTGTGTGCGTGTTCACTTCATATGTTGTGAGCCACTTCGGGCACAGTTTTATAGACAAGTGGCTTACAAATAATAAAATCGTAGAACTGCAGAGCTGGAAGGGAACCCCCCCCCCAACTCCCTGCAATGCAAAAATTGCAGCCAAAGCATCCCTGACAGATGGCCTTCTAACCTCTGTTTAAAAAGAACAGGTGATTATGATGTAACCTGGAAAGAGGGCAAGGCATGGCTGGCTGGCATCCTGAACAGGAGGGCTCCCCAGGGCAACAGTTTGTTGCAGGCACTACTTTTCTCCTTAAAACGCCCAGAGGGGGCTCAGAAAACTGGGACTGTTGTTTTGCAAGGCTTCAGAAAATAGAGGCTGTTCTTGGTAAACCGGGGCAGATGGAGCGAGTGCATACAAATGGGGATCGGGTGAGTTTTTGGAACTCCCCCACCCCAAGAACTGTGGGAGCTCTAGTTGTGATCTTGCAAAGCTACAGTTCCCAAGCACCCTTGACAAATGACAGACTTCCCAGGCTTCTCTGTGTATGTGAGTGGGGAGTCATGTTCTTTAAGTGGACGGTGTGTCTGCTGCCTGTGGCTAGCCTTCGCAAACCATTTCCAGTCGTTTCTCCTTTGCCGCCTCCCCAACAGCCCTGAGCAGGAACAATCTCTCTCGTGGTCTGGGTGCGGCACGTTCTTTTATTACCCGCGGATGCTATGAAAACACAGCCGGGGGATGCAGGGGACGGGGCCCTTTTCCTGTGGCTTTTGTGCTCGGGGGGGGGGGGAGAACAGCTAAGCAAAACAAATCAATCAGGGGGCTCTGATCTGTGCGGCCCTCCCCTCTGAGTGAGCTCCCAGGCAGCTCCGTGTGCAAAAAAGGTTGAACTCCAAGCATTGAAGAGGTCTGGGTGTGTATGGGGAAATATACAGTTTATTGTCTTTGATGCTCGTTCAGCTTTGAATCTGCACCTGATATGTGGACGTCTACTGGTATTCTACAGGGAATAGGATAGCTCAGTGGGTAGAGCATGAGACTCTTATTCCCAGGGTTGTGGGTTTGAGACCCATGTTGGGCAAAAGGGGGTTGGACTAGATGACCCTCGTGATCCCTTTCCAACTCTTAAGATTCTATGAATCAACCTTTATTCCGTCTCTGTGTTAGCGGTAGAGAACCTTCTGAGCAACCCTTGGGAGAGGGCATGGGTGGTGGACTCTCCTTCCTTGGAGGTTTGTACACAGAGGTTGGATGGCCCTGTGCCAGGGATTCTTTGGCTGTGTGATTCCTCCATTGCATGGGGTTGGACTAGATGACCCTCAGGGTCCCTTCCAACTCTACAGTTCTATGACTCTGTGGTTGGAGAGGTGCATCACAAAATTCAGACAAGAGCAGATCTTGAGGGTTAGCCGTGTCTCGGTTTGCATATCATTTCATTGCTCCCACTGAGTTCCCTGCAGTGAACAGAAGCTGGCTATATTGGAAGCTGACTTCTACTGAGACAGGTGACTTCTCCATCTTATCTCTGTTTCAGCAGCTCTCCAGGGTTTCAGGCAAGGGGAGTCTCCCCCAGCCTTACTTGGCGATGCTGAGAATTCAACCTGGGACCTTCTGCATACAAGACAGATGCTCTACCACTGAGCTGTGGCTCTTTCCTCTGACTCCCACCAGCCTCGGCTCATGTGGGATGATGCGAGTTGTCGTCCAACATTTGCAAGGCACCAACTCGGCTACTCCTGTGTTAGCGATAATGGCACTCAATTAATGGCTGCCACAAGATGTCTTGGGCGATTGTCTTGGGCAGCTTCAAAAGAGGGATCCGGCCAGTTCATTTAGTGGGGAGGACTAGTTTATCAGTGGCTATCGGCCATGACAGCCCGATGGAGCCTCTTTGTTCAGAAGCAGTTTCCCTGTGAATACTCTGTGGTGAAAAGCAATAATGAGGAGAGGGCTGTTGCCTCCGTGCCCTGCTTGGAGGCTTCTGGATTGGCCACTCTACAAAGTGGAATACTGAGCTTAGATAGGCCTTGGGTCTGATCCAAGAGGCCTGGAAATGAGCTTGGAATTGGGAACTTGGAAATGGGAGCATCTCTCTTGTGAACTCTCGGTAGCCTCTGGCATTCCCCAGGCAAGGGTGTGTGGATGGACCACCTAGCAGGCTCACATTTCGGAAAATATCCTAGTCAAGGAAGCATCTGTTGAGTATAATGCTTGAAACATCTGCCTTTGGGGAACTGATATATACCTCCCTGCCTCCAAGCACCCATCAGACACCTTTTCTTTTCCCATGTAATGAGGGCGGGGGAAAGAGATATTTCTTTCTCTCGTCTCTCTCCAGTGCTTGTAGGCTGACAGCAGGCAGAAGAGGTCAAGCACACCCTGTAGCTGTAGCTGAGAATCTGCACCCTGATTTCTCCGGAGGGAGGGAGAATCTTCATGTTCACACACCCCGTTCGTATTGGGCTTTTAGAATTGTACAACCGGGGTTGCAGCCAATGCTTTACGTGCTCAGCATAGTCCCATTCAAAGTAATGGGCCTAGGTTGGTCATGACCACTAATTTCAATGGATGCACCCCTTGGAAAGGATCTTAGAAGTCATTTAGCCTACCCCTCTTTACTCGATACAGGAAATCTACGTCTACAGCATCCCCGACAGATAGCTGTCCAGCCCCTGTTTAAATATCTCCAGTAAAAAATCCAGCGTAGTGACAAAACTGCTGGCATATTTGCAAAGCTAAGCAGGGTCCAGTCCAGTTTCCGATTGGATGGGGGACTGCATGTTGACATTCCTGCATTGCTGGGGGTTGGACTAAGGACCCTTGGGGTCCCTTCCAACTCTACAATTCTATGATCCTCAATATGTCTGTCCATGATGTGAGATGACTGGCAGGTGGTTTGCCCCGCCCACCCGCCAAACTCATCCCTTAGGTTTGGAGAAAGATAGTGCTCTGGCCAAAAAGGTTCCCAACCCCGATCTGGTGTGTCAGGAAGAAAGCTAGACTCAAACACTTCCCCCTAGCATGCTATATTTCTGTGTGCAGAGAGAACTGTGGGTTGTCTTCTTCCCCAGTAGAACACCCAAACAACCTTCCCTGCACATAGAAATCCAGCATGCTAGGGGGGCCAGTCAGAACTAGCCCGCAGAGCAGGGAAGAGGAACCAATGGCCTTTCAGATGTTGCTGAAGCACAGTTCTCATCAGCTTCAGCCACATCAGCAGCAGTCAGGGATGATGGGAGTTATAATCCCACAGCATCTGGAGGGTTACAGGGTTCCCATCCTTGCTATAGAGCAGTGTTTCCCAAACTTGGGTCTCCAGCTGTTTTTGGACTACAACTCCCATCAACCCTGACCATTGGTCCTGATAGCTAGGGATGATGGGAGTTGTAGTCGAAGAACAGCCAGAGGCCCAAGTTTGGGAAACACTTCTCCGGTCTACATTCCTGACTGCCTCTCCAACTCTGGGCCTCTGTCCACTTCCTGGTTCAGCTATCTAAGAGAGGAGACTACCTCCTAAGGAAACATGAAGTAGTAATTTAATTTAATTTAATTTAATTACAATCAATCAATCAATCAATCAATCAGATGTTCCGAAAAGGAATGTTGCAGAGCTTGGAAGGCCTTCGGAAAACAGCAACAAAAAATGATCAAGAGGTCGGATGTCTCCCTTAGGACGAAAAGCCACAACATTCGGGGCTCTTTAATTAAATTAATTAATTAACAAACATTTAATTAATTAGAGAAAATACATCGCTAAGGGAGACATGAGAAAAGTCATGATAAAATAATTCACATTGTTCAGGAAGTGGCTAGAGGAAAGTTTTCTCTCGTAACACTAGGACTCCTGGCCAACCAACGAAGCTGAATGTTGGAAGATTCAGGAAAGATAAAAGAGATGACTTTTACACGCAGTGTGCAAAGTTAAGTTTAGGATTCGCTCCTGCAGGAGAGGTAGCAATGGCCACCAGATTGGATGGCTTTAAAATAGGATTAGAGAAAATTCGTGGAGAAGAAGGCTTTCTGTAGCTACTGGCCGCAATGGCTATGTTCTGCCTCTGCTGTTGGCAACAGTATGCCAATTATTAGGAATGGCAGGTGGGAAGAGTGGCTGTTTCGCTCAGGCCAGGCTTGCGGTCTTCCCACAGGGACATCCAATTGAGAACAGGTTGAAGGGCCTATGGCCCAATCCAGCAGGGCTCTTGCAAGTAATAAAATGTGATTAGAATTCGAGCACCAAAGTATCTCCAAACATCTGAAAGGCTGAAGAGTGGGCAGACATGTTCTGATGCTTAGAGGCCTCAGGAGACCAATGGATCCTTTTGGCTCCGTTTGAGATCTCTGGTGGCCTCACCCAGCTGTCCAAACAAGGACCACTGCGACAGGGCTTCCTTCAGAATCTGGGCTAAAAGTCTGGAACGGTTGGTTGTCTTCTGACAACTGCCATTCAGCACCCTCCAGTTCTAAAGAGTTTTGTATTATATAGCATGCAAGAGAATCGATACGGATTGATTTTTCTTTTGGTGTGCGCAGTTGTCTGAGCATGCAATTTTCTGACTTGGGGGCGTGAGGAGGGTGTGTTTGCTGCCTTTCGCAGAGTTGGACCATGTTATATTTTTGAGATTGCAATGGATTTCTCCCCAGTCGCTTGCCTCTTCTGAAATGCAATTGAAATGTCTAGCTGTCCATCTTGGGGTGATCTCCCACCGCACCTTCATAGGAACATAGGAAACTGCCTTATACAGCGTCAGATTGGTCCATGTAGCAGCTTTCCAGGGTTTCAGACACGGGGCATTACTAACCCTACCTGGACATGTCTGGGATTAAACCTTGGACCTTCTGCATGTAAAGCAGATACTGTACCCCTGAGCTAAATCTCTCTCTCTCTCTCTCTCTCTCTCTCTCTCCCTCTCCTTTCGTCTTCTCAGCTTCCTGGAGTTCCTCACTTCAGAAATTATTTTTAAAAAACCTTGCCTCCTCCCCTCTTCCGCAGTTATGGATAAAGGCTCTTTGAAGAGAGAACAATTTTATTTCATCCTGCCTGTTTAAGTATGAAAAGGAATTCAAAGCTCCTCTCTTAGGTATGAGGGGAACTCCCCCTCCCCATGTCTTGTATCTGGGGATGGAGTTTTCCATGTGGGGATGTGTAGCTCACAACAGGAAAAGCAAGATGGGCCACGAGAAAACCTGTCTGAATAGGAAGGACTTAACCTGCATGCAAAAGGATAGCAAAGAGGAAGCCAATCTTGCCTTTCTTGAGAGGGAATTCCACAATCTGGGAGCAGCCACAGAAAAGGCTCTGTCTTGTGTCACCACCAACCATGCTTCCGGTGTTGGTGGAATCAAGAGAAGGTGCTCACCTGAGGATCTTAGTACATGGGCAGGTTTCTATAGAGCAGGCTTCCTCAACCTCAGCCCTCCAGATGTTTTTGGCCTAGAACTCCCATGATCCCTAGCTAGCAGGACCAGTGGTCAGGGATGATGGGAATTGTAGTCTCAGAACATCTGGAGGGCTGAAGTTGAGGAAGCCTGATATAGAGAGATAGGAATGTTAAGAGTTTTGTGTGAGAATCTGTGCCCTCCTATCAACTCAGATATTGACTTATATTCGCATAAATAGCTTATCTCAGTGTATGTGGCTCCTGTGCCACCATGTTGCATTTGAGGTCTTATTAAAAGAGGAGCGCAGACTTAACAACCCTGGAATCTGCCCCTCTCTTCAGGACCTGGGAAATCAGATGTTTCTCTCGGAGTCCAGATCTGGATGATTCAGTGGGCTCCTCAATGGATAATCCTGAGTCAAGGTCATTATTGGAGGAATTGCATTGGGCGAGCGGGCACACAAAAGAGGGTTTGGCCTGGTTCCCACTAAGATGTCAATAGCGGCTTGTATGCTAATGAATATTGGCTCTGTGTTGGCAGGGGTTGGGGAGGGACAGCGGCGTGGCCTTTGGCTCAGCTCTGTCTGTCTCCAGCATATTTTCATTGCACAAGGGTGTTCTGTTCTCAAGTGCGGGTACATCCACGCGTGTCTGCCCCTTAACAATTAATTGGAGGCGACAAGCTGGTGAGCAAATACAGGAGTGAAATGTTCATGGAAGGCCTACATCCTTGCCTTTGGTCACATGCTCAGAGGCCCTAGGGTGCTGGCCGACCGCTGAACTGGGTGGTTGTGTAAGGTAAAGCCACGGGAGACGGGAGTGGGATGAAGTATGCTGCAAAAGCGCGTGGGCAGCTTCCTAGCATCCTGAACAGGAACTCTCTGTACAGCAACATTTTGTTGCAGACCCCACTTTTGGTTGGCAGGAGCAGGGACCGTGCAATGGGAGCTTACCCCGTCGCGGGGATTCGAACCGCTGACCTTCTGATCGGCAAGTCCTAGGCTCTGTGGTTTAACCCACAGCACCACCCGCGTCAATAATAATAATAATAATAATAATAATAATAATAATGGGATTGTATCCATTGCTTGTTCTACTCAGAGAAGTTCATAGACGTGGCTAATTAAGGTTCATTAATTCCAATGGGTCTACTCCCATGATGATGATGAAATGCAGGAACCACCCCATGAAGTACAGATGATACAAATGAGTGTGACACAACGCATCGCATCCGGGATGGGAAGCCTTTGGCCCTCCAGATGTTGCTGAACTACAACTCCCATCAGCCCCAGCAAGCATGGTCGATGGCCTGAGGGTGGATAGTAATTCAGCAATATCTGGAGGGCCAAAAGGTCCCCACTCCCAGCATTATGAAAATAATCAGCTTTAGGCTGCCACCTTACCCTCACTTACCTGGGAGGAAGCTCCACTGAATTTCTTAGTAGCCTTGCTGGCTTTTGAGCAAATTGCTGCTTGCTGGCCACAACTAACCAGATTGCAGAGGAAATTAAAAAAGAGGAAAACCATTGAAAATCATTTGGGGGGGGGGGGAACAGACTGTAATGCCACCAGATAAATAAGGGAGTGAACTGTTGTGAACCCACCAAGTGACTGAAGGTGCTGCTGTCTTCACTTCCTGCAATAGAAGGAGGATGGTAATAGTGGCCCACCTTGCAGGTATGTTGTTAGGGTTAAGTGATTGATGGCCCAATCATATACATGCTTACCTAGGAGTAAGTCTCACTGTACTCTGCAGAGCTTACTTCTAAGGAAATGTACATAGGTTAGCGCTGTCAGAGCCCTTCTCACAATACTTAAAATACACGCTGCTTGTGAATAATATTTTGTGCATCTTATGTGATTGATTTTTATAGTGTGCTCTCTCCATGGTCCCCATGGATGGGAAGGCAGTATTTGGAACAAAATTAATGATTTACTTCACAGGCCAATATGGAAAGCCTGCAAGCAGGACCCGAGCGTAGGTGCAGTCTTCCCACTTGAGATTACCAGGTTTCCTTAATCCAGTGGTGGAGGGAGAACATAGCGATTGAGCCGTTTGTTTATTTACTGCATTTCTATCCCACATTTTTCTCCAAGGAGCTCAAAGTGGTGTATGGGGTTCTCCTTGTTTGACCCCTGCAACAACCCTGTGAAATGGGTCGGGCTGAGAAGGTCGCCCCAGTTAGCTCCGTGGCTGAGTGGGGATTTTAACCCCAGCTTCTCAGGTCCTAGTCCCGCACTCTAACCACTACACCACACTGGCCATTGATAACATTATCCTCTGTGTTCACTGCATCCGAGTGACATTGGAACTGGACCCCAGGCTCCCGCGTCCTCCTCTTCGGGGCATATGTAGGGCGATGGGAGTGTCGCACGGAATGCATTCCCTGTGTACCATGGTTAATTGGTTCCCCTTTGTCTCAACGCTCCTTTCGCCCTGCAGTAATTGTGGGGGTGGCCGAGGTGTTGTAAGATGCAGGCGCATAACACACTGTCTGCCAGTAAGCTCTGGTGCTCTTATCTCAGCTGGCTGGAGAAGGCTCCATTGTGTCATTTGCGCTGTTGAAACCCTGTTCAATGTGCGTCCCATGAGGAAGCGTGGGGCAGGGGCAACAGGAATCAGATGTGAGTGAGGTCACACAAACAGCGTTCTGAGCCTGTGACACTGTTGTTTAAGTTCCTCCTGTTGTGTGTGTGTCCCAGAAAGTTCCTTTCCATCCGGTTGGGTCTTGACACGTTTTAATGAGTCATGAATTTATTTTCGGTGTATGAAGAATTTCAGAGGTGTCGAAGACGGGGTTGGGTGGGGGAGACATTTAGAGTGCCACAGTTCCCCCCACCATCTTAAGGAACATGTAGTGGGTTGTTGTTTTAAAACATAAAGAGGGGCAAAAGCGACTGAAGAATGTTGGAACAAAGATCTCAATTGGATAAAGGAGAGTGTCTTTTGTGCCCGCAACCGATCGGCAGAGCCGGGATTGGTGAAGCTGACGAGCCTGTGACATAATTGATTTTGCCAGGCTTGGCAGGCTGATGGAAAGCGACTCCCGGTGACGGCTTTTAGGATCTGATTGGTTTTGACAGCCTTGAGTCAGTTGCTGCCACCCCAAATGAGGCACATCGCTCTGGATGGAAGCAGCTCTGGTTTCCCCTTCTCTTCCTCTCTGCATCAGGAGCACTCAGCCTTCAGTCCTCCTGTCTTGACCCCTTGCCAGCTTTGCAGTTTCCTGGATGAATCTTTTTGGTCGGCCTGTAATGAGGCTGCTCTGATTCATTGGGAAGTCATGCATCCTTGAGGCCGATTGGAAGCAGGGCTGGAAAAGCATTAACTAGGGGAGAAGCATTAATTAACATTAGCATTAATTATTACCATTCATTAACATCCCCTAGCATTAACTAGGGGAATTGACAAGTTTGTCTCTTCCCTGGTCAGCACAGGCCAAGCACGAGGTTGCTGGCTGGTTAGCTATCCTTGTCACCTCTGATGTCTTATCCCTAGTCTGTGACTCCAGGCTACTGGTAAAGGTAAAGGGACCCCTGACCATTAGGTCCAGTTGTGGCCGACTCTGGGGTTGCGGTGCTCATCTTGCTTTATTGGCCGAGGGAGCTGGCATACAGCTTCCGGGTCATGTGGCCAGCATGACTAAGCCACTTCTGGCGAACCGGAGCAGCGCACAGAAATGCCGTTTACCTTTCTGCCGGAGCAGTACCTATTTATCTACTTGCACTTTGACGTGCTTTCAAACTGCTAGGTTGGCAGGAGCAGGGACCGAGCAACGGGAGCTCACCCTGTTGTGGGGATTCGAACTGCCGAATTTCTGATTGGCAAGTCCTAGGCTCTGTGATTTAACCCGCAGTGCCACCCGCGTCCCTCCAGGCTACTGAGCCAACCTCAAAAGATCACAAACTTTGTAGGAACGGCTTCACACTCCCTGAAGTGGACAGTCCCAGTCAGACCAGAGGGCTGGATGTTCTGGTACTGGAGACTCTGCAAGTCACACCTTCATTGAGTGTTCTCCCCCCACGCTCCCGCTGGAATGCGTCCTTTAATTCTGATCATGCCTCTTCTTTGCCTGGATAGAGGATAGAGAGGGGTATGTGAGTGGGTGTAGAAACTGGCCTTCTGTACCAAGGTGAAATTTGCATTCCTTGCTCTGCCCACTTTTTCCCCTGGCCCTGCCCACCATGCCATGTGGCCCCCGGAAGACATCCCAGAAGGGAATGCGGCCCTTTGGTTGAAAAACCAATCTGTGTCTTCTCCAAGCTGCCAGCAAACTGATGCTATCTCTTTAGCAAGCCTTGGCATGCACTGAGAATCGGACAGCCTGTGTGCTCTTGAACCTGGGAAGGCCGATTTGGCTTTCAAGTGAGCACAAGGCAAATAAAATTCTGGCAATGGCTGTGTAAACAAAGCAGGGATGTTTGTTTTTTTAAAAACCCAGAAAGCCTTGAACATGTAGCATTCCAAGAGTCTGAAAGAGGCCCTATCTGCACTGTGCATTTAAAGCAGTATGATACCACATGGAACAGTCATGGCTTCCCCCAAAGGATCCTGGGAAGTGTAGTTTGCTGAGGGTGCTGAGAGTGGTTAGGAGACCCCCATTCCTCTTGCAGAGCTACAGCCTCCAGAGCAGTCCAACAATTAATTCATCTTCACAGGGAACTCTGGGGATAGCATACAAAATACAATAGCATATTAGCTCAAAGTGCTGGCAGGGAAAATGTACACCAAAATGTTAAAAATTAGAAGCTGAAGCAGACAGGTTCACCCACTGCCAAAATCTGTATCGAACTTCCTTGAAAGTCGCAAATGTTAATCGAGGGATGAGAGAGCTTCTGCAGCTTGGAGCTGAGGAGCTTGCCTTGTTTATCAGAAGATCTTGGGCCTGGAATGTGTGTTTGGGGTGTGCCAGGAGTGCAAGCAGATGGCAGCGCTGATTTAATGAGGGCACGGCCTTCCCTGCCGCAAGGAACTCGGGGAACTCTCAGGTGCTGCCTTCCTGCGCCGGTTTTGCATTAGGCAGCTACCAGGGGACACCTTAAACGACTCCTTCTCGAAGCAGACCTGCAGAGGCTCAAACCAAACAGCCCAGTAGAACGAGGCGAGTGAGCCAGATGCCTGTTGCCAGCTGGCTGTTAAGTGCCCCGCCTAGTACCTTTAGGGCTCCGCTGAATGCAAAGGACTGGCTGCGTGGTTCGTCCTTTATTTATTTATTTTTTAAAAAACTGTTACGGCACTGTGTTCTCAGGGCAATTAACAAGTTGGGCAATTCATTAAAGAGGGAGGGAGCCCGGCCAGCGGAAACAGGATTTGCGTTTTAAATTGTTTCAGGGCCAGACCGGCTTAGGAAAGCAAGGCGACGGAATATGTCGTGCCATAATAGCAGCACGTTTTGTTTTGTTTTTCGATAATATGCCACTGTGTACCAAAGCCCACTGTTTAGTCGTGTTTTGGCAGATTCAGTTGCTGGCTTCGGTAGGTGGCGCTGTGGTCTAAACCACTGAGCCTAGGGCTTGCCAATCAGAAGGTCAGCGGTTCGAATCCCCGCGATGTGGTGAGCTCCCGTTGCTCGGTTCCTTCTCCTGGCAACCTAGCAGCTCGAAAGCACGTCAAAGTGCAAGTAGATAAATAGGTACCGCTCTGGCGGGAAGGTAAACGGTGTTTCCGTGCGCTGCTCTGGTTTCACCAGAAGCGGCTTAGTCCTGCTGGCCACATGACCCGGAAGCTGTCTGCAGACAAACGCCGACTCCCTTGGCCAGTAAAGCGAGATGAGCGCCGCAACCCCAGAGTCGTTCGCGACTGGACTTAACTGTCAGGGGTCCTTTACCTTTACATTTACCTTTACCTTATAAGACCGTTGTAAGACTTCAGGTCACATCCACATAAGAAGAAGAGCAATGCTGGATCAGGCCAGTGGCGCATCCAGTCCAGTGTCTTGTTCTCACAGTGGCCGTCAAGATGCCCCTGGGAAGCCTGTAAGCAGGATCCCTCCTGCATTTTCCGAAAACTGGCATTCAGAAGTGTTGCTGTCTCCAATCACGGAAGCAGAGCATAGCTGTTGTGGCTAGCCATATCACACATTTAAAGCATATTTAAAGTACAGTGGTACCTCGGGTTAAGAACTTAATTCGTTCCGGAGGTCCGTTCTTAACCTGAATCTGTTCTTAACCTGAGGTACCACTTTAGCTAATGGGGCCTCCTGCTGCCGCCGCACGATTTCTGTTCTCATCCTGAAGCAAAGTTCTTAACCCGAGGTACTATTTCTGGCTTAGCAGAGTCTGTAACCTGAAGCGTCTATAACCTGAAGCGTCTGTAACCCGAGGTACTACTGTACATGGATCCCCCACCTCTGCAAACCTAGGAACTGTGGCATGTTAAGGGTTCCGGGAATGGTAGCTCTTGGAGGGGGGGTAAACTATAGTTCCCAGGATATTTGGGTGGAAGCTCCATACATTAAATGTGTTTTATATATACAGCATGGATGGTCTGTTGGTGAGAGCCCTTCAGCTCTCACTCCTCAATTTTCACCAAACTGCAGATGGCGATTAGGAGCCAAATATGGGTTAAAACAGCAGGGGCATTGCAGTGATGCTGTGCTTTCACCGCACACCAGAATGGTTTTCAACTGGTGCCAGCTCCTGCCACTGACTCAGCAAGCTTTGTTTGGGTTGGCCTCCGCGTGGACATGCGCACAAGGCAAGGCGATGTGTCACTGAGCACTTTCTCCCTCGCTCTTGCCAACGTGCACTGCGCCACTTGGTTCCAGAGCCTCATTTTTATTTAATTTTTTGGCACCCAGCCCCTGACAGCGCGAGCTGCAGGCAGAACCTCTTGCTCTGTGACTCATGGCTTCTTCTCAGAAAAAAGAAGAAGGTGGGGCTGCAGCTGCAGATGAGGCAGCAGCAAGACCAGTATCTTCCTCACCTGCATTTTGGAGGTGTGTCTCACCTCTCAGGACAATACTAAGTGCTTATAGTGAACTCCGTCTCCGTGTGTCTGAGAAATCGGTCAGTTGCTTGCTGCTCTCCTTGAAGGAGCAGGTGCGCAATCTGGCGATGCTTCTAGATCCAGCTCTATCACTTGGACGTCCAAGTAGCCTCAGTGGCTAGAAGCACCCTTTCCCAGCTGTTCCAGTCATGATCGCTGTCATTCAGGCATTGGTAACTTCTAGGAGGGACTTCCCTTGTGCTTGATCCAACAACAACAACAACAACAACAATAATAGTTTATTATTTATTCCCCACCCATCTGGCTGGGTTTCCCCAGCCACTCTGGGCAGTTTCCAACAAAATATTAAGGGTAAAGGGGACCCCTGACCATTAGGTCCAGTCGTGGCCGACTCTGGGGTTGCGGCGCTCCTCTCGCTTTATTGGCCGAGGGAGCTGGCATACAGCTTCCGGGTCATGTGGCCAGCGTGACTAAGCCACTTCTGGCGAACCAGAGCAGCGCACAGAAACAATGTTTACCTTCCCGCAAGAGCGGTACCTATTTATCTACTTGCACTTGACGTGCTTTCGAACTGCTAGGTTGGCAGGAGCAGGGACCGAGCAACGGGAGCTCACCCCGTTGCAGGGATTCGAACCGCTGACCTTCTGATCTGCAAGCCCTAGGCTCTGTGGTTTACACCGCAGCGCCACCCGTGTCCCTAACAAAATATTAAAATACGATAATTCATCCAATGTTAAAAACGTCCCTAAACAGGGCTGCCTTCAGGTGCCTTCTAAAAGTCGGATAGTTGTTTATTTCTTTGACATCTGATTGCAGCTAGTGCAGTATTCTGCAGTATGGTTGGTAACAAGAGGGAGATCTTCTTATCTTATAACACCTCTGCTCAGAGATCTTAACTGGCTGCCAATTTGTTGCCAAGACAAGTTTAAGGTGTTGCTGTTAGTATGTAAAGCCCTTAACAGCTTTGGACCAGTTTACAGCTGGGATCGCCTTACCCCATATGTGCCCGCATGAGACTGCTTTGATCTGTGGAACTGGCACTGTTACAGGTGCCATGTAAAGCATCCCGCACTTGTAAGAAATCAAACTCCTAGCATGGCAGCACGTACCCTTTGGAACTCCCTGCCTATGGACACCAGGGCAGCTGCCTTCGCTGTACTCTTTTCGGAAACCTGCTTAAAACATATTTATCTAAGCAAGCCTATCAAGACATGTAGAATGCTCATCCATTTTGGTCCAATAAGTTGCCACAAAGGATAATTTACTATTATTTGTTGCTGGAGAAATGTACACTTGATTGCTTTCAGTATTAATGTGACATGAGTGTGAAAATTCTTGAGGATTTTGTGCCCTTCCTTTCCCCACTCCCACAAAGCAGACTTGAGGTGGCCTACATTTCTTGCCTTTCTGCACTTGGTGCTGCAGCCGAGAGGCCTGGGAGTCGTTCTCTTGCGGAGGGCAACTTGATGGGTTGTGGTTTTCAAATGGAAAAAATGTATTTTGAGAGTGCTCCTTCCCGCCCCCCTCTGCCTGCCTTTTCTTTGCCTGGATAGCTCCGTTGGTTAGAGTGCAGTGCTGATAACACCAAGTTTGTGGGTTCAATCCCTGTATGGGACAGCTGCATCTTCCTGTATTGCAGGGGGGTTGGAGTACATGATTCTCAGAGTCCCTTCCAACTCAAATGATTCCTTACAGGACCTGCACACATGGGGTGCCCTTTCTCCTGTTCTGCCCCGAATCTTCCAACATTCTTCTAACAATCTACCTACAGGACTGCCTCTCCCGCTATGCCCCACGGAGGACCTTAAGGTCCATAAACAGCAACACCCTAGTGGTCCTGGGCCCTAAGGAAGTTAGATTAGCTTCAACCAGAGCCAGGGCCTTTTCAACACTGGCTCCGGCCTGGTGGAACGCTCTGCCTCATGAGACCAGGGCCCTGTAGGATCTGATTTCTTTCCGCAGGGCCTGTAAGACAGAGTTGTTCCACCTGGCCTTTGGCTTGGAGCCAATTTGATTCCCTCCCCCTCTTTCTTTTTCCTTTCTCCTCCTGTGATGAGGCTGCATTTTAATGTTTCAATATTTTAATGTTGTATTTTAATCTTGTTTTTAAGTTGTATTCATTCAACTTGTTTTTATTATTGCTTGTTAGCCGCCCTGAGCCTGGCCTTGGCTGGGGAGGGCGGGGTATAAATATAAACTATTATTATTATTATTATTATTATTCAGCTGCATTGAATGCCCCTGAGTTCTAGTGTTAGGAAAGAGGGAGAAAAACTTTTCTCTACCCACTTTCTCTAAGCCAGCCATGATGTTATAAACTTCTCTGATGTCACCTCTTGTTCACCTTTCCCCTAAACAGAAAAGTCCCAAATACTGCAGCCTTTCGTCATACAGGAGTTAACTCCTTGCAGGCCACTCTTGCAAAACATATGAGTGTGCCAGTCCATGGTGTGTGTGTGTGTGTGTGTGTGTGTGTGTGTTGGAAATGGCAAATCTAGGAGGACTTTTTCTGACAGAAGATCCAGATCAATCAGGTGTCGCCCCACTTACGCAGGGGTTGCATTCCTGCTCCCTTACTCTGCATACTAAGGGCTTCAACAGGTAAATGGAACCAAATACAGTGGTACCTCGGGTTAAGTACTTAATTCGTTCCAGAGGTCCGTTCTTAACTTGAAACTGTTCTTAACCTGAAGCACCACTTTAGCTAATGGGGCCTCCTGCTGCTGCCATGCTGCCGGAGAACGATTTCTGTTCTCATCCTGAAGCAAAGTTCTTAACCCAAGGTACTATTTCTGGGTTAGCAGAGTTTGTAACCTGAAGCGTATGTAACCCGAGGTACCACTGTACTGCAATACTTCCCATGGTCTTCCCTGTCAGTCCCAATGGGCACCAGATTCCACAGGGCACAGGCAGTTATAACTTAGTGTTCCTAGTGTCACAAATTCTTTTTTCAGATCTAGGGGTGGGTTTCATAGATCTGAGCGCTGTCATAAGCCAGGCGCAGGAATAGCGGGCCCAGGGAATGTGAGTTCCGGCATTCCGAAAGAAATCAGTCTGCCAGTGTCCGCAACGAACCAAGAGGGAAGCTATGGGAAGTTGGAGGAGCGTTCCTCTTCAGCCCAGAGGACTGGCCCTTTAAGGCTCCAAAGTACTTTCAAAGGGGTGGAGCCTGGAGGAGGTATAAGAGACCCCAGTCTGCTCCCAACCTCTGCCAGAGCAAGTGGAGCTCTCCATTAGCCTTGACGCTTTCCCTGTGAAGTCTGGCGTTGGGCCACAATGCAATAGCTCTCCCAGGCAAACTGTAAACTAACAAACCATAGAACAAATCTTAGTTACGGCTCATGGTTAGTTGAGAGAGAAAGCTAAACCGGGAGCAACACGCTAGGGCCTGGCTCAGTGTGGAGCAGCAGAACGACCAGGTAGGAGGAAAGCCAGAGTCATCTGTCCTGGAGCTCATGTGTTCGTGCTACACCATGGTTTGGTTTAGCATTCTGTGCAAACCATGGCCAGAAGAACAGGCTCCTTTGGAAGGTGATGGACTCCCCTTCGCAAGAGGTATCTAAGCAGAAACTGGGTAGCCCATCCCTCAGGGCTGCTGCAGTTGCAAGATTCTGGCGCTGAGTAATGGGTTAGACTAGATGAACCTGCAAGAGGGAAGGACTGTAACTCAGTGGCCAAGCATTTGCTTTGCTTTTCTCCCCCCCCCTTTTTTTAGTTTTTATTAAATATTACAAGAAAATAAGAAGAAAAAAGAAATAGAAACAAAAATCAATACATTACACTGTAAACACATTTGTCTACGTATTTTCCAACATACAGACTAGCAAAGAAGAGACAAAAGATAAAAGAAAAAAAATACTTTTCATATTCAATAGTACCAAATTTATACATCAAACATTACAATATGTAATGCATTTGTTTTTCATGCAGAAGGTCAAATCCCACTATCTCTGCCCGAAGCCCTGGAATGCCACTGCCGGTCATTGCAGAGTTGGATGAATATATTAGGCAATTTCCTATGTTCCTACAAGGTTTCTTTCCAACACCAGGATTCCGTGTACGGGGTGGAGAGGAAGCCGGCGTAAGCCACACCCACCCAGCTTAAACTGGCGCTGGCTTTTTCCTGTGCCAAAGGTCCCGACCAAATATCAGCTTATGTTTTGAACCAGCTCCTCCTCTTGTCTGGAATTTCTGCCCAACCCTCGTCCTCCAGAGGGAAATAAAACAAAACAACCTTGCTATTTTAAGAGTTGGATGTTCCGACAGCTTGTGCATAATTGCTCCCTGGAGAGAAGGAAAGCCAAGCCAGCTGTTCTAGGGGGGCTTGTGGGGGGGGGGCTGTGGTGCTCGCAGCCCCCTAGCAGTTGAAAGAACCTCCTGCCCAGAGTAGTTTTGTTTTCTGCTCTTGGAAACGAGAGAGAGAAATGGGCTGAGAGTGCTGGAGTTAAGCAGGCCTGAGAGACCAGGATTCATTGGTCCTGTGAGGTTGGCTGGATGACCTTGGGCCAGTTGCTTGTTTTCAATATAACCCGCCTTGCAAGGTTGCTGTGAGGTTAAAGTGTTTGTGTGTGTATGTGAAAGAGAGAGAGAGAGAGAGATGACGAATGGGGAGACTCTTGATTGCATTTAAAGCCAAACCTGCCTGATTTTCACTTCCTGAAACAAAATGTGAAGAAGAAGAAGAAGAAGAAGAAGAAGAAGAAGAGGAGGAGGAGGAGGAGGAGTAGTAGTAGTAGTAGTAGTAGTTTGGATTTGATATCCCGCCTTTCACTCCCCTTCAGGAGTCTCAAAGCGGCTAACAATCTCCTTTCCCTTCCTCCCCCACAACAAACACTCTGTGAGGTGAGTGGGGCTGAGAGACTTCAAAGAAGTGTGACTGGCCCAAGGTCACCCAGCAGCTGCATGTGGAGGAGCGGAGACGCGAACCCGGTTCCCCAGATTACGTGACTACCGCTCTTAACCACTACATTACACTGGCTCTCTTCCTCCCCTTCCATGTGAACCCAACTGCAGTCATCTTTCGAAACTCATGGTTCTCTGAATTTCTGCTGTGTGATTCGCCGGCCGAGCCATGTGCACAAAAATGCATATACTTGAGTAAAGTGTGCATGAAAATGCACATATTAACGGAAATAACACAAACAAATGCATTCGGATGAATTTGCTATGGAAAAATTGGTACGTTCGGGAAAAATTAGTGGGATTAAAATGAATATTTAATTGGGGGGTTTCTTGGTCAGCCATTCTAAGCCTGCTAATGGAAAGATGGGACATGATAGTATGTGATATTGCAGAGCCCCATAAGTGTGCATGTGTGTGCATGCATGCGCTCCATCTAAGCCAACCTAAGAAGTTTCAGCTTCACAGTGCAAACATGAGATGTGAAAACCTGCAGGGTGTCTGTTCACTGGGAATTGCAAGTGAGGAGAGTGGCTGTTGCGCTGGGGTAACTCTTTGGGCCACCGTGCGAACAGGATGCAGGACTTTGTGGGCCTCTAGGTGGCCTAATCTAGCAGCCAAGCTCTTCTTAATGTTCTTAGGACGTATCAGGATTAACGTTAGATAATGCCTGTGAAGGGCTTTGAACACTCGAGCGTTATGTGCATGTTCAGTTTGGTTAAGGAAGAACTGCTTTTCCTTGGTAACTTTTGGTAGCTCAGTGGAGGAGCAGGAGTGGACACCGTGGGTTTTTTTGGTACCACTTCCTGTCTTGTTGGCCACACTCAAGATTGCCCTTCCTTAGCATGGAATGTGCCAGCGCAAGATCAATAACGCCAGTTGTAACTTGAAGAGCTTGAAAGAATGGTTGCGGCAGATCTTTTATTTATGATGTGCCAAAGCATTTGATGTGAGGATATTCCGCTCTCTTTGGACCCCCTCCCCCTTTTCTTACAAGCGCTTGGCAGAATTTATATGTTAAAAGATGGTGCGTGTATGTATAGAGAGCCCCTCCAGATGCACACTTGGTTGTGCATTCATGGTGATTTGTCCTCATGATGCTGTTGGGGTGGTTATACATGATCCCACTTTCAGTACTGCAAACGCTTTGGGGCAAACATATTGTTTCCTTTCCAATGGCTGCATGTCCTGTAGCTTCTTGCTGAAATCCTGTAACTTTTATATGCTATCAATAATATTACAGGAGCGGGGGGAGGTTGTCCCGCTTTCATTGTACTATAGCACCAGAGTGGCAATATTGATGGCAATAATCTGCTAACATTGGGGAGGCATTGCAGAACAACTAATAGAGTGGAATTACATGTGGACAGTCCAGGACAAATCCACCACTAACACACTATCGGTGACATGCTGCAGAATCTACAGTAGCATCAAACAAAACCAGCATTCAGGAGATTGTGTGTATGGATGTGTATGCACACACACACACACACACCCCACACACATACATAGACTTCTTGCCCATGCGGCCATCAAGCTTTGGAGTTGGGTATTTGGTGTGGGTGCTGGGGGGTCACTGCGCCATTGCCTGGACAACCTCTGCCCACCTCTGCGGATTCAAAGTTGGATGGAAAGCTGACGTCACATCACACTTGCCAGAGGGCTGCATGTCACGTTCAGTGTGATGAGCATCTTGTCGATGCCTGCTCTGGATAAAGAGGAGTGTAGTCAAATCAGGTTCAGCGCCTAACTGCTGAAAACTGACTCTCTTGTTTGCTTGGTTGCCTGGCAGAAACCCTCACTCTCCACAGGCGAGTGGCAATTAGCCTGTCCAAATTTGCTACTTGCCACAGCCAACCTGTAAGAAAGGAGATAAGTACTGTTGAAAGAGATGACGATGATGCTGTACTAATTCGCTGCTCAATCTCTCTTCCCCACCCCACCCCATCTTAACCTGATTTGTTTTCCCCCAAGGCGACTCTTAAAAGGCTTCGAAAAAATAAAAACAGAGGGGGAGCAAACTCTCTTTAACTCGTTCTGCTGATTAAATTGCTGCCAGGAATGTGTGATGCAATAAAAAAAAAAGTGGAGCATTGAGAGCGGAGCTATCGAACTCAGTGTTTTAATAACTAACCACCCGAAGCATGTGTGAATCAGAGGCGCTGTTCAACTTCTAATGTGGTTTTGTTAATTCACCTAATATATATTCTGCTTGTGTGCTGGTGGGGCAAATAAACAACCGACACAACCTTGCAGTGTGAGCCCAGTACAGTCATACCTCATGTTATGCCTGCTTCACGTTACGTTCTTTCAGGTTACGTCCCACGGCGACCCGGAAGTACCGGAAAGGGTTGCTTCTGGGTTTCGCCGCATGTGCAGAAGCGCAAAATGACGTCACGCGCATGCGCAGAAGCGGCGTATTGCAACCCGTGTGTGTGCAGATGCGCCGCTGCGGGTTGCGCTCTTTTCATGTTGTAAATGGGCCTCCAGAACGGATCCCATTTGCAACCAGAGGTACCACTGTATTGTCTGCTCTAGCCGGTAGTGGCTCTGGAAGATCCCAGCTCAGGACCGAAGCACGACCTGCAGGACCTAAGCAGAACAACATTCTTCCCCTTCTGTGGTTCCATGCAGCTAGTATTCAGAATCATAATGCCTCTCTGTCCATGGAAGCAGAGCATATCCATCATCTTTTTCTTCTTTGGCGATCGCTCGTAGCAGAGTAAGAGTGTCTTCCATGAACACAGTCTTAACTGTGAGTCCGCAAGTGACTGTGGAGGCCAATTCTGGATCCACACGTCCTTCCACAGTGGGGACATAGGTTTCTGGGCAGGAGTTAATCATGGTGAGGGTTTGCCAAGCGTGCCTTCCTCTTAGCACATTTCCCCCTTTCGCCCTGAGTTTGAGCGTCTTCAAAGTCCATGACACCTTTGGTAAAGGCTGCTCTCCAATTGGAGCGCTCACAGGCCAGTGTTTCCCAATTGACGGTGCTTCTGTTTTAGGTTATTTTAAACATATTCATTTCATTATATATCATTTCCCAATATTTCTTAACAATTTTACAATCCCACCACATATGAAAAAAAGTTTTACATTTCCAACACTTGCTTTCTTTAGTTTTGTACATTTTGCTAATTTGACAGGAGTTTGATACCATCTGTACATCATTTTCGTATAATTTTCTTTAATCGCCACACTGTTCCGCCTGGCCTTTGTTTTGGGCTTAGTCTGACCCTTATGTTTCCCTCCCTTATGGTCTTGATTTATTGGCTACTTTAAAATGAAGCTGCATTTTAACCTGTATTTTAAATTGTTTTTTTCCCCTCTCTCTCTTTCCCCCCCATTATGTTTTTACTATGATTTTATTAGTGTTAGCTGCCCTGAACCCGGCTCTGGCCGGGGAGGATGGGGTATAAATAAAATTTATTATTATTAGTAGTAGTATTATTATTAATCATGACTGATCTGTCTTACAGTCTGGATCCAATACTGATAAAGCCTTGTTACACTTAGGTTCTCTGCAAGTAGATTTCAGATGTCTTATCTGCGAGCGGGAGAGAAACACAGTCCTCTGTCCGATTTCCGCCTTTTGCAAACGCATGTGGGTTTTTAAGGGTACCTTTTTGATGATGCTTTGAAGACTCGCTCCTTCCTTTGTGCCCCCCACCCTCACATGGCAGGAGAACCACGGAGGGAATCATTAAACAAACGGAGGGAGTGGTGTTTTTAAAGGAAGCAAACAACGCCAAAAAGCCAAACCACACAACACCGGATTGATGAGGTTTCCAGTTGGTGGTATCCCCCCTTGGGACCAAAATGGAAAGATCTGAAGCGAAGCAAGGAGGAAACAAAATTGTGTTTGTTTTGTGAGGGGAGAAGCAGCTCATTTCCCCCTCCGGAGATGAATTCTCAATTTGTGGGCTAGAGAGACACTAATATGGGTTGAAATATTGCAGGTGTGCAGCCAGAAGCAAGTTCATTAACTAATTAAACTCACACATGGGTACAAAGGATCAGTCCTAGAATCATAGAGCTGGAAGAGGGACCCCAAGGGGCATCTAGTCTCACCCCCCTGCAATGCAGGAATCACAGCTAAAGATATAGGTATATCAGTACCCAAATCTGAATTGTTAAATTGTGTTATTAGTGTTATTGTGGTTTTTGTTGTATGTGTTTTTTGTGGTTGCTGTTTGTATTGAAAAAATGATTTAAAAAAAAAAACAGCCAAAGAATCCCTGACAAGCGGCCACCAGATCTCTGTTAAAAACAACAGCGACAACAACCAGTGAAGGAGAGTCGATCACCTTCCGAAGTCCAAAATTGTCAGTTTTTTGAAATTCCAAACCTTCATAACTCAAAAACAAGATGAGATGAAAAATTAAAATTTTAGATTTAAACTTAGTTTTGCTCATTCAGCGAGTGTACAAAATATTAAGAAAATTGGATGACATGAGGTAAAAAAGAAAGAAAGTTGGATCACTTGAGTCTTGTCTTTTCCAGGTTAAACATACCCAGTTCCCTGTATGCCTAGAGAAAGCTCACTGCTCAATCTCTGCATGGGGGGACTGTGTTGCTCAAAAGAGAATTTCCTTTGCCTGCAAAAGCAAGCAGTATAATATAAATTTTATAAAATAAATAGATAGATAGATAGATAGATAGATAGATGATAGTTTCTTTCCTTTTCAAAGCACTGCACGTTAAAATGCCGTTCTCCGATATGAACTCCTGATGTTTTCTTGTTTCTCTCATCATCATCCATCCAGGGTTGTGAAAGAGGAGATCTCAGACGACAATGCAAAGCTGCCCTGCTTCAATGGACGCGTCGTGTCTTGGGTATGTAGAGCCCTTTCAGTTCTGTGATTGGTAGTGGTGGAGAGCGGTGGGGGCGGGGCTAGCAGACATCCTGGGGGTGGGGCGCGCCACCTGCGGGGGCGTGGCACCCAGCACGGGCAGGGGGGCAGCCGCGATGGCACCCTGGGGATCGCGCTGCCGGGGGTGGTGTGCTCCCCCCGCACTCCTCTTCCTCTGCCAGTGGCAATTGGTAGAAATGTTTTGGGGCCCTGCAGGAGCCGTTGCTAGATCTAATAACATAAGAGTGGTTTTACAGTCTATCCCTTCTCTTGGAAAACTCAACATTTACACAATGTTAGAACACTTCAAAACAATTCCCAAAATTAGGCAGTTTCTTATTAAAATCCCATCAGATGTTAACTGACAGCCAATCCAAACTATTTCCGCCTCATACCTAGTCAGAGAATACCACTGTGGGTGCGCATTTGTTTTGCTGATGTGTGCTTGCATTGCTTTGGAAAATGCGAATTAGGATAATTAATGGCCTTTAAGTGCCAGCTGTTTGGACGTGGGTGGAGCTGTGGTCTAAACCACTGAGCCTAGGGCTTGCCGATCAGAAGATAGGCAGTTCAAATCCCCGCGACGGGGTGGGCTCCCAGTGCTCGATCCCAGCTCCTGCCAACGTAGCAGTTTGAAAGCACATCAAAGTGCAAGTAGATAAATAGGGACCGCTCCAGCGGGAAGGTAAACGGCGTTTCCGTGTGCTGCTCTGGTTTCACCAGAAGCGTCTTAGTCATGCTGGCCTCGTGACCTGCAAAACCTGTCTGCGGACAAATGCCGGCTCCCTTGGCCAGTAAAGCGAGATGAGCGCCACAACCCCAGAGTTGTTCAGACTGGACTTAACTGTCAGGGGTCCTTTACCTTTAATTGTGAGCTGGATCCAATTCCTACCTCGCTTCTAATTCTGATGTCTGGGTTGTAAGTTATGATTGCAGCATCCCAGTACTATCTTAAGACCTGGCTTCTCCACTCTGCCTGTTTGGCGTGGGCCTGGTTCCCACCTGTGTGCTCGCCTCTTAACAGTGGCTGCCGCATAACCATTGCAGGTAAAATATCTCAGGTACACCTTCCACATTCCCTCGTATGCCTTTGTTTTTCTGCACAGGCTGTGTGCTCAAGCTGCATGGGGCCACATGTTGAGAAATCAAGTGATGGTGTTTTTTTGTTTTTAGCCGACAGGTGCTTTGCTCTAATGCCCTTGCTCGGCTTAAAAGCCTGCAATCACACTATTATTATTATTATTATTATTATTATTATTATTATTATTATTCCACTCTGCAAAAATTCCCATGCTTGCTGGCAGATTCTGCAGGCGCTAAGCTCTTGACTCTCTGTGTGTGTGTGTGTGTGTGTGTGTGTGTGTCCTTTGCCGTTTATTTTGTATTGGGAGGTTTATGAGCGGTTTGCCGCGATTCGGCATGGCTTTACGACTCTTGAGGGTGACTCACAGCGCTAACGTGCCTTTAAGTCAAATGGGGGTGGATTTATGAGTGCTTTTAAAGCTTGGTGTGGATGTAATCATTTTTCTAGGATCCTTTTACCAAACATTTCTTCAGACCTGTCCTAGTTCTTGAGCTGTATCCCTAGCTAGTTCTACTCAGAGAGTAGCTAGTGAACATGGCTAATTACAGTCCATACATTTCAGTGGGTTTACTCTTGAGTAGAGTTAGTTGGCTATAACCCCTTGTTCCTAGCATCATTACTTGACGGTTACTGAGGGCTGCTGGGTAGACTTCAAACGCATTTGCTAGGCGCTTTTATGAAATAATGTGTGGCAGTTTTAGAAACTCAGATTATATAAGCCAGGCTCCAAATGGCTCCTTAAACCAGGGTTACAGTCACCAACACAGAATCCCAAGTTGCCATTTTGCGGCCAGACGGCTTGAAAGTCGTATTTTTCAATACAACTTCTTGGTTCCTGAAAGTAATTCTGATTGTGCAGATAAAATGCAACAGGTAGAATTCTACAGGGTGTGTTGCTAGTGTGTGAAAGAAGTCAAGATCCACGGATCCCCAGGCATGCACCTCCAGGTGGAGGAGACATCAGGCACCATCCTGGTACCTGGGCATCTTCACTTGGTTGCAAGTGGCCAATAGCCAGGTGCAAAATGCTTAAAATGCGAATTTTGAACACTGATGTGTGGTTTATGGCAATTGCACACAAGGGCTTTGTTGTCTCTGGTACTCCTTGCTTTAGCGGTGGGCAACGTTGTGGTCCTCCAGATGATGCCCAGCTTCCCATCAGCCCCAACCAACATGGCTAATGGTCAGGGATGATGGGAGTTGTAGTCCACCAACTTCTGCGAGAGTCATGGATTCCTCATCGCTGTTCTGCTTTGAACAAAGGAAGTTGCCTTATTCCAGGCCAGAGGCCCAGCTAGTCCAGGATCCTGTTCTCACACCGTGGCCAATCAAATTCCTCCAGGCATAGCATGAAGGCAACAGCCCTCCCTCACTGTTAGTCATAAGAACCTAAAAAGAGCTCTGCTGGATCAGGCCAGTGACCCATGTAGTCCAGCATTCTGTTCTCACATTGGCCAACCAGATGCCCCAGCCGAGATCCCACAAACAAGACCTGAGCGCAACAGCAAATCTCGCCACTTGTGATTCCCTGCAACTGTTATACAGAGGCATCTTGCCTCTGACAGTGGATGCAGAACATAACCAGTATGGCTAGTAGCCATTGATAAGCCTTGCGTTCTATGAAAGTTCCTGCTGGCATCGTAGAGAACTTCTCCCTTTTCTTCTGCTTAGCGCCACAGGCAAAGCCACAATGCTGAATGGAGTTAGCGTGCCTTCATGACTCACGGCGAGAAGCATCTGCAACTGAAGATCAGGTTGTCGCTGGAGTTTGTGCCTTGCATAGGAGCTGTAGGTGGCGTCTTCCAAGCCATTTTGCAATTTGGACTCCTTGCCCTTGGTTTATTCTCCTCCCTTCATGTTTTGAAGGACCAAGCGGTTTGCCAGAGGCCGAGTGTCATCCTTCATCCATAGTGGGGCTAATAATAATAATAATAATAATAATAATAATAATAGATTTGTGGAATGAAAAGTTACAGGATTTCAGCAGTGAGAATTACAGGACATTCGCTGGCTGAGCAATGTGTTCTCCCTGAAACATTTGCAGGCTCAAACAGCATCGAAAGCGGGATTGTGCACCATTGTGTGCTCAAATAATCACGAATCCACAAGAAAGAGGAATTTTGGAGGAGATCTGGGGATTGCCCATGTGACTATTTTCTGTAAGAAGACCCAAAACATAATTGGCCCCAGAGCAGCGTCAGGGAGGAAAGATGGAGCCAATGAATGAAATGAAAAGATTAAAACATTCGCCTAATTCCAGGGGAACTGCTTTTCTCATCTGTCCAAAGCAGTAGCTTGGGGTCAGAAATCAAGATGACATAACGTTGCAGCGCCAAGTTGACTTCTAGAAGAGAGTGCTAGCTTCTGTAGTTAAATTTTAAATTACCCTTTCCCCAGGATCTTAACGATTCACCCGTATGCTGACTTTTTTGGTATTGCGTAAGTTTATTTCGATCACTTCACTTCATCAGCTTCTTTTTAAAGCTGCTCTGTCAATTACAAATATGTTTTTTTAAAAAATCATTATAATATCCCTGCTGTCAGGACTGCTGTCAGCAATAAAATATCTCAGAGTTGTATCCATTGCTAGTCCTACTCAGAGGAGGCCCATCAACACGCCTTAAGGACGGTCTGGTTTCTTACGTTCCACCTCAGTCACCGAGATCCTCCGAAGGCCTGCTTTCAGTGGTTTGGTCTTTACTAGGAACTGAGACTTTAGTGGAGCAGGCCCTGCCCTGTGGAACTCCCTGCCAGTGGATCATTGGCAGAGAATCATCCAGGCATGGTGTTTAGGTAGGCTCTTTGCAGTCTTTTCAACCATTCAGCATTTAATGGTGTTTTGTTGATTGTAGGGATGCTTTTTTGCTTATTTTACTGTATGTTTTAAACCCCTGGATGGATATATTTATGAAAGTGCATATTATAAATATTTAAATAAATAACTCGTGTTCATCAATTTCAACAGGTCTATTTTGAGTGGAGCTTAGTTTGACACAGATTTTTTTCTCCTGCGAAGACTGGTGCAGATTGAACTTTGCTTGGTTAGGAGACACAAGTGTGTGTTCCTAGCCTCTTCCTCTCCCGCTTAAAAACTTGCCCCTTAACTTTCATTTTTGGCACTATTTATATACCCTGCTAAGGGACGCTGCTAATGGTGGCGCTGTGGGTTAAACCACAGAGCCTAGGACTTGCCAATCAGAAGGTTCGCCGTTCGAATCCCCGCAACAGAGTGAGCTCCCGTTGCTCGGTCCCTGCTCCTGCCAACCTAGCAGTTCGAAAGCACAAAGTGCAAGTAGATAAATAGGTACCGCTCCAGCGGGAAGGTAAATGGTGTTTCCGTGTGCTGCTCTGGTTCGCCAGAAGCAGCTTAGTCATGCTGGCCACATGACCTGGAAGCTGTCTGCGGACAAATGCCGGCTCCCTTGGCCAATAAAGCGAGATGAGCGCCGCAACCCCAGAGTCGGTCACGACTGGACCTAATGGTCAGGGGTCCCTTTACCTTTTCCCCAGGGCGGCTTCCAACAGAACACTAAAATACAATAACCTATTAAACATTAAAAGCTTCCCTAAACAGGGCTGCCTTCAGAAATCAAGCAAGATAGTCCTTGGCTCTCAGGCTTAAGGAAAGAAGTGATGGGGAGGGAGGTTTGGGGAAGGCAAACACAGGAACTGGTTCTGATCAGCATGCTGTCTGCACTGGTCTGTGGGGCCAAGTGCCTAGTTCCAAACCCACTTCTAACTGCAACTGCACGCTGCAGTTTAGAGCGAACCATGGTTTGTGAAAAATGCCACAGCAGATGTTAAACATTATTAGCGGCGGTGGCGGGGGGGGGGGGATAAAACAAAATGGACATTCATGTGCAGAAATGGGCAAGGGAGCTGCAGAGAGCTCCTCGTCTCCTAACCATGAGTAGGCGTGCAGCCAGCCAGTGTTATATCTCCACCAGTCCTTAATTCATGATGCTCACCAATAAAAAATTCTGAGATCACAAGCTTTACAGTTCATTTTCCATTGTTTTTCCACCAAGTTCCTGAGCTGTTCGTTAAACCCTCTTCTGCGTCCTCCTTAACTTTGGAAGTTGGTCTAGCAGGATCGGGACCACCACGCCCTTCCATCATCGAGGGCTGTGTGTGTGTGTGTGTGTGTGTGTGTGTGTGTGCTGTTCACGACCTCCGTTGCCTCTTGATAGCTCCTGAAAAGGCAGCTCCATTTTCTTTCCTCGGACAATCCAGGCCCAGCCACCCTGCTGGGGCCGGCTCTTTTTCCTTGTGAAAAGAATTAAGCTGGCTCGCTGCGTGCTGATTCTGAGAGTAGCCGAGTCGCTGGCTGATGATGGCAGGTTGCTCACAGTGGGTTGACCATTGTAGGCCATTCTGCCTTATTTCCAAGGGAGGCACTGCATTAACGGCGCATCTCTTCCCCGATTGGCTTCCTTGGGATTGACACGGCTCCCGATTGGTTTGCGGTGATGTCATGCTTCATTTTTCTCCAGCATTCTGATGCCCATTATCAGAGGCGTTTAAAAAACCCAACGATATATACTTCGTCTCCTTTTGTGCACATGGAGGCTTAACAGGCCCACTGCCCCATGCGGTTGTGATTTTAATGAAAATAATTTTTTAAAAATCCATTCAACTTTGTATCCGATTGAGAGTCGCCACAGGGAGGGGCCCGCTAAATTTGCTTGGGTAATCCATCACTGGAGTGTCAGTGGCTGGGCGAACACATTGTGGAAATTGTATTTCATTGTAAGAGGTGGGTGAAAGTCTTCATTCAGGAAGGACGTCCAAAACACACATTGCGTCAAACTGTGGCTCGCCGTGGGCTGTCGATCATGTTAAGCACCCAGCCCGAAGCAAGCCACATAGAGGGTTTTATCCAACTAAGCTCACATTCACACCATACATTTAAAGTATATGATTACAACTTTAAACAGCCGTGGCTTCCCCTGAAGAATTCTGGAACTTGTAGTCTGTTAAGGGTGCTGAGAGTTGTTAGGTGACCCCCCTATTCCCCACACGGAGCTACAATTCCCAGAGTTCACTGCGAAGAGGGATTGATTGTTAAGCCACTCTGGGAATTGTAGTTCTGTGGGGGGAGTAGGGGGGGTCACCTAACAACTCTCAGCACCCTTAAAAAACTACAGCTCCCAGAATTCTGGGGAGAGGGTGAAGACATGGTTGTTTAAACCAGTGTCATAGTGCTTTAAATATATGATGTGAATGTGGCCTAATGTCCCACTTAGAATAAACCAACTGAAATTATTGGTCTTAGGTTAGTCATGGTCAGTATGTCTACTCAGACTAGGACTAGCATTAGGTACAGCCAGGCATACAATGAAAAAATGTGAGGTGAATTCTCTATGTGTGTAAAAACTTAGAAAGCTGCTTTATATAGTTCACGGCCATTACTCCATTTCGCTCAGTCTTGTCTACACTGACTGGCAGATGCTGTCCAGGATTTGAGGCAGGAGTCTTTCCCCAGCCCTGCCTTTTGAAATAAGAGTATGTTCAGCCCTCAATTTACATGGGCCTTACGTTCCTGGGATCATGCCTGAAACCCAAATTGAGTACAGTTGTACCTTGGTTCTCGAGCAGGATGCGTTCCAGGAGTCCGTTTGACATCCGGAACTGTTTGAAAACCAAGACGCGGCTTCCGATTGGCTGCAGGAGTGTCCTGAAGCCAATTGGAAGCCGCAGAAGCCATGCTGGACGTTCATCTTCCAAAAATAGTTTGGAAACCGGAACACTCACTTCCGGTTTTCGATCGTTCGGGAGCCGAAACGTACGAGTTCCAAGGCGTTCGGCAACCAAGGTACGACTGTATAGTCAAAACCTATGGGGTTCAATGGTGGGTGGAATTGCCAAAGTCATTTTTCCTGGAACCACGTGCCCTTTCCGCCCCTTAAAAAAAAATCCACTCATATAAAACTGAATGTGTACAAATTAAATGTGCACAAGTTGCAGGCTTACTGTGAGGATGGAAGGATCGATCAATTTCACTTCTTTCTGTTTCTTTCCCCCCCAATCTTAAATTCAATCTTAAAGTTCTCCTTTTAGCAATTTGCTTTTTTTAAAGTCCTCATTTATTATCCTAATACATTTTTGGTTGCAATCTTGCCTAATGCACACTTTTGCAAAGCAATTTCTCTTCATTGTGCATTTTTGTATATATTTTTTAGCATTGCAACGTTTTTGTTGGGGTTGTTGTTATTTATTTATTACCCGCCCTTCACCTAAGCTTCCAGGGCAGCTTGCAACATGAAAACACAATATTAAAAACATTTTAAAATAGCTTATGATCACAAAAACAGGGTGGGTCCTCAAAATATACACCTCAAAAGCTGGGGTGAAGAGATGCGTTTTCAGCATTCTCCGGAAGAAGTGCAAATCTTGAAGAATGGCGGTGTCTCAGTTTGCACATTGTTTATGAAAGAGCAAATTTGGGAAATTTGGCTCTGTTGACTGGGGCCGATGGAAGTTGTGGTCCAACCACATTAGGGGAGTGCCATGTGGGGTTAACCTTGCTTTAAGCTGCCTCAATGCTTTTCGTCCTTCCTCCTCCGCCTTTTTCTGCTCTTGACGAAGGCAGGCAACGTCAGCATAAAAAGGTGCCTGTCTTTCTCTCCGAAGCAACAGAATGTGATGTCTTAGAAAAGTTTTTCTTTTTAGTTTCTGAGATGAGCCCAACAGGGAGGAAAGCCACTTGTGTGACTCTTGCACGATCCTTCCCTTGATTTTCTCTTTTTAAAAGATTGTACAGCTATTCTCATCAGTGAAAGAGCACCTCGGGGAGGGACAGCCTTTCCTCTTTTCTGTTCATCCGTCTCATCAACCTGCCTCCCTGACTTACCTTTTCCCCATTAACTGTTCCCTTCTGCGTCAGATACAGGATTGCCAATTTCACCAGGGGCCGGCATAATCTTATTCTTTCCCTGTTTCCCTGATGGCTCTCATTTTGGGAGATGGGCTTGTCTCTGATGAGAAACATATTGCCATTTTAGGCTATTCTAGGGGGAACGAAAGTCTCCATAATTCATGCTTTTTGTGGCTGTCTTGTCTGTGTGATATATTCTTATCCCCATCCCTTCCTGCCCCTTGGCTTTATGCAGTTAGCTTTCCCCCAACGGCTTGCTGTCATCTATGATTTCACTTTGGGAATGGAGCTGGTTGCCGAACGAACTAATTAAAATTGGGGAAATGTGCCAGTCGACAGACGCTCAGCCCTCTCCCCTGTTGCAACTTGGTGGCCGGCGGAGGTGGGCATTGGGGTACCTCCCGACTGTCAGTATATTGCGTGTGTGTATGTGTGTTCAGGCACATAGTGTTTTGAAGTGCACTGTTGTCCTAATGCAAGAAATCTAGGTAAAGGTAAAGGGACCCCTGACCATTAGGTCCAGTCGTGACTGACTCTGGGGTTGCAGCGCTCATCTCGGTTTATTGGCCGAGGGAGCTGGCGTACAGCTTCCGGGTCATGTGGCCAGCATGACTAAGCCGCTTCTGGCGAACCAGAGCAGCGCACGGAAACGCCGTGGTACCTATTTATCTACTTGCGCTTTGACGTGCTTTCGAACTGCTAGGTTAGCAGGAGCAGGGACCGAGCAACAGGAGCTCACCCCGTCGCGGGGATTCGAACCACCGACCTTCTGATCGGCAAGTCCTAGGCTCTGTGGGCCCCACAGCGCCACCCGCAGACTTTTTATTGTTGGGAAATGCATTGGAAAGTGTGGGATGCAATGAAAAACCCATTATAGTGCATTGAAAGGTGTGGACTGAACATATGACTAATGGGAAGATGTATAAGTGCTTGTCAAAGAGCGAGCAGGGAGTAAATCACACCATTCAAAGTTGGAGTTAACTTTTTATTAGCAAAAACACGATCTTCACAGACTTGGCTGGGTGTCAGGACTAAATGAACACAGCAGCTCATTCCCTGTAGGTCTTACCCCGTGAATCAGTTGCCAAGACTGTAAGTCCATGCCTCCTCACAGCCATCCAAGTCCCCTCCTCTCCAGAGCTTTCCCCCAGCAATTGGAGACTATGCCTGCATGCAGCCTGCCGCTGCTCCACCTCTTTCAGCCCTCTTCTGGTTCTGGGAGACAAAAGGGGGAGGTGAGCAGCAAAAAGGAGAGACACCGGTGACTCTTCACCAGCCTGACACATCTCTATCTCTTCGCCTCCTCCTCCCATTCACCAACTTCAGCTTCTGCCTCTGATTCTGGACTTCCCTCTGCCACAGAGTCACCCAGCTCACTAAGCCCTGTTACCCCTTAAGCTTCCAATACGTCCTATTCCCAGTCTTCCTCCTCTGATCGCTTGTTGCCATGCCGCCACCACTCCCTGGGCTCTGAGCCTTCTTCCCTTGTTGGTTCCCCAGCTGGTGGCCCCCACCTCTCTTCTCTGTCCAACCAGTCCATGACAGCGCCCTGCAAGCAGATCAGGATGAATGCGCATTGGACCTCCCATGAGGTCTGCTACAACGTGTTGCTAAGTCAATCATAGTGCATTAAAGGTAAAGGGACCCCTGACCATTAGGTCCAGTCGTGACCAACTCTGGGGTTGCGGCGCTCATCTCACTTTATTGGCCAAGGGAGCCGGCGTACAGCTTCCGGGTCATGTGGCCGGCATGACTAAGTGAACCAGAGGAACGCAAGGAAACGCTGTTTACCTTCCCGCCGGAGCAGTACCTATTTATCTACTTGCACTTTGACGTGCTTTCGAACTGCTAGGTTGGCAGGAGCAGAGACCGGGCAACGGGAGCTCACCCCATCGCGGGGATTTGAACCGCCGACCTTCTGATCGGCAAGTCCTAGGCTCTGTGGTTTAACCCACAGCGCCACCCGCGTCCCTTAGTGCATTAGGCGTGGGTGCATTAGGGGTGGGTTTATACTGGGCTATCCACATATAATTCTGCTTTATTAGTTGTTCTGCAGTAGTTCCCCAATGTTAGGAGCTTTATTGCCATCTTGGGGGGGGGGCAATTCTTGTACTTAAAAGCAGGTCAGAAAGGAACCTCTGTGGTATGAAAAGTTACAGGATTTCAGCAAATGGGACGCACCTCCACTCTCCGTTCTTTCTCTGGCCTCTGCACACTTCCTTCTCCTGCTTTACTGTGACTGAGGCAAAGGGCTACATATGGTGTTAGGTTTTTCTGCAGGGATGCATTACAGGTTTGGGGTGTGTGTCATTCTTTTAAACAAAGCATTTCCCCACGTTTCTGCAAACAGGTGCAATTGAAGACCTGAGACACACGTTGCACTTTTGGTGGTTTAAATGCAAACTGTGCCCCTGCTTCTGACTCCGTCTCCTCTCTTGACTCTTCCAGCTGGTCCTGGCCGAGAGCTCCCATTCGGACGCCGGTTCCCAATGCACCGAGAGCCACACAGATCTTCCTCCTCCCATCGAGAGAACAGGAGGCATCGGAGACTCCCGCCCCCCTTCCTTTCAGTATGGCTCTTTAAAATATATGTATATGAATGTATTTATTAATGCTTTTTCCTTTGCCGCAGAGTGATCTAGGTTCTGCCAAGCTTCTGCTATGGCTGAGAGGTGTACTTATTTTCCAAAATAGAATTGGAGCTTCCCTTTGCTCTTTTAAGTACAAAAAGGCTCCTTAAAAAAGAATATAAATCAATTGTGGGGAACTTGCAGCCTGTGGCTTCCCTGTTTAGCCCACAAAGCCATTTTGGCCAGGCCGCGGAAACCTGCCCATATATGACATCATATAGGGTGACAACATCATCTGACATTATCTATGATGATGACATCATCTGACGGTATATATGATGACACCACCACCTGAGATTATATTTGGTGATGACATCATCTGACATCATGTATGATGTTAAGTGTGGAGCAGGTAAAGAGATGTCTGGGCCAGGTCACAGGTCCCGCAACAGCCCTGCACACCTACCCTGAGGGACCAGCTGACATCCAGCTGGTCAGTGCTTGCAAAGCACCACCCACAGAGCCAGTCAAGCCGCAGTAATCAGCTGATAAATCAGCTGACACCGTTGTGATGTCAGGAGATTGACAGGTGGAGGCGTTCCCTATCCCTAACTTAAGAATATCCCATCCTTTCAGAAGCCTTCCCTTCTTCATTTCTGCCTGAGTTCCTTATCTGTGTGAGCCTTCCTGACCAGCAGGTGATCTTTACTTGCGTTTGGATTATTCATTCCCTGCTGCTTTGCACACTAAATTTGTCCCTCCCCATCCCTACTAAGTCCAGCAACCTGTGGAGGGCCTCAGGTTCCTCTCTTCTTCCTTACAGGCAGAGTAAGAACAGACGCTTGGTTCTGGGGTGTTCTTGTATTGCATTAAATGTCTAGAAAAATCACCTGAGTGTCACCCCTTAGAAAACAAAACAGCCTTGCAGAACTGGAAAGTCAAGAGTGCACAGATTTTGTCCCTTCTTGGGCCATCTCTCCAGCTTTTGCTTTTTCTTCTCCTGGAAAGCGTCACAGCCACTTCTGTGCCTACTTTCTGCCGGCCTGGTGAGGGGCGGGGAAATGGAGGGCTTGTGTTCCTGCTGCTGCTGCCAGGCCTTACTTCTATCCTCTCGTTCTCTTGCTGCCCCCTTGTGGCTCTCAAGCCGTCTCCCAAGCGCCTGGGCAGCTGCCGTCATGTGATCAGCTGGTCTGACTCGTTCTTTGTCTCCCTCTCACAGTCTCTGTTTTCCTAGGAACACAGGGAGCCGCTGGACACTGAGTCAGGTCACTCAGTAGCTCACTAGTGTCTACACTGAACGGTAGCACCTCTCTCAGCTGTTCCCAGCTCTCCTTTGGAGATGGAAGCTGGGCCCTTCTGCATGCTACAGTTCTTCCCTTCAGATACGGGAACCTGGAAGCTGCTTTATACTGAATCAGATCATTTTATTTAATAATAGTAATAATAATCCAGCTAGCTTAGTATTGTCTGGCAGCAGCTCTCCTGGGTTTGAGATAGAGGGCATTCCCAGCCCTGCCTAGAGATGCTGGGGTTTGAACTTAGGTCCTTCCTCATGCAAAGTAGATCATCGAATTGTAGTGTTGTAGAGTTGGAAGGAACCATGAGGGTCATCTAGTCCAACCCCCTGCAACGCAGGAACCTTTTTGCCCAACATGGGTCTCAAACCCATGACCTTGAGATGAAGAGTCTCGTGCACTACAGATTGAACTACTCTGTCACTGAGCTTCCCCCCAAGCTGATTTCTCCCTCCAGTGCAGTATTGACTGCTCTTGATGGGTAGCAGCTCTGCAGGCCACCCTGCTCATATTTTACATTGGAGGAACCAATGAACTCACGTTTTGGACCTTCTGCCTGCAAATCAATATTCTACTCCAGGCATAGGCTAACTCTGGCCCTCCAGATGTCTGGGACTACAATTCCCATCATCCCTAGCTAACAGGACCAGTGGTCAGGGATGATGGGAATTGTAGTCCCAAACATCTGGAGGGCCGGAATTTGCCTATGCTTATTCTATTCTATTCTATTCTACATTTCTTTCATAAAATATTTATTAAGATTTACAATAAACATAGGTTTAAAGAGTTAAAAAAAGAGTTTACAATACACATAGGTTTAAAGAGTTAAAAAAATAAACCGAAGATTACACAAAAATAGAAAAAGAAAAAAGATAACAAGAAAAATACCTAAAAAAGAAAACCTAAAAGAGAAAAAGGAAAATACAAAATACAAAAAGCAGATGTCTAAAAAAGAAAAAGAGAAAAAAGAACATTTAAAAAAGAAAAGATCCATTTTTCGATATCTTTAGGCTCATTTACTTATTTCCTTGACCTCCTCACACCTCCCCTTTTTGTATTCCCGTTTACAAAATCCTTTCAGCAAATCCTTACCCTCTTTCATTTATCTTTACTCTGTATCTTAACCTATTATAACTATATATTTTCATCCATATAACAATCTATATTTGCATATTCTTGTTAACCTTATTACCAAAACCACTTATTTCCATTCCAACATCATTTTAACATTCATTAATTTTACAGTATTTCTGCAAATAGTCTTTAAATTTCTTCCAATCTTCTTCCACCGACTCTTCTCCCTGGTCTCGGATTCTGCCAGTCATTTCTGCCAATTCCATATAGTCCATCACCTTCATCTGCCATTCTTCCAAAGTGGGTAGATCTTGTGTCTTCCAATACTTTGCAATGAGTATTCTTGCTGCTGTAGTAGCATACATAAAAAAGTTCTGTCCTTCTTTGGCACCAATTGGCCGACAATGCCCAGAAGAAAGGCCTCTGGTTTCTTCAAGAAGGTATATTTAAATACCTTTTTCAGTTCATTATATATCATTTCCCAGAAAGCCTTAATCCTTGGGCACGTCCACCAAAGGTGAAAGAATGTACCTTCAGTTTCTTTACATTTCCAACATTTATTATCGGGCAAGTGATAGATTTTTGCAAGCTTGACTGGGTTCATGTACCACCTGTATATCATTTTCATAATATTCTCTCTTAAAGCATTACATGCCGTAAATTTTATACCTGTGGTCCTCAACTGTTCCCAGTCAGCAAACATAATGTTATGTCCAACGTCCTGTGCCCATTTAATCATAGCAGATTTCACCGTTTCATCCTGAGTGTTCCATTTTAACAGCAAGTTATACATTCTTGAAAGTATCTTTGTTTTAGGATCTAACAGTTCTGTTTCCTACTTTGATTTTTCCACCTGGAAGCCAATTTTTTAATCTAAATTATAAGCCTCTCTTATTTGATAATAAGGAAGCCAGTCTCGCACTTTATCTTTTAGTTTCTCAAAACTCTGCAATTTCAATTTGTCTCCTACTTGCTCCAAGATTTCCCAATATTTCGGCCACTTGGCCTCTCTATTCTACATTTCTATCCAGGAAGCTCAAAGTGGCGTACACTTTGTCCTTCTCCATTTTGTCCTCACAGCAGCCTTGTGAGGCAGGTTAGTCTGAGAGATAAGAGCTGCCAGCCCGAGGTCACCCAGTGAGTTTCATGACTGAGTGAGGAGGGGATTTGAACTCTGGTCCTCCCAGGTTCCCGTCTACGATTCTTAACCGTTGCACCAAACTGACTACACCAAATGGACTGAATTTTAGATCCGCCCTCTGCAAAAAGAAAAAAAAGAAATGCATTTGTTACCATTGTGAAAACTGACCTACTGCAAACCACTCGCCTTACCTCCGTATGTTAAGGTTAGCTCACTCGCCTTACCCCCACATGTACCAAGTCTACAGGGCTAGCTGCCCAGTCCAGCCTGAAAACAACTTCTGGTCGCTAGATGGCTCTGCTGAGACAGATTGATTGCAGGGTTGGCACCAAGATAAAAACTCTGGTCTTTTTGCATGAGATGGAAAAACGGGGGCCATATCTGTAGGGGTTAGAACGTCATTCTAGGACTGGGGGAGCTGCAGCAGGCTGCATCCCTCGCGGGATATGTATTAAAATATGGTTGCCCGCCTATAAGAAACAGCTGCCGTTCTCTATCCACACCTGAGATGGCACTGTACGGGAAGGACTGTACCGTATCCCCCGACTGAATGCTTTTGAAACCATTTTGGATCCAATTGCAACAGACATGCAAAATGAACCCCGCCGGGGTTTTGGCAAAACGGTATATGGGCTTGTTTCGAACTCGGGTCACTTCTTGTGCTCTCTTTATTCCTACAGCCCAAACGCCGCAAGCAGCCGAGATGGACTGGACAACGAGACGGGGACAGAGTCCGTCATCAGCCACAGGAGGGACCGACACCGGCGGAGGAACCGAGAGGGCCACGAAGACGGTAAGTTGGCGCTTCCTTGCTTTGTTCTCTTTGAGGGTCCCCTCGGTCGTTGTTGCCAGCTTCTTTTGCAGAGACCGACCTCAAATATTGGCTTGGGGATTTTGCAAAACACAAATGAATTGCATCACACCGGCAAGTATCACATAGCGTTCCGTGGGCTGCTTATTTGCACTGCCAAGGACGGGTCAGCTGATAGCACATCACTGTCGGTGCTGCCTGGTTGGCGCTGACCCAGGACACGGTCTTCTTGATGGCAGTTTTCTGTTTTGTGGAATGCCCAGTCAACCCAGTGAGGTGCGCCTGTCTCCCTCATTATTAACCTTTGGGAGGAATGAAGAAACATTCTAGTTCACTCAGGAATTTGACAATTGAGTGAATGGTTGGGAGATACTGGGTCTGTGTCCAGTGCTAGCCCTTCAAGACCCTTGAAGTTAATGGACACAACTAACTTGGGCCTATTAATTTAAACAGGCCTATTTGGAGTCAGACGCCACTGGATACAACCCATTGATCTTAGCAGTCTTGAAATTATTAGCTAGGAGAGTGTGTTGTTGTTCTCAAACATTTTAAATGTGGCTTTATTTCATTTTTAACAGTATTGTTTTATGTGTTTGCCACCTGGGGCATCTTTGGGAGAAAGGAAGGCTTATAAATTATTATTATTATTATTATTATTATTATTATTATTATTAATAGAATGATATATTGCAAGTTCAGTTGTGCTATGGGGTGGGGGTGGGGGAAAGAGTTGCAGTGTATATGTGGTGCCCACAATAATCCCACTGGCCTGCAGATGCAACTATGTGCCCGAAAGGTTTGCAAGCCCTGATCTGCGCGCGGAAGCTTCCATTTTGCTTTACTTTCTTTCTTACGTTTATTCCCCACCTCTTCTCCAGGGAGCTCAGGGTGTGGCATGCACAGTTCTACCCCCTCCTCATTTTATCTTCACAACAACCCTGTGTGGTGGGTTAGGCCGAGAGGCAGTGACTGGCCCAAGGTTGCACCTCCTTTCATGGCTCAGTGAGGATTCGAACCCTGGTCCTCGTCCGGCACTCTAACCACTACGCCACACCGGTATTCCGGGGCAGAGAGCAGTGATTGTGGGAAGCACGCCCTTTGTCTAATTCCCACCACAGTGCATTAAGAACTCTGCCCGTGCACCTTTTATTGCCTTTCCAGTTTAAGTAGTAGATATTCTGCCTGTCGCTCTGTCAGGCCAGTAAGAGCTATTCAGCAGTGGAACAGTCTCCCTCGGAAGGTGGTGGGCTCTCCTTCCTTGGAGGTTTTTAAGCAGAGATTGGACGGCCATCTGCCAGGGATTCTTCAGCTGCGATTCCTGCCTTGAAGGGGGTTGGGACTGGATGACCCTCGGAGTCTCTTCCAGCTGTACAATTCTACAATTTGATCAGTGGGGCTAGCGAAAGGATTCCTGTGGCTGTGGTCCGTTGCGTCCTCAACCCCCTTCCCTGTTGTGCGTGTGCCGTCCTCTGAAATACACACATTTGCGTTGACCTTCTGCTGTTTCACCTGCAAAGCAAGGTTCCCAACGACCGCTAACAAAAGATTTATTTTGTCCTCCCCCCGGCTTGGAGGGAAGTTGGCCTTTTGCAAAGTGGTTTTCAAAACCGAGCAGGTGGGAGTTTGGACAACAGAGAAATAATTACACGAAGCTGGGGTGGGCAGGCAGATGGAGGGCGAAGCGATTGTGGGAAGTGTATGTCGTTGTGTCTCTGTCTCCCACCCTGTGCATTTTCCCTTTTCAATTTAATTAGTAGATATTCTGTCTGTAGCCCTGTCTGCTTTTTTAACACTGCAAACGAGAGGCGCCTTTTGTCCCAGAGAGAGACTGAAGTGTGTGTATGTCCCGCCTCCTCTTGAAACAACATGGATGGTTACTGGTAGGAAAAATTGACCAGGTCCCATTAAAGGGGGGGGGCTTAATTAGGAGCATGGGAGGTCTGTTCTTGGGACCCCTTCCTTGCTAGGACAAAGATTTCTTTTTCTTTTACCACTACCGCCACTTCCGTTTGCTAAGGATGAGCAAGAAAAGAGGGACTCAGTTAGGGAGGTAATGAAGAGGAGGGGTTCCCCCGTTCGTCCGTGCTCAGAATGTTTTAGAGTCTCCGCTGTGTGGTGTGTTGTTCGTTGTTTCCACCCCTTCCAAGTGTCAAGTGCTGATGTAATTGTTTGGATGCTGGCAGAATGGCCTGTTCCGTGGGAACCTAAGGAGCTGCCTTCTACTGACTCAGGCCATCGGTTCGTTTATCTCAGTATTGCCTACACTGACTGGCAGCAGCTCTCCAGGGTTTCAGGCAGGGGACAGTCCCAGCCCTCTCTGGGACTGGGAAAGTAGAGTAATGCTCTATTATTACATCAATAAAAGGTAAAGGACCCCTGAACATTAGGTCCAGTTGTGACCGACCCTGGGGTTGCGGCGCTCATCTTGCTTTATTGGCCGAGGGAGCCGGCATACAGCTTCCGGGTCATGTGGCCAGCATGACTAAGCCACTTCTGGCGAACCAGAGCAGCGCACGGAAAGGCTGTTTACCTTCCCGCCGGAGCGGTACCTATTTATCTACATGCACTTTGACGTTCTTTCGAACCTCTAGGTTGGCAGGAGCAGGGACCGGGCAACGGGAGCTCACCCTGTCGCGGTGATTCGAACCGCCGACCTTCTGATCGGCAAGCCCTAGGCTCTGTGGTTTAACCCACAGTGCCACCCGCGTCCCATTGAGTACATCAATGCCCTGATGCTAAACACAGACTCACTCACTCACTCGCTCCATTTTGGGGACCTCCAAGCAAGATCATGGCGGAAAAGTCTCTCAGTGGCTATGTTCCAACTCCAGGATGTTTCTTGAGAAACCAGTTTTGCTGGCGAGCATTGGTGGGAGAGGGACATTGGCCTCTCTTCCAACTTGTGGGCTTTCCAGGGGCACCTGGTTGGGCTGCTGGAACAGTAGGCCTCTGTTCTGACCCAGCCAGGGCTCTTCTGTACTTTTGAGTCTTGGACAGCACCTGTTATTCACAGGTATACTTCCTCTAAGTATGGAGGTTCCATTGGGATACCATGGCTGATAGAGCTGCCTGCCATGACTTATCAAAGTGCTTGCCGCATCAGATCCGAGTTCCACCTGGCCCAGCACGCTGCTAGCAGCTCCCCTCTGACTTGTGGACACCTTCGCCTTCATTCCTCTATAAAGCCGGAGCATTAGGCTGTCCTTCCTAATTAGGCGTCACTTGCCAAATGGCCGGGGCTGTGTTTGGCGTCTTAATTAACTCGGATTGTCAGTTCAGAACAGAAACGCCTTCCTTGATTTCTCTCTGCCCTGGCCTCTCCGAGGTCCTGCAGGATTCGCACTCAGAAGCATTTCCTTGACCCCCCCGGGCTGCCTCTGCTTCTTGCGATAAAAGCGACAGAGGCTGCGGTTCGGCCCCAGGAGAGAAATGCCTTGCCTTAATTGTCACGGCGGATCGGAAGGCCCTTTTCTCTGAGAGCCCTGGCGGCCTTTTCCGTTCTCTGATGCTGAAGTGTGAGGTGATGAAGGTCAGGCAGCCGAGGAAAGCCTTGGTCATTATCGGGGAAATGTGACTGAAGTCCCCAATTGGTACGGGAGAAGTGGACGCCCCGGAGGCGGAATGATCGCCTGTCTTGCTTTGGAGGGTGGGAAATGTGATGGAGATGTCTCTTGTCTTCACAAAATGAAGGGGCAGCGAAGAAGGCCGAAGGGGCCAAGAAAAAAGGCTGGTTGTGATTCCTCCCACCACAGAATTTGCTAGTTCAGAAGGAACAGTGTTTCAAGCCACTGCTGCAGGAGCTTGTGGAGCAGAGTGGTTCAAGGCCCGGGCCCAAACCCTCTTTTTGCTCTCAGACTCAAAAGGTGGTAGAGTGTCCTCCATCAGAGGTTTTTAAACCAGGCATAGGCAAACTTGGTCCTCCAGATGTTTTTGGGACTACAACTCCCATCATCCCTGACCACTGGTCCTGTTAGCTAGGGATGATGGGAGTTGTAGTCCCGAAACATCTGGAGGGCCGAGTTTGCCTATGCCTGTTTTATTTTTATTTTTTTGCGATTTCTGCATTGCAGGGGGTTGGACTAGACAACCCTTGGGAGAATCCCTCTCAACCCTACAACTCTATGATTCTAAGCTCGTCACGAGTGGCTTCAGGCCAGTCGCCACCCCTCATCCCAACCTGGCTTTCAGGGATATTTGTGAGGATGAGATGGGCAGTTTGAATCAGGAGAGTGGCCTGATCTGAATTGCTTCCCCAGCCATTGAGTTTCCCTTCCTGTCTGCCCTCTGGATCCTGGCTCCCCTCCATCCTACATGGCTGCTTGTGGGCATGCAAGCGGGCAGCAGTGGTGGCAGTTGCTGGGGAGTGAGCAATGGCTTATGGCAACAGTGAACAATTTTATTTTATTTTAACACGAGGACCACATTTCATTGGGGGTTATCTGTTGGGGGGCCACAGGGCAGGCTGCAGCTGATGAGAAGCCCAGGAAGCTGCCTTGTACCAAGTCTAACCAACCCACCCACCTAGCTCAGTGTGGTCTGCACTGACTGGCAGCGGCTCCCCAGGTTTTCATACATGGGTCTCTCCCAGCCCTACCTGGAGGTGCCTTGAGTTGAGCACCTTCTGCATGCAAAGCGAGTGCCCTAACCACAGCCCTTAAGACAAATGAACATTGGAAGCTGCCTATTGCCCACCTAGCTCAGTGTTGTCTGCACTGACTGGCAGCTGCTTTCCAGGGTTTTTAGATGTGGGACATTCCCAGCCTTACCTGGAGATGCTGGGGACTGAAGCCAGGACCTTCTGCACTCAAAGCAGGTGCTCTGTCTGCTTGCCCTGGCAGCGGGCAGAGCAAAGGCGGGCATAACCTGTTCTCTTTCTCTCTCTCTGGAGCATCCCTTATCTGGTGACCCCCCCAAAACTTGAGTTCCCCACTACCTCTCCTCCTTGCTCTGCACCTTTCCAGGGTAGCCTAACCAGAAGACCACAAAGCCGTCTCCTCCCCTCGTCCTCTCACCCTTTCGTCTACTCTAAAGGACACCCATCTCAGACCTCCCCAGCTGCCCTCCATATCCTCCTAAGCTGTTAACGTGGCCCAGCCAATCTCCCTGCTCTTAGCTATTTTCATCTCCCTTCATAATCCACCCCCCGCCAAACCCCTTCTGTTGCAGCCTTCTTGAGCAATTGACACACGCGGTCACGTTTTCCTCAAAGTGCCCAGAAACCAAATGCCAGGCTCCACAGTTGACTCCCTCATGGGCCCTGCGAATAGTCAGACTGTGGACTGTGGATCCTTTTCATTAGCTGTGAGGTGGCAAGCCCAGGTTTGTAGGGGGTTGTCGGAGGACTACGACAAAAAACTGGAGAGGAAATCGCCGATGCTCTCATATTTGCCGCATGTCCAGAATGGATGAGTGTGAGTGGAATTTGCTGCTGCTGTTTCCCGTCTGCAATATGTAATCAATACATTTCCCTCCGCCATTTGCAATGTGTTTCCTTTGCATTGAGGTGAAAAGGGCGGAATAACGTATAAAGAGGACGCAACTTAGGTAGATTACATAAGTTACAAAATTTCACAGTGGAATTTTTTCAGTGGAATATTTGAATTTATTGTTACGGTCACAGACCAGTTCCGACTCACTTACAATATCAGAAAAATCATAAAACACGACGGGAATAGATTGAATTGCAATTGGGTTTAGCAGAGATAATTCAGATTTAACAGCAGTTAACAATATACATTAAATCTTGATCACTAAAATATAACCTAAAATTATCATTTAAAACCTTAATCATTTTGGTAGTACAGCTTGTTCCCTAAGTTTTATGGCAGTCGCACAGAATTTGGCCACCCTTAGCGTGATCTCTACATCCTTGTCCTCTACCAGGAGTTTTAGACATTGGGGTTCGGACCCATTTTTCAGTGGAATAGAAAAACAGTGCTGTGTGCAGAAAATGCAGAGCAGAACAGAAAACAATGCCTTCTGGCATCCCAAGGCCTGAACTTGATGGGGACCTACAAGTTGTCCTAACTCTTGCATGGTTCTGCACGTTCCCAAGCATTCGCTCGTCCTGTTCACACATTACCTTTTGAAAGTGTACATTAAAAAAGAAAAGAAAAGAAAAGCAGCAGCCACTTTGTTGGTCTGCTGCAATGAAAGGGTCTCATGGCTCCTTATAAAGACTAGGACATTTTGTTTATAGCATTATATTTTGTGTGCCAAAGCCGCTTTGAGAGCCAGTGTGGTGTAGTGGTTAAGAGCGGTAGTCTCGTAATCTGGTGAACCGGGTTCGTGTCCCCGCTCCTCCACATGCAGCTGCTGGGTGACCTTGGGCCAGTCACACTTCTCTGAAGTCTCTCAGCCCCACTCACCTCACAAAGTGTTTGTTGTGGGGGAGGAAGGGAAAGGAGAATGTTAGCCGCTTTGAGACTCCTTAGGGTAGTGATAAAGCGGGATATCAAATCCAAACTCTTCTTCTTCTTCTTCTTCTTCTTCTTCTTCTTCTTCTTCTTCTTCTTCTTCTTGATGGATGCATGTAACAGTATTTTCACTTGTAGCATCACAGAGCTGGAAGGGCACCTCAGAAACCATTTAGTCCAACCTGCTGCATAGCACAACAGTTAGCAGGTGCACAGTGGTTCAGTGTTAGAAGCTGGAATTGTGGGGCACCTGCCAAGAAGCCTCACATCCCAGCATGTGGCCCCACTGCTGACCCCTGGGGCACCGTGGCCGTTCTCTGCTACTCCTCCCTGTTCTTCATCTCTTCTCAGTTTGATGGCAAGTCATCTACTGTAGCCTACATTTATACACGATGATCGTGGCATTGCTGATATTTTGCTTGCTGTGCCTACTTCCGCTTGCTTATAATCCTGTGTGGTTTTGCATTCGGACATCTTTTATCAGCCTCGCTTTGTATGAAGGCCATGCGTTGCCCATAATCTCACTGCAGAAGACAACCGATCACATAACAAGCTCGTTCTTTGTGCAGCATTTGCTTGGCTCGAAGGGAAATGACCTGTGGTGGGGACAGGTGAACCTTGTCACTTCTGGCTCCTCTCAGCTTCCCACTCTTCCAACCTTAAGTTCTTTTGGCCACATTTCCACATCATTTTACAATTTGGTTATTTTTTTTAAAAAATTCCTCACAATTCCTTATGTTCTTTAAAAAAAAAACCTCACAAAAATTTATCCATTTTGTTGAAGCTTTTTTTGCCTAACGGAGTGCCTTTTTCTTTGCTGTTTTCATGGACAGACACCCCCGCCCTGTGTGATTCCTCCCCCATGTTTTTCCGGTCGGCAAACTGCGCCGTGAATTCCAGAGATGTGCGGATCGAGAAGGAGAGTTTTGTGTGCACGCCTCAGTTTGGCGTGTGTGCTTTATGTGTGTGTGAATTAGGTAGGCTCTCATGAAAACAACCGACCAAATTTCTTCCCCCGCCTCGGACCTGCGGTGGCCTGTGACGGACTCTTCCTGAAGACAGCTATTCATTTTCTGGCGGCTGGCGAGCCAGGAAATGGTAGGGAACGTGGCCATTGGGAGACAGTTTTGCATAGCTCCCTCCTCATTGGCTTAACGCCGAGAGGGGGACGTGGCCTGCCAGAGGCAAATCTGCATATGCCAGCTGGGGTGTCTTAAGGTATCTCCCAGCACAAGGAGTCTGGGCCAGGGGCTGGTTCAAAGAGACTTTCGAGGAATCTCAGCAGGCGAAAGTTGTCCTCCATTCTGGATGAACAGGTACAATTTTGCTGTGTGGACGGAGGTGCTTCAGGTTTTTTGTGTGGAAGCTGCAATTTGGGAGGGATGAGAAGCCTCAGGGGCAATTTCCCCTCCTGCGTTCCCCCTTTGTCGCTCTTACAAACAAATGAGATCCTTGAAAGCTGAAATACTCAGTTTTAACTCTTGTCTAATCCCACAGAAGCTTATGTTTCCTGAAATCCAAAATCCAAGTGCTTTGGTTTGAACTGGGGCTTGAGGATTAAGCTGCCCTGCAAAGGGCTTTTAAATTTTTTTTTACAGTTTGGGCAACCGTTTTGTTATTCCCAAGGAGCCAAATAAATCCTGCCTCCCTTCGTCTGCTAAAGGGGATCGCGGCAGTGGCTTAGCACAACTCGGGGGAGCTGAAATGCAATACCGCCCGAAAGGGAGGCAACGTTCGCACGCAAGTGACTGAAGGCGCAAGCTGGATGGTGGCACACGCAGCTGCCAGCAATTTCCACAGATGTGGTGGTGCTTTTTCTAGCAGCCTTAAGGCTGGGAATCCCCTACTGCAGGGATACCCATTGTGGCACCCTCCAGGATGTTGCGGCACTGCCTCTCCCATCAACCCCCTACGCCCACAGCAAAGGCTGATAGAAATAGGGGCAGAATTCAATTTGGTTTGCCTGCAAATGTGAACATTTGCACTGTCTGAAGCGGTCTGCAAACCGAAAAGCCCTTCAAAATTCACACTTCTCCGAATTTTGCAATTTGCAAGTTTTGTGTACAAAAGTGTGTTTATTAAGGCAAAGGGTGAACAGAAATGCATGCGTTTGTGAGAACCGTACACACAAAAATCCATTACTTTGGAGGAAATTGTTTTGGAAACACCTCTATAGTAGGGGAAAGCGCTTATAAACTTGCATGTCATTAGGAAAAATATGCTGGTGGGTTTTTGGAAAGATTCTTTTTTTAAATGTACAAACTGAGGGGGTTGAATGTTGAGAATTGAACTTAAAAGTTTGGGGGAAATTAGAAAGTGGGAGAAAACCAAAATGATAGATTCACCCATCCCCTTTTGGAGATGAAGGGAGCTGTACCCCAGTCCCATCTGGGTATATGTGTCCTGCCAGCCACTGCCTTGTTCCTTAACGATGGTCTGAAAATCTAATCTAATACAACTTTTTTGGCCTTCATACGGCAATTTTTTAAAATGCACACATTTCAGTAAAATCTCTCCACCAGCCCACCACTGCCCCATGCCTCCTATCATTATAATCCAGCACAGTTAGTTGTAAATAATCATGCAAATTTGAAATGGCTTAGGGATGAAGAGCCTTTATCCTGTGCATCCCAGGATCCCAGTCTTTAAAAGGATTTGGGGGGGTTACTGGGAGTAATTACAAAAATGAAAGTGACCCCTTTCATAATGACCCCCCCTCTATTTGTGGCTGCAAAGTGTTTTATTCGTGTTTTATTCTCTGCAGCTTCGGGGAAGATCCGGCGCTTGGCGGTAGACTTTGTTCCCTGCGCGAAATACCTTCTTGGGATTCCCTCCAGCAGCAAAGAGGCTTCCTGATCTCTCTAAGCGTGCTTTGCGCAGTCTCTGAGTCTCTTTGGTGTGGAGTTTTGCTTAATGCTTCAGCTGGGTTGCTGAAGATCTCTACGTGGTCTCCTCCTCCCAAATACATCTGGGATAGCTTTGTTCAGAGCGTTTGGCTTCTCTTCCTTAAACGTACACAGGCTATGAGCTGAGAGGTTGACACCTCAACGTGTTGTGGTTGCTGCGGATTTGCTGGTTTTTTTGCATCAGGCGGTGCACGGCGCAACGGGTGCTCCCTCTGCCCGAGATGGTGACTTCTGCGTTTTGGGAATGTTTGGGCCGTGGTCGGCTGCAGCAGGATGGACCCCGTGTGGTGCCACAGCTGCGTCCATGCTCCCCTCTGAGACCCGCCAGCAGCAGGAAACACTCTCCCCCCTGGGGCTGTCGCCTTCTGAGGCCAATCAAATGCTACCCAGAAGCTCCACCTTCTGTACATCATTGTAGGTATCGGGCTTGTTAAGAACTGCTTCCGGGGGGGGGGGGGCAGGTGCCAACCACTTGCATGTGGTTCTGTCTTCCAAACAGAGTTTCTATTGAAGCATTGATGCGACTGCTGCAACCTTGGCTTGCAAAAATCAGCTGCGCACACACTCACATCCCTTCCCATTTCCAGATGACGGTTAAGTCCAAAGAGCTCTCTAGCTACAGTGCAATGATTTAAAAAAAAAATAATACTCTTTAATGCTAACCCAGTCTATGAAATGGAATTGGCAGGAGATTCAGGATAAGGAAGACTACAGGTCCGTGCTGGAGCATCTGTTTCAAATGCAGGCGGTCCGATGTTCAATCCCTGGCATTTCCTGGTAGGACTGGGGAAGGCTCCTTGTCTGAAACCCTGGAGAGCCAGGCAATACTTAGCTTAGAAAGACCCATCGGTCTGACTCAGTGTACGTTCCTATATCTTAAGGGAAAGGCTGTAGCTCAGTGGTACAACAGGTGCTTTGCGTGCAGAAGGTCCCCAATAGCATCTTCAAGTAGGGCTGGGAGAGACTCCCTGCCTTGAAAACCCTGGGGAGCTGCTGCCGATCAGTGTAGACCCAGGGGTAGGCAACCTAAGGCCCGGGGGCCGGATGCGGCCCAATCGCCTTCTAAATCAGCCCGCGGACGGTCCAGGAATCAGCATGTTTTTACATGAGTAGAATGTGTCCTCTTATTTAAAATGCATCTCTGGGTTATTTGTGGGGCCTGCCTGGTGTTTTTACATGAGTAGAATGTGTGCTTTTATTTAAAATGCATCTCTGGGTTGTTTGTGGGGCATAGGAATTTTGTTCATTATTTTTTCATAATATAGTCCGGCCCACCACATGGTCTGAGGGACGGTGGACTGGCCCACAGCTGAAAAAGGTTGCTGACCCCTGGTGTAGACAGTACAGTGGTACCTCGGGTTACATACGCTTCAGGTTACAGACTCCGCTAACCCAGAAATAGTACCTCAGGTTAAGAACTTTGCTTCAGGATGAGAACAGAAATCGTGCTCCGGTGGCACGGTGGCAGCAGGAGGCCCCATTAGCTAAAGTGGTACGTCAGGTTAAGAACAGTTTCATGTTAAGAACGAACCTCCAGAACGAATTAAGTACTTAACCCGAGGTACCACTGTACTTAGCTAGGTGGACCCTGCAGAAGGCAGCTTCCTTATGGCAGAAAAAAGGAAGTACTTGCTAGTGATGCAGCGCATGACTGATGCATGGAACTTGCTCCCACAAGACGTGGCGACAGATGGCTTTGAAGGGGGATTTAGGCAGAATCCTGTAGGATGTCTTGCTGTTGTCTGTTAGCCATGAGGGCTGAATTGAACCTCCAAGTTCAGAGGCAGTCTACCACTGAATAATAACAGCAGCCGGGGAGCAAGAACGTGGGCAGGAAGTTTCCTTCAGGATCTGCCTCCAGACTTCCCAGAAGCAACTGCTTGGTCAATGCGGGGAAGCAGAATGTTGGACTATGCAGTGGCGTAGCGTGGGTTGTCAGCACCCGGGGCAAGGCAAGCAATTTGCGCCCCCCTAACCCGTGGATTTGCGCCCCCTAACCCCCAGATGTTGCACCCGGTGCGGCCGGCCCCCCCTGCACCCTCCACGCTACGCCACTGGGACTATGCAGAGAGTTGGCTTCATCCATCGGGGCCACTTTTGCTTTTTTTTTTAACCAAACTTTATATACAGCTTGATTGTAAATAAAACCACCAAGCAGTTTACAGTGGTACCTCAGGTTAAGCACTTAATTCTTTCTGGAGGTCCGTTCTTAACCTGAAACTGTTCTTAACCTGAAGCACCACTTTAGCTAATGGGGCCTCCTGCTGCCGCCGCAGCATGATTTCTGTTCTTATCCTGAAGCAAAGTTCTTAACCTGAAGCACTATTTCTGGGTTAGCGGAGTCTGTAACCTGAAGCGTATGTAACCTGAAGTGTATGTAACCCGAGGTACCACTGTATATATAAAAGCAGATATCAGGTATTTTTTTTAAAAAAACATCTAAGTGCAATTTAAATCTATTATAAACTAAAACCAGGTTAAAGCAAATGCCAACTTCTGCACACGTGGATGGGCTTGCTCAACCAAAAATGTTTTAAGCAGGTGCCGAAAAGAGTGTACCGGAGGCACTGATGTCAATAGGCAGGGAGTTCCAAAGGGTTAGGTGTTGTCACACTGTAAGGTTGATTTCTTATCAGTGCAGAAAAGATTTCATATAGCACCTGTAACGGTATCAGTTCACCAGATTGAAGTGATCAAGTGGGCAAGGGGATCACGCAAGGGAAGTTTGCTAGCTGCACCCTGGAGGAATCCCTCCCTTCCTGCAGAGCCTCGCCATCTTCTGCTTACACAGTCCTGCTTCCCTCCAGTGCTGCGCTGAGAACATTTGGCTTGAAGAAACACATGCCTGAAATGTTCTTGTGTGTGTTTTTTTGAATAATTTTGTATTAGATTTTCCACAATGATAACCAAAAACACAAAGCAGAGTGGTACACAAAAACAGGAAAAAAAGAACAATAAACAGATAAACAATAACAACAAACTTAAATCCAACCTTTTAAGCATCTTAGTTGACTTCCTCAAGTCCCTCCCTTCTGAGTTTCCTTGTAGTTAAAAGTAACAGCTTTCCAATATAATTATTAAACTAAAACAATTTCCAATTATAGTCCATCTTATTCACTTTTCTTAACATTCTAAATCCCATTTATTTAATTATAACTTAATTTAATCTAGGCCTATTTGTTTTCTTTCAAGTAATTTCTAATTTTTTATGTTACAATATTTATTCAAATAGTCCTTAAATTTCCTCCAGTCCTCTTGGAACTCCTCTTCTTTCTGGTCGCGGATTCTTCCAGTCAGGTCAGCTAGCTCCGTAAAGTCCATCATCTTCATCTGCCAATCTTCCACTGTTGGTAGTTCTTGTGTTTTCCAATTTTTAGCAAGTAATATTCGGGCCTGAATCGTCCTTGGGAAAGTTTGCCTAATCTCTCCCTGTGTGTCTCTCTCTGTCTCTTTCCTTGGGGTGGGGAACCCTTTTCATCTCCGAGGGCCACGTTTCCTCATGGACAAATTTTCGGGGGCCGCATACCAGTGGTGGGGCAGGGCCCAACGGTGGCAGATCAACACTGTATAGCAGACTACATTCCAGCTCTGCAAAAGTTGTGCTTTTGCACCATCCAGGCAAATGAGAAGTATATCACAGCTCAGCGACGCATTCTAGTTCAAGCTAAAAAAGCAGAGCAGATTTATTGTGGAGCACAGCTTTGGGATCTATGGGTCACAGCCTGGGGAGGGTTCTCAATAGCCAGATAGAGCTGGCGGGCCAGATTTGGTCCCCAGGGCTTGTCATCTCCCTTCACTGGCCTAAAGCAATATCAGAGATGGGGCAGAAGAATATTTCTTCCCAAGTTGATGGGTGTGGGGAGTGAACTTTTCCCCCCTGGGTCTCTTATTCCGCCCTTGTTTTCAGAGTTGTCTCTCCCCTCCATCTCTCAGAACCAGTTCACATAAACAGCTGATGTGGTCCATTAGTTTTTCATAATAGGTGTGTGTGGATGGGGTATGTGTGTATGTGTGTGTGTTTACTTTGGGGGATCAATCATTGACCTGGCAATGAATGAGGAATCTATTCTTAGGGTCTATATCAGACACCTGGGACTTGCCACTCATTTCCACTGGGCTGTGTGTGTGTGTGTGTGTGAGAGAGAGAGAGAGAGACCTTTCTTCCCATCCCCACAGGTTTTCAGTTCAGAATTTGGCAGTCAAGTCTGACAAGGGGAAGCTGGGTCAACAGAAGATATTTGGAGGTGCCCAAACACGTTTGCTCTTTATTGAACACGACGAAGTAATCTGGAAAGAATTTTCTCCTGCTAGGTGCTAATCCTTATTCGATTTTCACACACACACACACACACACACACACGGGCGAAGCTGTTGGTCTTGAAAAAAACCTCCAGTTGTGTTCTTGAATCTGCGCCCCTCTGTACTGGCATGTGTTTGTTTTTGATGGTATCTTCTGCAACATGCCAGTAAACGCAATGATAGCAAAACCCACAACCACTATGCACAGCTGGTGAAAAAATTAACAAATGGGTCCTTGTGCACATTTGGACGAAAGGTGGATACTAGTCTGAAACGGCTGAAGACGGGTGCACTAGGGGTGTGACTGAATACTGCATTTGCTGTAAAGAATTCTCTTTTTTAAAAAAAAAATGGAAGTAGTTGAATCCCTAACTTGTGTGATGCTTCCAGGCTTCTCTCAGTGTTGTGGTGCAATCATTTTTTTTGTTCCATTTAGGAATCACTTCCCATTAAACATCATGGAGTGATTGATAAGGAATACATCATATAACATATATTACTATACAGTGGTACCTCGGGTTACATACGCTTGAGGTTACATACGTTTCAGGTTACAGACTCCGCTAACCCAGAAATAATGCTTCAGGTTAAGAACTTTGCTCAGGATGAGAACAGAAATTGTGCTCCGGTGGCATGGCAGCAGCAGGAGGCCCCATTAGCTAAAGTGGTGCTTCAGGTCAAGAACAGTTTCAGGTTAAGAACGGACCTTCAGAACGAATTAAGTACTTAACCCGAGGTACCACTGTAAATATAACAACAACAGTGCTCTTAGTGATGAATAATAGCCGCATTTACACTACACCCTTTCATCCACGAGCTCAGGGTTCGAATACATTGGTCTCCCCCCCTTTTAGTCTCACAACAGCCCTGCGTGGCTGTTTAGGCTGAGACATACTGATGGGTTCAAGGTCACTTAGCAAGTTTTGCACCTGAACGTGGATTGGAACCCAGGTCTCCTTGTCCAGAGCCCTTCTCAGTGTAATGTTGCCTTCCTTCCCCTGCAGTCTCCCGCATCAATGGGCACCCAAAGCTGGACCGACACCGGGAGCACCCGCCGGGCTACGACAGCTCTTCCACCATGATGAGCAGCGAGTTGGAGTCCAGCAGCTTCATCGACTCCGACAATGACGAAAACACGAGCAGGTAACGGATGTGCGAGGCAAGGAGTGCAGGAAGGTGCCTCGTAGCGAGTCTGCCAATGGTCCACCATTGCTCAGGGTTGCCCCCTTCCTGAAGCCCTGGGAGCTGCTGCCAGTCAGTGTAGACAACACTGAGCTTGACCTGGCTTGGAATTTAGGCACCTTCCTTTGCTGCTGTGCCTTAAGGGAAGGTCTGTAGTTTAGCAATTGTTCAATCCCTGCCTCTGCAGGTATAGAGAGACCCTGTGGACAACACTGAGCGGAGATGGAATAATGGTCTGACTCAGCATAAGGCAGCTTCCCGAGTTCCTGTTAAGAGATTTGTCATGAAGGACTTTGTCATAACAGTTGTTGTCATCTGTCAAATGGAACAAAGAAATGGCAAGACTTTAATCCAAGTTATACCCTCAATTACCTGCCTTCAATGCTTATGCACACATCTGGCAACCCCACCGTATACAAGGCTTTCCACTTCCGACAGTTACCTTATTAAGCCTAGGTGGGTGGCGCTGTGGTCTAAACCACTGAGCTGCTTGGGCTTGCCAATCAGAAGGTCAGCATTTCGAATCCCTGCGATGGGGTGAGCTCCCATTGCTCTGTCCCAGCTCCTGCCAACCTTGCAGTTCAAAAGCATACCAGCATGAGTAGATAAATAGGTACCATTGTGGCAGGAAGGTAAATGGCATTTCCGTGCACTCTGGATTCTGTCACGGGGTTCAGTTGTGGCATAAGCGGTTTAGTCCTGCTGGCCACATGACCTGGAAAGCTGTCTGTGGACAAATGCCGGCTTCCTTGGCCTGAGGCGAGAGGAACACTACAACCCCATAGTTGCCTTTGACCGGACTTAACCATCCAGGGGTCCTTTACCTTTTTATTATTATTAAGCCTAGGTAAAGGTAAAGGGACTCCTGACCATTAGATCCAGTCGTTGCCAACTCTGGGGTTGCGGCGCTCATCTCGCTTTATTGGCCGAGGGAGCCGGCGTACAGCTTCTGGGTCATGTGGCCAGCGTGACTAAGCCATTTCTGGCGAACCAGAGCAGCGCACGGAAACACTGTTTACCTTCCCGCCAGAGCGGTACCTATTTATCTACTTGCACTTTGACGTGCTTTCGAACTGCTAGGTTGGCAGGAGCTGGGACCGAGCAACAGGAGCTCACCCCATTGCGGGGATTCAAACCGCTGACCTTCTGATCGGCAAGTCCTAGGCTCTGTGGTTTAACCCACAGCGCCACCCGAGTCCCATTATTAAGCCTAGGAGGTATTAAATACCAAAGAAATAATAATTTTTGTCCCTCCTGTGCCACTAAGGCTTCATGATGCCTTCCACACCTGTTCTTTTTTATTTTTTTAAAAAGCCAAACTTGGACTGTGCTCAAGGTGCCAAGAGATTGGGATGGCGGGTTTTTTCTCCGCGTGGGAAGGAGGGTGCTCTGCCACCAACTTCCTAAAGGACACCCACCCTCCGCTTGCCCGATGAGATGGTTGTTTCTGATCCATTTTCTTCTTCCTCCACCCCCTTTTAAGCTTCTCAAAGGAACACGGCACCTTTAACCCCCACCACTTTCCTCTCCCATTTTTTTAAAAAATAAGTGGAATATTTCTATAGTGGCGGACGATCCATGCTGGGATTGGATTAAGAGCAGCCCAAAGTGGGTTACTGGAGCATCGCACGCTGGATCCAACTAGATCCAGCCCCAGTGTACATTTTCATAACACCCCTTTCCCCGCCCCGCTCCAGATTTTTATCCTTCCCTGTAGAAGAATAAATAAAATAAAACGAACGGCTGCAGAGGCTGCTATGGAGGGGCCCTTTCCCCCCCCTTTCCCTTTCTGAGCTGAGGGAGGGAGTCTTGGCACAAGCGACTGGCTGGCTTGCCGGCCATCCAGTGCATCGGGGTGGAATGTGCCAAGGTATGTTGTTTAATATTACAAAGATGATGTTCATAAGCGGATGAGACATTCCGTCGGTGGGGGAGCTTGGGGAAGGGGGGCGGTGGCGGCAGCAGCTCCTGAGATATGGAAGGGGATGGATTATTCTGCACAAACAGCAAGAGGACAGAATAACAAAGCTTTTTGTCTGGCATTGCGAAAGGACACACCGGCGCAAGTGCACTTGTATTCTCAAGTCGGGCACCAGCAACTTGCGCGGGGGGGGGGCAGGAGGGGGCATTGTGGGGCTGAGAAAGGAGGCCTGGAAATTGTGTTAAGAGAGGGGGCACATTCCTCATGCCCCACCTGTGCGTGAGTACTCTGGTCTTCTTTCTTCTTTGAGAAATATTCGTCTGCATAGATAAGAGTCCGCATACAGTTGAAGCACCCCCCCTCGAATCCCAGGAACTGTCGCTTACCCCTCACAGAGCTGTACTTCCCAGCATCCTTAACAAACTACGGTTCACAGGATTCTTAGCGGTGTGCTTTAAATGTATGCTATGCATGCAGCCGAAGAGTAAGTACTCTGTTTTTTTCCTTTTCTGGATAGATGTAGAGTTGCATCGAATGCTACACCTGCCAGGGAACCTTCTGCATGCAAAGGGGATACTCTGCAGCCGAGCCACAGACCTTTCCTTTTCATTATGAATGGAGAGATCTGTCAATTCCTACCAAACACTGTGCTCCCTTGGCAAAAAGTAGCTATTAATCAATTCGCAGGCTTTCTGTGGGGCGGGGGGGGGGGGGAGAAGGAATTATTCAGATCTGGGAATGTAGTGCCAGGAGGGTTTGCAGGTTTAAAACTCCTTTCCCTACACACGAGACCTTGGTTCTCTTAAGTTACTCATTTTTGCAGTTCTCGACATTTCCACAGCAATTTGTGACTTACATTTTCGCAATGACTTTTTTTTTTTAACCAGCATTTTAGTGCAAATTTCACCATATATATGCGCAATTTTGAGTCATGTACACATTTTTGTTATTAGTTTCCCCTAAGACTGGATTTTTGTAGTATCTTTATTGAATCAATGCATTTTTATGCACTTCTCCCCTAATACATGCATTTATAAACATATTGCTCCGTTGGACAACTGCATCGTAAAAATCAAAGAAGTGTGAATTTTCAGAGAGTAGCCATGTTTTGGTTTGCATATTGGTTTGTGAGGCAGAGTTAGGGAGTTTCTCGTCAATAGCAAATGAGTTTGAATTTCTCCTCCATCAATTGCGACAGCTTACAGGTTCCCACAGTCTGGCTTAGCTTGGCTTGGTCCAGTCAGTGGCAAACCCGGGTTTGCAACCAAATAACAGAACTGCCCCTTCCTATTTGTGTTGCCTAAGTGAATCACAGTTAATGCGGTCTGTGCAATAGCACTGAGCTCTTCCCCTGTGAGATAAACATATTGAGTGAGATCATTGTTTGTGGGATGCCTAATTTAAACAGCACATTGTTTCCATTCCGCTTTCCTTCCCGTCTTTTTGAGAAACGAGATTGTTTTGGAAACTTCGGGAGTCGAGAACGGCTGCATCACCCTGCGGCTCCCCCTTGTGGTGAGCCACTAGACAGCAGGTGATGGCTTCTCAGTGGAGTCTCTTTAAGGACCAACTGCACCTTCCTAGTCCGCCCTTTGGACCATCCTTGACAGGAAGGCGTACAAGAGGGCCAACAAACAGTGCTCCCCCAAAACCCAGTTGTCTTCACCCCCAAAGCTGTGGTGGGAAAAGAACTGAGGGGAAGCAAAAGCCCACCATCTGAAGGAGAGCCCCTTACCCTAAGGGTCTCTCCTTGGGATAGACTTCCCTAGTGGCCTTTCAAAGCATCATCCCCATTGCTTTGCTTAGGGGAAAGAGCATAGCTCAGTGGTAGAGCACCTGCTTCGCATGCATAAGGTCCTGGGTTCATCTCCAGGTAGCAGCTATCTGAAATCCGAAGAAGTGGCTGCCAGTGTTTAGGCAATATTGAGCTAGCTGGAGCAATGGTCTGGCTCCACGTAAAGCAGGTTCCTATGGGATATGCTGGGGGTGTAAGAAGACCAGAGGCAGGGACAAGGTCTATTCTTCCCTTCAATTCTGTTCTTAGCAGATTTTCACCATCCCTTAAGTCAGTGGTTCTCAACCTGTGGGTCCCCAGATGTTGGACTACAACTCCCATCATCCCTGAGCTAGCTAGGAGTGATGGGTGTTGTAGTTCAACAACATCTGGGGACTCACAGGTTGAGAAAGGCTGCCTTACGTGGATGGACATGACTAACCTAAGCCCATTGATTTCTGTGGGTTTATTCTGAGCAGAGCACCCTAACTGTACAACCTAGCAATTCCAAAATATAGATGTGTTTTTACCCTCGCAAGACTGAATGTGTTGCCCTCGGCTGTACTTGAGGGACGATTCCAACAGATTCCACACGAAAAACGCTTACCATATGTCCCTGCAGAGATGGCAGCACCGAATCAGTGGCGCATGCCCTCCTGGCGTGCACTCTTTACAAAGACCTGAGGAACAAGATTATCACCCCTCTTTTATTGCCCATTCCAGGTCGTCCAACCACTGCCATGGTGTCTTTTCTCCTGGCAGATCAAGAGGAGCAGATGGCAGCAAAGGTTGCAAGGTTTTTTAGCTGGGGCAATCAGAATAAGGTCCACTGTTTGACTGCTGATTCAGGATCCTAAACTGTGTTTTATTATAATCGACTTTTTATTTTGTTCTGTGTATATCACAATGCTCTTTTGTTGCTATGGCCGATGGCTAACGCAAATAGAGTTTTATTCATTCATTCTGAGTTGGATACAACGCAGTGTGTTTTCACCGGCAGCAGGCTCAACTTTGAAAGCAAAAGAAAGCAAATTTTGCAACCTGCCAACATGTGTTCTAAATTTTCTCTTGATTTCTTTTTTTGGTCCTATTTCTACCCCTCCCAGGTTGAGTAGCTCCACAGAACAAAGCACTTCGTCCCGTCTCATCCGGAAACACAAACGCCGTCGCCGGAAACAGAAGATGCGACAGATTGACCGGGTAAGCCTTTGTGGTTTGGAGTTTGCTGCCTTCGTTAAGAGTTTGAAGCAGGAGGGGGGAGAGGACCAAATAGTGCAGGACTCCAACTCCCATCAGCCCCAGCCAGCATGGCTGGTGTTCCAGGATGATGGGAATTGTAGTCCAAAAACATCTAGAGAGCTTCAGGTTCCCCATCCCTGCTTTAGACAAAATTGTAAATAGCTTTTGCCTGGTCACCTGTGATGAGTAACAACCATCCCCAGGCAATGAAAGAAATGTCTTCTTTTCCTCTTGTTTTCGAGGCTAACATAAGTATGTGTGGGCTAGCAGCCTCATGTTGTAAGCTTATTTATAAGGCTGCCACAGAAGTTGGGACGCGGGTGGCACTGTGGGTTAAACCACAGAGCCTAGGACTTGCCAATCAGAAGTCGGCGGTTTGAATCCCCATGACGGGGTGAGATCCCGTTGCTCGGTCCCTGCTCCTGCCAACCTAGCAGTTCGAAAGCACGTCAAAGTGCAAGTAGATAAATAGGTTCCACTCTGGCGGGAAGGTAAACGGTGTTTCCGTGCGCTGCTCTGGTTCTCCAGAAGCAGCTTAGTCATGCTGGCCCCATGACCCGGAAGCTGTGCGCCGGCTCCCTTGGCCAATAAAGCGAGATGAGCGCCGCAACCCCAGAGTCGGCCACAACTGGACCTAATGGTCAGGGGTCCCTTTACCTTTACCTTTACCTTTACCTTTACACAGAAGTTGGCCTTTGAACTGTTTCTTGGCTTTCTGCCTACGTCATTGCCCAGCCAACTCTTGCAATAGCCACGTTCTGAACTACAGTAACTGCAAATTGTTGCCAGCTTCTCCTTTTTGCTTTTCAGTCGTCTTCCTTCAGCAGCATCACAGACTCTACCATGTCCCTGAACATCATCACCGTCACCCTCAACATGGGTAAGCCCCATTGGATGAGCTGCTGTTATGTCATGGCATGCTCACAAGGAATTGTAAACGCAGTCGCAAAATGTGCACATTTGTGGCAATGACTCTTTACCCATCTTGCCTCTACCAAAACAAGCTAGGTGTGCACAACCAGTAACTCCGTACCTTGGAAACTGGGGGAAGTGGCGTGGTGCCGTTAAGATCTAGTTGAGCTCCAACTCCCATCAACCCCAGCCAGCATGGCCAGCGGTCAGGGATGATGGGAGTTGGAATCCAACAACATATGGAAGTTCCCTGTCCCTGAACTGGGAGCAACATCCAGAAAGGAGGCTCCCTGCTGTGTCTCTGCATGACTCCCTGCTTTGGTGGGTTTTTTTGTACATGAACAAAACAAAGACATAAAAAGTTGCAATTAGGGGATATATTTCAAAACACGATTGTTATAGTGGGCATTGGGAGTCTGACAACATCCAGATGACACCATGCTGGATAATTCTGTATCCAGGGCAGCTGTCTACCAGCTCCATCTGGAATGCAGGTTGAGACCCTACCTGCCCGCGGACTGTCTCGCCAGAGTGGTGCATGCTTTAGTTATCTCCCGCTTGGACTACTGCAATGCGCTTTACGTGGAGCTACCTTTGAAGGTGACCCGGAAACTACAACTAATCCAGAATGCGGCAGCTAGACTGGTGACTGGGAGTGGCCACCGAGACCACATAACACCAGTCTTGAAAGACCTACATTGGCTCCCAGTACATTTCTGAGCACAATTCAAAGTGTTGGTGTTGACCTTTAAAGCCCTAAACGGCCTCGGCCCAGTATACCTGAAGGAGAGTCTCCACCCCCATCATTCTGCCCGGATGCTGAGGTCCAGCGCCGAGGGCCTTCTGGCGGTTCCCTCGCTGTGAGAAGCCAAGTTACAGGGAACCAGGCAGAGGGCCTTCTCGGTAGTGGCGCCCGCCCTGTGGAACACCCTCCCCCCAGATGTCAAAGAGACAAACAACTACTTGACATTTAGAAGACATCTGAAGGCAGCCCTGTTCAGGGAAGTTTTTAGTGTGTGACATTTTAATGTATTTTTAATCTTTGTTGGAAGCCGCCCAGAGTGGCTGGGGAAACCCAGCCAGATGGGTGGGGTACAAATAATAAATTATTATTATTATTGTTGTTGTTGCTGTTGTTGTTATTGTTATTATTAGCTACCCTGGTCTTAAGACCATGGTGATGAGCCTTTCAAAATTGCTAGTTCCATGCCTCAGCTAACCTTTCTTCTCTCCCTTCCCCATCTGCATGGTCCAGTCCTGCGCGGGGGGTGGGGGAGAGAGCCCTAGACCCCTCCAGCAGGGGACAAGGGGGGTATATTTAGAAGGCCACCTGTGACCCTCCTCTAATTGCACATTTGCACACTCTTCCTCCTCTCTACTTTCCAGAAAAATACAACTTCCTAGGAATCAGCATCGTGGGCCAGAGCAACGACCGAGGAGATGGTGGCATCTACATAGGCTCCATCATGAAAGGCGGCGCTGTAGCAGCTGACGGAAGGATCGAACCGGGGGACATGCTCTTACAGGTTGGCAGAAGTATAGGCTCCTAAGGAGAGCTTGGCCTCTGAATTGGGGCGAAGGCCCAGCAGATCCAGCATCCTGATGGGGGTGGAGATGCTCTCACTGGTGGGTGGGGCCAGAGGCAAAAGTGGGCGGGGTAATGAAGTTAAAATTTAATCTTTGTACAGCAGGTTGGTTTCCACACACACGCCTCTCTGTCCTCCACCTTGTCAAGCAAGAGGCATCATCTGAGTTGAAGGACGCATTCCATCCAGGCAAAAACACCCCAGGAGGATGCTAAGCAGGGCTGGGGAGGTGGTGTGGCCTGACGAGATTGCCGAGGGCCAGGTAGACAGGTCTAGAGGGCCACATTGAGGACTGAGCCATCCTTGTATGCCAGGTGTGGGGAACCTACGGCCTTCCAGATGTTGAACTACAACTCCCATCATCCCCGACCATTGGTCATGCTTGCTGGGGTTGATGGGAGTCCAGCTACATCTGGAGGACCACAGGATCCGCACACCTGATGTAGTCCCTTGGAGCAGGGCTCTCGGCTATGAGCGTTCAGTCCAGTGTTCAGCTGGGAGGCAGCCGTTGTGCTCATGTCCTCCTCCTGGGCTTCTGACAGTGGCAGATTTTGGCGCTTAAGAATTTCAACGGCATCCAGTGCAGCACTGAAATTCCCCCCACCCAAGCCTCTTGCCTTCCATTGTTTGTCATTGTTGTGGCACCCCCTGCAGTGCCCTTTTGGCTGGGCGCCCAGTGTGGGAAAACCAGCCCATAATCTGCCTCTGCTTCTGATTGGCTGCATTGAGAACGGAATGCTTGGCCTTTGATCTGACCCAAAGCAAGTCTCCTCTTCATCTTCTTACGATTTGGAGGGGAAACCCCTGGCGATAACAGATTCCTCACCTGTTGCACTCCAGGTGAACGAGGTCAACTTCGAGAACATGAGCAACGATGACGCAGTGCGGGTCTTGCGGGAAATCGTCTCCAAGCCGGGGTGAGTGATCGTAGCAAAGCCAGGGCGCTGTGCGTTTGTGTTACTCCTGCAGTTGATGTCTTGTATCCGGTGGTGGTCCTACTCAGAGTAAACCCATTAACATTAATGGAGTCAGCACTAATTTCAGTGGGTATACTCTGAGTAAAACTTGGTACCGCTCATTGACTGCAGCCAGTGCAGAGAGCAACCTCCCCAAATCTGTCCTTTGTCTTATATTGTATTTTAAACAAGCGTGTGTTTTAACGCTCATGCTTTTCATCCTTTGTGTGCTGTGTTTTATCTGGTCTGAGACTGTATAATAAATGATTTCATTTGATTTGACTCCCAAAATCAGCCTGGGTTCAGGCTCGGGGTTATGAAGAGACAATGTTGTGGTGTATTCGGGGGGCTGTGTAAATATGACTGTCAGGTCCCCAAAACCCAGACCCTGAGACTCACAGTGAGTGCTTTAGGGTTTGTCCCACATTGGGCTGCATGGAGGGAGGAGATGTGAGGACATGATATATCAGATAACCTCCAAGCTATTCTTTTTAAAACTTCCTGCATGTAGAAAACTGGTATCTAGAGGCACAGAGAGAACTAGAAGTTTTCTCCTTGGCGCACTAGTTTACTAGATGCAGTGAGGTGTCATCGTTTTTTGTTGTTGAGTTTTAATGGGGCAGGGCAATCAAAATAAGGTCTCTCTCCATCCCACCCCTGTGAGTTTGAATGGGATGGACTCTAGCACTTGAGCTTTATTGAGTGAAGAGCTCAGTGTAGAATCAAAGGGCGGAGAGGTGGTGAGATTAGGAGCCTGGAACCATGTGGCTGGTGGGAAGCCATGGACAGAACGTAATAAGGTCATTCCTTTGAGTGTTCTGTTTTCGTTCCCTTCGTAATATATATCTGTTTTCTATAATATTTCTCCAGCCCTATCAGCCTAACAGTGGCCAAATGCTGGGATCCTACGCCCCGGAGTTATTTCACAATCCCCAGAGGTGAGTGATCCAGCCATTGCAAACAGCCTTAAAGCACACACAGTTCATGGCATTGATCGTCCACGAGGTTTTATAAAGGAGTGGTGCTGATGCTGATGCTGATGATGTGGAAAGAGGGAAACCTTTGATCTAGAGCAGTGATGCTAGTGGAGAGGCTATGTAATCTCCAGGTGTTGTTAGACTACGACTCCCACCATCCCCGACTGTTGGTTCTGCTGGCTGGGACTGATGGGAAATGTAGTCCCACAACATCCAGGGACCTGAGGTTGAAGAACACACATCTAGGGAGTCATCCAATGAAATGGATTCATCTTCTAAACCAGGGATGTCCAACAGGTCGATCTGGATTGACTGGTCGTTCCCTGGGAGGTTTTGGTAGATTGCAGTAGGTTGCTGGCTCCTCCATCTGGCCTTTTCATTGTGAGGCTGACTGTCTCCTTAGTGCTCTATCACTGAACGCCTGTTTTCATTTATTAGACCTTAACCTGCACATATGCGGGACATTCCCAAAATAGCTCAACAATTCCTCCCCAAAAGAAGGACAATAAGTTTGACCTGATCCCCCCCAAAATGGGACTTTCTTCCCTAAAAATGCTCAACAACTTTTACCTGAATCTCCCCCCAAAAGGGTTTAGATCAGTGGTTCTCAACCTGTGGGTCGCCGGATGTTGGACTACAACTCCCATCATCCCTGAGCTCTGGCCTTGCTAGCTAGGGATGATGGGAGTTGTAGTCCAACAACATCTGGGGACCCACAGGTTGAGAAAGGCTGGTAGATCACTGCCAGATATTAATTGTGTGAGTAGATCTCTTGGAAGTTGGACGCCCCTGTTCTAAACCATTTTTATGCTGCTTCACACAGTTTTTTATGCTCATTCTATGCTGGTGCTACTTTTGTCTCTGTTGCCTTGCTTGCTAAATTATTTCATTTTTGTATTTTAATTATTTTAAATTTGTGAGCAGCCCAGAGGATGCAGTTACTTGGGCAGAATATAAATGCAGGAAGGAAATAAATAAGAGTCAGGGCTGGCACAAATAAATCCTCGGTAAAACAGACGTGGCAGCAGGGTTTATGCATTTTGTAAACCAAGGATCCATCATCATCATCATCATTTTATTTGTATGCCGCCTTTCCGTAGTTAAAACAATGCTCAAGGCAGCTTACAACATGGCAAGATTTACATAATTACCAGCATAACAAAAGTCATAAACAATAAATAAAAACATCAAAAGGTATGCAACCAAATGGAAAACATTTCCACATAAATCACAAAATCTAAAACTAAAAAATACAGCATTAATATCTATAACAATTTAAAATGACATAGATATAAAATAATAACAATCTACACATGCAGTCTACCTGACCCATATTTCTTACAGAAGCGTGGATGAGACTCAGAACTAAATACTATTCTGACCTGAACTTTGACCAGTAAAGTCAAAGCTTTAGACACCTTATGACTCTTCCTAAAGCTAACTGTATTTATGGGCCCCACCAGCCTTACCTTGGATTCAGCCTCGAAGGGGTGTGTGTTCTCCAGCCCAGAGTCCCTGAGGTTATTTGCTGGAACTGAAAGTGTAGGTTTGAGCTGGACCCTGAAATGAAACGAGCAGAATCCTGTTCTGATTGGCTAGACAAGGGCAGAAAGCCCAGCTTCTTATTTATGCTTTAAGAAAACTGGCCAATAGGTACCCAGGACAAAGAGCCTTTTTAGCAGGGGCAGTCAAGGCAGCTTTTATGTCAGAAGGTTTTGGAAGATGGTGATGATGATGATTAATTAAATTTGTATGCCGCCCTATACCCATAGATCTCAGGGTGGTTCACAACATAAATATAAATATAAAATATTGATATTGTGTTTTCCTTATCTCCTTCTTTTGACAAGCTTACCCGGGTGTTTAGAACAATGATACGTGTTTTCCTCTGCTTTTAGTTTACTGATGGTTTTAATCTCTCTGAATGTTTCGAATTATTGTTGTTAATTGTTTTTCTTGACAATCTTATTGTTCTACCTTTTCCGTAAGCTGCTTTGAGGTTGTTATTGTTGTTTACAACCAAGCGGTGTGTAAAATGGGTGAAACAATAAAAGAAAATGAATATTGTATTTCATTGTATTTGCAGTTTGAATTCTGCAGAATGCAATAAAATGCAAATATATGTGAGAAGCAATACAAATACTATTAGGAACCACCTAGCATCCAGCACTGTACATTATAGAGACATTTGTTAAGGGTTTGCCAAGACCCTCAGCCATTTTCAAGAGGTCTGGGGGTGGGGAAGAGGGGGAGGTTTCAGGGGCCATGTTGCACGCAGCTTTTTCTTGTGCCTAAAGCCGCCTTGAATGCTTCTCTAGGGAGACAGGATATACAGCATTTTTCGCTCTATAGGACGCACTTTTTCCCCTCCCAAAATTAAGGGGATATGTTTGTTCGTCCTATGGAATGAATGCAGGCTCCTTGGCTTCAGCAATAGCAACACGAAGCCTCCGAAGCGCAGAGGGAGTGCTCCCTCTGCGCTCCGGAGGCTACACGTTGCTTTCGCTGAAGCCTGGAGAGCGAGAGGGCTCGGTGCGCACCGACCCCTCTCGCTCTCCAGGCTTCAGGGATAGCCGCCTGAAGCCTTTAGAGTGCAGCGGGACCTCACGCTGCACTCCAAAGGCTTCGGGTTCCTTTTGCTAAAGCCGGGAGAACAAGACTTTCCTGGCTTCAGCAGAGAGGGAGAGCTGCGCAGCGCCCCTTCAGCGAAGCGGGAGGAGAAATGGAAGGGGCTCTGTTTCTCCTGCTGCTTCGCTGAAGGGGCGCTGAGCAGAGAGGGGGAGATTTTTTTTTTCTTGTTCTCCCCCTCTAAAACAAGGTGCGTCCTATGGTCGGGTGCGTCCTATAGAGCGAAAAATACTGTAAGTTTTGAAAGGAAAGAGATGAACCGCCACAGAGTACGCCTGCTAACCCTTTCTTCTCCCTCCCCGTTTTCTCTCGCGTTCCAGCTGAGCCCGTGCGGCCGATCGACCCCGCCGCCTGGATCTCTCATACCACGGCCCTGACGGGAGCGTACCCCCGTTACGGTATGAGCCCCTCCATGAGCACCATCACCTCTACCAGCTCCTCACTAACAAGCTCAATTCCCGATTCGGAAAGTAAGTCACACTGCCGCCAGGACCGGGCAGGTTATTTCCTCCTGCGCAGGGCTGGCAGTGTAGAGCCAAACAAACAAAACTCCAAACAAAAGACACACACACACAAAAGAAACCCCAAAAGCAAAAGAGCTCCAGCAACAACAATGCTGTGGGGAGCATAAAACTTGTTTTCCCTCCACCCATGGCCGTCCAAAACCCGGAAGGATAAGGTTGTCAGCAGCTGTGAGGCCTCGGCGGCTGTGATTTACCTCTGCTGTAGGAGGCAGGAGGCCTCTGAATGTCAGGTGCTGGGTATTGAGTGTTGGGAGAGCTGGTGATCCTCTCAGGGTCCTGTTTGCAGGATTCCCAGTTGGGCATCTGGTTGGATGCTGGGCTAGATGGGCCATTGCTCTGATTCAGTTTCAGGGCCCTTCTGATGTCCTTATTAAAGGACATTTGCTTATTTGCTAGGGGACTAGCAAATTCACAGGGCATAAGGCTGTCACCGTCTATTAACCACAGTGGCTAGAGAGTTGCTGGACCAGAAAGGACTCAGCAGAACTCTTCTTACATTAGTAAAGCACAGGCCTGGGGCGAATTTTCTTTTTTCTTTCATTTTACCATTCAAATATCTTCGCCTTTTCGAACGGCTTCTAGCCCTTCACACCCAAACTTCTTCCTCCAAGGAACTCAAGGTGGTGTACATGGTTCACAACAACCCTGTGAGGTAGGTTGGGCTGGGAGACAGAGACTGGAGCAACGTCACTCAGTAAGCTTCATGCCCAAGGGAGGAGGGATCTGAACCCTGGTCTTCCAGGTCCTATTGAAGCACTCGAACCGCTACCCTACACTGGATAGTGGTGTGGAGATGGGCATACTTTGGGTTGGAGGGCTATTGCCCAACCCTCCCTCCCACTCCAAAAAAACCTGCTATAGGTACCGGTTGAAGCCTCGAAGTCCTTTACAGTACCATCCTGCAGAGAGAAGAGAAGGGGCATAGCTCAGTGGTAGAGCATCTGCTTCACATGCAGAAGGTTCCAGGTTTGATCCCTGGCATCTCCAGGTAGGGCTAGAAACCTGGAGAGCAGCTGCCAGTCAGTGCTGGCTGAACTGAGCTAGCTGGACAGCTTCCTGTGAAGATCAGCAAAAAAAAATATCTGACTTTGCCTTTATTTTAGCCAAAGCAGCCTTCTCCAACTTGGCGGTCTCTGTGCTGGATGGGGCTGCTGAGAGTTGTGGTCCAAAATGCCTGGAGGGCGCCAGGTTGAGGAACACTGATCTGAAGTCCCCTGCCCCTGGCACATGCCTGCACTATTCTGTGCATACTTGAGATGGTTAGAGCCTTTGGCTGTCTGCCGACAGCTTGCCGCTGGCTGCTGTGACATTCTTTGCATTCTTTTGGGGAGATAGCGATGTGAGACCCTCTCACAATCGAGTTGCTGGAGTAAGGACTACTAGGATTTAAAAAAAAAAAAATCTACAGCAAAAATTGGCGGTCAGGTTTCCTAAAGGGGATCCGTGGAAGGACGGAGGAGGCTTCCCCCACAGATAACGTTTTAGGCTGACACCACCCAGACGTTAGAGACCCTTGTCATGCGGTTCTGAGGGTCTTTTTCAGTGGATTTAAATAGGCTGCTTGGCTTTTACAAGCCTCTTCTCAGCTGGCTCCAAAGGGGAGACGAGCAAACTATGGCATTCATTTCCAGAAGATGTAGAGATGATGATGGCTGCCAACGTGGAGGGCAGCTTGAATTCTATCAGTGGCTACTAGCCATGACAGCTCTGTTCTCTTGCTACTGTGAGAGAGTTGCTGCTCTGTAGGAACCAAAACAGGCAGCTGCAGTCTTTCCATCTCCACGTGGTTTCTGCTCTGGTCTTGTCAGTCTCCTACGCACACACACACACCTGGACACACCAATACATAAACCCCTCACAATGGGCTCTCCCCGTTTATTGCTCCCCACACATTCAAATCGGAACGTTGTCAAACCCAAACCGCAGGTTGCTTTCCTCGCTACTAACCAAACTAACTTCCTGCCAAAGCCAAACGGTGCCGCAGAGCACCTGGCAAGAATTGGTTGCAAATGGGACCCAGGAGCCTTTGTGGGTAAAACAGCAAGTGGTGGATGATGATGTTCTTCTGGTGTCGCAAGGGGGTGCATGGCCTGAATCTCTGTGTTCCCAAGCCTTCCTTCACCACGCACTTTCCTCCCCCTTTTCTGACAGATGACATAAGCATGGAAAAATAAGTGGATCCCGAAGTTTCTGTGGGAAATGAACTGGGTCTTAATTCAGTGCTGTAGCTCCATTAAAAAATAAAATCCAGACATGTTCCGGTAGTGCAGCTTCGCCAAGCTGATGCCCTCCAGATGTTTTGGACTGCAACTGTCATCAACTCCAGGGTCTCTCTCTCCTCTTTTCTCTCTCTCCCCTGCCAACTCCCCTCTTCCCTATTTGTTTGTTTCTCCCCCCCTTCTCTGTCCCAGGGACTGATGGGAGTTGTAGTCCAAAAATTCTTGAGGGCAGCCTCCCTGGGTGCCTAGATGGCTCCACCCACCCTGGCACCCCATTGGTCTCCCTGCTGGCCTGATAGAGTTATAAAAGCTTCTGGTTCAATCTTGACTTTTTAGTCTGGGGCAATTGCCAGGTTGGCCTTGACTGCCTTGGCTTCTATCCTTGATTCTTTCCCCCCTCTTCGTTTTCTGGGTTCTCCCCCAAATAAATACATATTTTTTCCCTCCACAAAACTAGCCTGTTAGAGAGAAGGGCTCTTCTCCCGGACATGTGAGTTTTCCATATGCAGGGATTTGTTTTCACTTGCGCAGAGAGGGCGTTCAAACGTGTGAGCATCTCTCTCCTTCAGGTGAAGTGGTATAGCCCAGCAAGGTGGTACAGCCCGGGGGCAGGTTGAGAGCAGGTCACTAGGCCAGAACGGCAGTTTGACGTGACTCTAGTCAGCCCCTCCCCATGCCGTCCCCACACCTTTCATTACCAAGGAAGTGCCCTTAGTGACACCATCACTTTTAATCTGGAATACTTCACTTGTGAACACCCTTAAAGTGGGGCTGTAAGTGATAAAGATAGATAGAAGTATCTCAAATATACTTCTTCAGCTAGTGTAGTTTCACATCCAATTTATATAATAATAATAATAATAATAATAATAATAATAAATAATTAATAATAATGGGAAGACAGCCTAAATTACATAAAAAGGCCAGATACATGTGTCATTCACAGAATGCAGTTGTGCAATAGAATTCAGGTCTCTGACATGAAATTTTGATAAACAGAGATATAGATATCCTCCCCAATAAAGCACCAAGTATCTGCAGTACAGGCACTTCAATTTGAAATTTCTCTCACATACACCCTGGCTAATCTCCTTTTTAGACAAGGTTCTCTATTAAAAGCAAGAGATTTCAATTAAATTTATTTGGACGCTCAAGAGACTTTGGTGCCTGTAGGGGGAGATCAAAATAATGACACCCGCCCCCTTCTTGCTGGCCTCCATGCTGTCTGTTCTTCAGTACAAGCCATGCCGAAATGAAGAGAAGCCACACAGGATTTGCCAGTATAGTCTTCAGGCCTGGGCCTGAGGTGTTTGGGTACCTGAAGGAGGAGGCCCAGCTGCTGCTAATTCACTTCCCTAAGGCTGGAAGTTCACAAACAAGAACTTTCCACTGGATTTTTGGGTGGCTTTGAATAGAAAATGGCCCCTCTCTTTTCCTTTTTTGTTAGCCTTGTTCTGAGGGGGAAGAAAATGCTGGTTTGTGGCAGCCTGATGCCAGTCCCACTCGGAGCAGACCCATAGAAGATAATGGATGTGACTACCGTAGGTTCATTCATTTCAATGGGCCTCCTCTGGACATAACTGAGTTGGAAGCAACTCAGCATCATGATGGGTAACATGAAAATGAGGGGAACAGATCCTGAAGCTGAGGCTCCAATACTTTGGCCACCTCATGAGAAGAGAAGACTCCCTGGAAAAGACCCGATGTTGGGAAAGATTGAGGGCACAAGGAGAAGGGACAACAGAGGATGAGATGGTTGGACATGAGTTTGACCAAACTGCGGGAAGCAGTGGAAGACAGGAATGCCTGGCGTGCTCTGGTCCATGGGGTCACAAAGAGTTAGACACAACTAAACAACAACTACAACCACAACACCCTGCCACCACAGCCTCCACCTGTGATAGGTTTCACAGCTCATGCAAAGTATTGCCAGAATAATCCCTTTCATCATTCTGAGGGGGGAAATGGTGGCCTCGGGCAGCTATCATTTCTCTCCCAGAATCACCTCAGAACTGCTCCATGTCATGATGTAGGTTTGTAATGAAAGGTAGTCTCCTGCTGCCCTGATCAGCCCCCATCAGCAATGAGTTTCACATTTCAGCCAAAGTACTGCAGAAACAATGCCTTTCTTGTTTATCGCCTCCAAATGAAGCGGACAAAATGGAGGGGACCAATTTTCCTCAAATCCTGTCTACTTCTCTCTTGCTCAGCTGAAGTTCATTTCAGTTAGGCTTGCGCAGGAGGAGTTGCTGGCTGATTTTACCTCATGGTCAGGTCCTTCTCTTTCTCTGCAACCTCCACGCTAAAATCCCCACCTCAGCTTTCCCTATGGCAGGGCTGTCCTTGCGTAAAACTGCTCCCCCCTCCCCCCGCTTTCCCTCTCGGCCTCCATCCATTCCTTGTTTCCTTTATAGCAACATCTCTGTCTGCTCTTCCTTTTTTTCCAGAGCTGGACGAATCCCCTTTAACTGTTAAAAGCGACATGGCCACCATTGTCAAGGTTATGCAGTTGTCGGATTCTGGCCTTGAGATACGGGACAGGATGTGGTTAAAAATTACCATCTCCAATGCAGTAATAGGTGAGTGACTCCTGCTTCTGAGGCTGGGGGTGGGAGAGAAGGTACCTTACTAAATTGAGGTTTTCTTTTTTGCCGCTGATGATGTTCGCTTGTGTGGGTGCTTATGAAGGAACTAACCAAACCAGGTTTCACCATCATGGTGCCCTTCAGATGCTGCTGGACTCTGGCTCCTATCATCCTTGACCAGTGGCCATTCCTGGCTGGGGCTGATGGGAGTTGTAGGCCAGGGAAGGCTGAGTTGGGCCAATGGAATTCCAGCATACAGTGATGTCAACTCTGGCGGCAAAATATTCCCTTTCCTGTTCTGGATTACGGTTTGTGCCACTTTGCTACCCTGCCAGCTTGGATGAGGAATTGTGAATTACTGTCACAGCTTGTGTGTTTTTTCCCCGGAACAGGGAGGGAGTGAACATAGCAGTTGGGCTAGATGACCCTTGGCAGTCCCTTCCAACGCTACAATTTTATGATTCTATGACGGTGTAGCATGAGACAGCCTTTACTTGCTGGGGCTCATGGGATTTGTAGTCCAAAACAACTGGAGGGCACCAAGTTTGCACAAGAGCATGGGGCAGTGCAAATGTAATGCAGCCCATCCTTTAACCACAGGTAGTGAGCAGCCTCCACTCCTCCTCCTCCTCCTCCTTCTCCCACTTCAATTCTTCCCACTCTTCCCCATCACAGTTAAGGGTTTTGTCAACAGCACCAGCCATAACTCTGGTTAACAATAGCTGGGGTCCATGGTAACCAGGGCTTGAAAGTATGGTTGGCAAACTATGGTTTCAAGGAGGGAGCATAGCACCAGCTACTACTCCCACTTATTCTGTTGTGTATTTATCTGAAACATGTTTTCCTCAGTAGCTTTAAGCAATCTGCATACTCTCTGCCAAACCAGATTTGGCTACATAATGATATCATTGAGAGAAGAAGAAGAAGAGGAGTTTGGATTTGATATCCCGCTTTATCACTACTCTAAGGAGTCTCAGAGCAGCTAACAATCTCCTTTTCCCTTCCTCCCCCACAACAAACACTCTGTGAGGTGAGTGGGGCTGAGAGACTTCAGAGAAGTGTGACTAGCCCAAGGTCACCCAGCAGCTGTATGTGGAGGAGCGGGGAATCGAACCCGGTTCACCAGATTACGAGTCCACCGCTCTTAACCACTACACCACACTGAGCAAGCGAGGGCAATGGGGACTGAAAGCAAGTGAGGGCACAGGCAATGTAAAATAAACAAGTTGTCATTTTTACCAGGAGTGCCGGTTTGGGTGGGTGGGGGTGGAATTACCAAATTGGTGGTGCTTTCCCCCCTTTGACTACTCCCCTTGCTGTTTGCAGGAGCGGACGTGGTCGACTGGCTTTACACGCACGTGGAGGGCTTTAAAGACCGAAGGGAGGCCCGGAAGTACGCCAGCAGCATGTTGAAACATGGCTACCTCAGGCACACTGTGAACAAAATCACGTTCTCAGAGCAGTGCTACTACGTCTTTGGTGATCTCTGCGGCAGTAAGTCCCCCTCCTTACGCCCTTTGGGGAAGGGTCTGATCAGCAATGGCTTTCCCAGGTCTCAAGTCCTTCCCAGCCCCAGCTGAAGATACCAGATATTGAACCTGAGACCTTTTGCATGCAAATCACATACTCTGCCCCTGAGCCATATTGTTCTGTGTGTCTGCGCCATCATGGAAGTTCTTTTCTCCTTTCCGTCTCCAGATCTGGCTGCACTGAACCTTAACAATGGTTCCAGCGGAGCTTCAGACCAAGACACCCTGGGCCCCCTCCCGCACCCGGCCACGCCTTGGCCCTTGGGGCAAGGCTATCCTTACCAATACCCCCTTGCCCCTCCGTGTTTCCCGCCGGCCTACCAGGACCCAGGCTTCAGCTATGGGAGCGGCAGCGCAGGGAGCCAGCAAAGCGAAGGTAGGTTCTCTGGCGTGTGCATCCCCCTTCCATGATTTCCATTCCTGCTGGCCGTTTGCTTAGGTCTTCCCTCTCCCCAACCCCTTGGTTTTGTTTTCCTCTCTCCTCTTCTCATGACTCCCTTTGTCTATCATGCATGGAATCGGTTTCTTTCTGCTGCAACGTGAAGGAATGATTGTTTTAAACGAGCTGCCTGCATAGATTCGGTGGCCTGGTTCACATTAGATGGCAAGCCAAGCTGTGGTTTAGCATATGTGAGTTAGAGGCACAGGTTCCTGGAGTGAAGATCCCAGCCACAGCAGTCCTCTCCTGATACTGCTGCACTGCCTGGAGCTAAGCCATGGTTTTGGTGTATATGGTTTGTCTTGCTGCAGACAAACCACAAACTCTAACCAAGGTTTCTTTGGCATTTACCACTTGTGCTTTGTCTGAAGTGAAACAAACCATGAGCCCAGGCTTGAACATAACACTAAGTCAAACCATAGCTTAGCCCCAGGTAGTGTTGTTGCAATAGTAGAAAAACAACTACCAAACTTTTAGAAGGCAGCACTGTTTAGGGAAGCTTTTAATGTTTAATAGGTTATTGTATTTCAGTGTTCTGTTGGAAGGCGCCCAGAGTGGCTGGGGAAACCCAGCCAGATGGGCGGGGTATAAATAATAAATTAGTAGTAGTAGTAGTAGTAGTAGTAGTAGTAGGGAGGAGTTCAGTGGCCATGATTTTAGCCCAGAGAACCCATATGTTTGTATGCTCATGCTAAGCCATAGTTTGGCTCAACATTACCTGCAAACTGTGTCAGGGTCTCAGCTTTCTAGAGGAGGGAGTAGAGTTGTGTTGCCTATGTTGATGGCCAGATACAAACCATAGCAGGATTAAAAAACACCCACTGATAGCGTTAGTATTATATGTTGTTAGGCTCCATGCAAAAATTAAAACAGTCCCTGTCCATGGGCCTGATTATAATCTAAAGCAAACATTCACAGCGGAGTCAGTAATTTAACATTTCATATCTAAAAATAAGCATTATTTTTGGTAATGACAGATCAGCTCTGAAAAACAAAACAAAAGGTGAGGTGGGGGGGGGAGAGAAAGGGAACCTGGATATTCTGGCTGTCGCCTGTCCAGCCTACCACATTCCTGTCCAACAAAGACTTATTTAAGTTTAGTTGCTGAAACAGTGAGTTGGGCTGCTTTTTAAGGTTGCATCTGCATCATTTAGAAAATATTTTGAACTTTGCGCGGTGAATTTGTGCAGCCACAGAGAATGCCTTCTCCCAAGCCAATGCCACCTTGAACTTCTGAGGGCAGTGGAAGTGCCAAGCCACACTCACTCTGCCTGCTGTGTTTAACACCTGAGAAGGGTCTGTAGGGAATGTTTGGGACCTAAGTCATTTATACCTCCTCATTTAAGCATCTGAAGAACGGCCTTGGTAGGAGACTGTACTAAGCAGGTTGCTATGAGGCGAGGTGTCCTTTCTTGAATGCACAGGTGCAAGGGCTATGCTATATTAGGCGCAAAGATATCTGGGAAAGTGGGAGCAGAGAGCATGATGGGGGTAGTGTGTTGCTTTTCCCTTCACCACCTTCTGCCTAATAGTGCATTGCTGCTGTGGCTGCTGCAGTTGTGTGTCATTTCACTTGAAGCTTTCCCCCCTTTTCTTTTGTAACTGTTATTCCCTTGTTTTGTCCTGAGCAAGCATTAGACTGAAGGATTCATAAAGGAATGGCTGGGACTGGTAAGCGTCTCACACACCTCCCTTGAAAACTGATATTATTGCTTCATATATAGCATGATCATCTAGATTCTTGTGTCTTCCCCCATTCTGAAACTCTTAGCGTGTCTCTCCTCCCCATGCTCTTCACTCTGCCCCTCTGTCCTTTTTGTTTCCTTTTGAATTATCCTGGGCTGCCCAGCCATCTGAGCTGGGACAGCCTGCAGAATAGGAAGCAAAGCTTTCACTGGAGAGTTTGGCTGGAGTTTCCCCAGTGCTGATCAGCAGATTGCAGTTTACAGGGTGTCAGATTCAGTTAAAGGTAAAGGTAAAGGTCTATTAGGTCCAGTCGTGACCGACTCTGGGATTGCGGCGCTCATCTTGCTTTATTGGCCAAGGGAGCCGGTGTACAGCTTCCGGGTCATGTGACCAGCATGACTAAGCTGCTTCTGGCCAACCAGAGCAGCGCACAGAAATGATGTTTACCTTCCTGCTGGAGCGGTACCTATTTATCTACTTGCACTTTGACGTGCTTTCGAACTGCTAGGTTGGCAGGAGCAGGGACCGAGCAACGGGAGCTCACCCCGTTGCAGGGATTCGAACCGCCGGCCTTCTGATCGGCAAGTCTTAGGCTCTGTGGTTTAACCCACAGCGCCACCCACATCCCTCAGATTCAGTTAGTAAGCAGGAATTGCTGAAGTTCTTCAGGACCTTGGAGAGCTCCACTGTGAAACAGACATTGCTTTTGATGGAGATTTGAGCTCAACTGAGCAGCTAGATGACAAAACTTAGAGCTCTAGATCTGCTCCCAGTCTGAGAGCTAGCGGGAATTTAAGGGGACAGAATGCTACCTTCTGAAACGTCACACATTCCAGATGACATCTGTTTTCTCTTCTTTATTGAGGAGTGATGGTCGATAAAGGGCTAGAGCTGCAGATCCTAGAGTCCTTTCTTGTGGAGTGTACATACTCAAACACACACACAAACTCTTTCTCTAGATCAGCCTTTCTCAACCTGTGGGTCCCCAGATGTTGGACTACAACTCCCATCATCCCTAGCTAGCAAGGCCAGAGCTCAGGGATGATGGGAGTTGTAGTCCAACAACATCTGGGGACCCACAGGTTGAGAACCGCTGCTCTAGATGGTTCACAGAATGCTCTTCCCATGGTCTGGATCTTTGGCTAGCTTGAGGGCTGTTGGACTGTTGAGATAAGCTTCTGCTATCTCAGGCATCAAAGATGGAGAACTCATTGTTCTTCCCTTGCCTGTGTGTGTGTTTTAATACAATATTTCGGATACCTAAGTACACAGAATAACTTCTTGCAGCTTGCAATGAATCTCTGCATGAAAGCAACTGCAGCCAAATACAAACTGTGTGCGTGCCTGGTCAGCAGCTATGCTTCCTGGAAAGCCACTTTTGAGTCTTCTAATAGCAAACTTGGATGGTGAGTGCCAACAGAACTGTAGCTAAGATGAGGCCGCTCAGAAACAAGAGGGAGGTATTGGTACATGCAGAGGTATCCCAAGGATTGCAGAAGTACCAAAGACCAAACCAGCCACCCCACACATCAAAAGCAAACAAACAACTTATGAGGGCAAATCCTCCAAGAGACTTGCATGGCCTTGAAGACTGAGCATGCTCCGCAGTCATGCAACATAGAGTGTCCGTTGGAGAAATGTGGAAGGCCACGCTTAGAGGGAGCGGCCGGCTGGAACCCTGAACCCAAGCAGGGCTTTTAGGAGGGAGAATACAGTGCAGCATTTGATTACAGGTCCCCACTTCGGATTTCAGGACATTTCGAAATAAACATTCGTGTGAATCTTTCTGCAGGGTTGCTTTTCGTTATTGTTACGAAACAGAATGCACCCTTTGCCTTTGCTTTTTTTTTTTTTTACCCAAGCTTGTTCCCCCCCCCCCAAAAAAATTATCACTTCTCCTTTTTGAAAATGTTGCTGCGTTGCTTCTACGAGGCTTTCAGTGTGGTTTCTGGACATCCATGCATGACAAAAAGTTACACCCGCTTCTGCCCCGGCAGTTGTGCTCACCCGAGTCCTGTAGCCATCCATCGCATGCGAACCTCGTGCGGGACCTACTGCTTCATCTGTTATTTCTTCGCTGCTGATCGGCAGGCGCCGGTCGGAAGCGTGGGCGACGTGCCACTTGCGTTTCTTTCCCCTTTCACTGACCCCCTTCCCTTTCCTTTCCCTTCCCTCCTTCCCCCCAGGAAGTAAAAGCAGCGGCTCTAACCGAAGCAACAGCGAGAAAAGCCGGAGGACCCTGGCTCGGGATAAGGACCGCAAGTCAGCCGGCAGTGGCAGCGAATCGGATCCTACTGCCCGGAGCGGGGTAGCAGGGAGCGTCCTTCGGCGCGAGCGGCCGGCCAGCCAGCTCAGCCATCTCAGCCACCACAGCCGCGCCTCTGCTGCCCCCAGCGAGAGGAGCCCACACAGCCGCCATTCGCACGGGCCTCCGGGCGTTCCTCCGCTCTGCAGCCTCCCCAAGCTGGGCCCCAAAGTCTATGGGACAAGTGGGCCCCCTGGGGGTCCCCCCGTGCGGGAACTCGCCTCCGTCCCCCCCGAGCTGACCGGCAGCCGCCAGTCGTTCCAGAAGGCCATGGGCAACCCTTGCGAATTCTTCGTTGACATTATGTGAACAAGAAGTGCCTTCAAAAGACTCTTGTGCGGAGGGTTTGTTTTCTTGGGGTTCCTTTTTTAAGTTTGCAAATTGACGCTGGAAAAGAAATAGGGGTGGAGACAGAGAGATTGGGGGGGCGGGGGGAGAAACTATTTGGACTGTCCTTTGCATGTCACGCCTTCCTGACTCTTGATGTTTGCAAGCAAACGAGGAACAGAAATCCTGGAAACTTAGATATCTGCAAATCAGTGGAATCTTTTTCTTCTTCTTTTTTAATTCTCCTTCTGCTTCCCCTACCCTGACCAATGTGATTGATTGGTGTTCTCTTCACATACCCTAATGAGCTTTGGTATCTGTGGCATCCTCTCCCCAGTGCAATTATACTGTGTTCTCAATCAAGAAATAGCATTTTATATAGTGCTTTTAAAAAGCAACAACACACAATTCTCCAGTCATGCATATTTGCACCTTCTTTTGTTTTTTGTTTTTAAAAAATGTTCTGGTTACTTTATTTCCATCTGGGGGTGGGGGGACCTTTCTTCTTTTGCTATGAAAAGGACAGTGCTAGCCAGTAGCCATAAAATCTAAGGTGTGTCTGCAAGTGGTGCATTATGGGAGTCCTGTATCCAATCATAAGTGAAGATCTGGCTCTGTGCCAAGGTTTTGCTTCCTTTCTTCATTTTACTATTCAGGCCTTGTTTGCACGCTACATGGTGCCTGGATCTACACCATGTGATTGCCCTAAAAAGCGGGGAAATAACTCACTTGGTAGAGAGTTGGGCACTTTGTGCTTCTCCCTCCATGCACTTCTTCAGGTTTGAATTGTGCACTGGACTTCTCCGAACCATGAAACTACGAAGTGTCTGCCAGTTACCACAAGCAGCTGGGCCAAGAGGTCTCCTGTCCACCTTGGGCAAGTCCTGCTCCTGCCTCCATTGTTTGCTCACGCTCCCTGTTTCTTGTTTTTCTCTGCTAAAGGGAACAAGGAGATCCATCTCTCAGCTCTGCTCTCTTCTCTGTGGCATCAGCTGCTAGCATTTGCTTTCCCCCTGCACTGAAGGCAAAAGCAGCTGATGCCAGAGAAAAGGGATTCAGTGTCCAGCTTGCTTTCTGTATAAGAAAGCAGGAATAAATTCAACTTGGCCTTTCATTACACCCAGTGGCTTTTCATCTAAGCGTTTGCAAACAGCAAAATCTGACTCTGGTTACATACCCAATTTAAAACGACAGCACTGTTAAAAATAAATGTGACAGCGACTGTCACATACCATTAGAAGCTGATACACACAAGAGTCACGTGGGGCTGACAGACATTTCCGTTACCACCTGCTTCCAAATTTGTATGCAGGGTAGAGGGGAAAATAGCTACCTGTTCAGTAACTTTAAGCATCAAAATGCACCAGTGCATCAGAGACAATTACATACTTGTGATTTGTTAAGAATATAGAATGACCCCAGGACCACCTTGAAGGATTCGTAAGGTTGGAGAGGCATCCCTCAGGAATACTGCAGTGATGGGATACATACCCTGTTTAGAGATGGCATTGGACTCAAGTGGTCCCAGTCCTTCGATGGGAAGCTTGAAATGCCAATCAGATGTAGCTGTTTGTGTTCTGACCAGTGCCAAGCAAAATACGGACTTACGGCTTGAGCAATTCCCCATATCTGTGTCATAGACCTGCCACCCAAATGAGAATGGGAAGCAGGGGTTGTGTGTCACTTGATATACTTTCCTTCACTCTGTGGTTGACCTAGGTCAGGGACAGAGAATCAGCAGCCCTCCAGATATTGTTGGACTACAACTCCCATCATCCCTGATGTTGGCCATGCTGGATGGGGACTGATGGGAATCAGGCTCTGAAGAACTCCGGTGGGACACAGGTTCCGCAGCCTTGCCCTAGATAATGGTGGATCCTTTTTGAAATTTAGGATTACAAAGTGGGTTGCTTAGCACTTCTTCATGATCTCTTTCAAAAACCTGTACAATGTATGTGGATGTTTGAGGTTACTACTGTCTTGCAATAGATTGAAATAGTGAAAATCACTGAGTGAATGAACTTGAATAAGCTGGCTTTCCCTTAGGAGGGAAACCACTTAAACTTTGCCCAACCATGTTACTGTTTGGACAGTTTCACATCTCCCTGGTGCTGTTTTCACTTCTCGTTCTGGAGCAGGGATGGGTGAAATCTGTGGTCTTCCAGGTGTTGCTGGACTCCAGCTCTCACCAGCCCCAGCCAGCATGGTCAGAGATGGCAGATGTGGTTCAGCAACATCTGGAGGGCTACACTTCCCCCATTCTCGTCCTGGAGTGACAACCAGCTGTCGTTCTTGTTCTGCATCTCTGCTGGGCTATTGTTGTAGCACTTCATATAAATGATGGGCATGAACTTCCAAGATTGCCACCAAAGAAGATCAAAAACAGACATAAAATTTTAAGCGTGGTGAGAGTGGTTTTGAAAACCTGTGGGGGTTTTTTTCTGACATGAAAGCATACATACATACATACATACATTTTCCTGCATCTATGAACAAAGGCCACAAAACCACCAAGAACAAACCAGTTCTAGAAACATTGGAGAAAAGTGTGGTCGGTGCCTATCGGTTAGTACCCACTAGTGACACCATGATCACACAAACACACCTCAACTTTGTAAAAATATTCCTGACTCTCTTTTGGAGAGGTGAGTAAAGTGAAAGGTGGACAAGTATTGAACATTATGTGAGCACTGCTTAAAAAATAAATTGCAGAGCCAAAATGCCCACCTGATGCTTCAGTAAGATGGACAAGGTATAGTGTTGATACAGTATTTGACCGGCATGGAGTGTCCATGTTCTAGGCAAATGAGAAAGGTGAGATGCAACCCCCAGGTTTACAAGTTGTTGCATTCTCTGTCACATGTATTTTATCTGTTTTCGCCCTATTTGTTTCTTCCGGGCGATTTGAGATTTGAGCACTTAACTTGACCATTGGTTTTATAAGCTGTGTTGATAGCACTGAGCCAGCAGTACTTCCCATTGTGTGTACTGTGTGCAAGCTGGCCTGTCTCTTATAGCTTGCTCATCAGGAGGAAAGGGGGGGGGACTGGCCTTCTCATTCCACATCCGTCCATCCCCCTCCCCAAATACTCATGTGGACTGCTGGCTGTCTTCTGTGAGCCCCCCCCTTTCATTTTTAAATGAGTGTTTTCCTGTACTTTGAGCTACAGCATCCACAGTCTGGCCTGGCTCAAATGCTGGCGGATCGCTGGACTTCAGAAATGAGAATGTTTTGCACATAGCAGCAAGCTTTTTGAAGTGTCAGAAATGTTGGTCTTTACCATTTTTTTTTAAAGTCCTTTGCAGTCCTTGGACTGGTTGTAAGAAAGAGATATATGCAGGTGGATTGAAGGCATCTGAAGTTGGTGGGGCAGTGCCCCATATGTCTTCATGAACTAGCTTCTACTGTGCATGAGGGTGAATGAACCCAGTACTGCCCTCCTCCCGGGTTTGGCTTGGTCATTTTGTGTTCCCACTCTGGGAAATGTAGCTCTACAGTAGGGAATGGGAGGGTCTCCTAACAACACACCCCTTAAAAACTACAGCTCCCAGAATTCTGTGGGGGAAGCTATGCCTGTCTACAGTGGTATCATAGTGCTTTGAATGTATGGTGTGGATGTGGTCTTTCCTGTACCCACCACCCACCCTCACTTCCGCATCACTTAATGGTTTTGCTGACTTCCAGTCCACATGCTTATGTTTTCAAGCTCGGCTTCTCAACGATGAGAGCTAGAACTTCTTAAAAATGCTTTTTAAAAAGCTGAGCGAGAATGCAGAATTCTATGATCTACAAAACATGGCTCACTTGCTTGGCAGTTGAATATAGATGGCTGTGCTTATCAATGGACAGGAAAAGGTGCAATTGCTACTATAACAAACTTCTGCAGCAGAATAAAATTGCTAGCACTGAAATTTCCAAACTGGGCTGGAGCCGTTTGGATGGCTACTTGTGTGGCGAGAAATAAATTAACTAAAATAATTAAGCGTGTTAATGTTTCTTGGCGTCATATGAGCAAATGTACATTGTCAAAGAGTTCCTGTAGCAGCCCGCAGGACTCGCCGGAGGAGGAGGGTGCTCACTGGCTATGTGTGAGTTGCCGCTTTTGGCTTCCTTCCTTCCCATCAGCCTCCACTGGTCTTGGGGCATTGATCCATACACTTAATTGACAGAGGCAATTGCCCAAACCCAGTGGAGGCTGATGAGAAAGAAGTAAACTAAGACTACTGACTCATCCAGAGATACGATGGGGAGCCTCGGAAGGCAAATAACTTGTGCATTGGAAGTGGCTTCTTGATCCACACACCTAATGGAGAAATGCCATTGCAGAGCTCACTGCTTTTGGCTGAGGATGCCTGTTGCATCTCTGGATGAGAAAGATCTCGGCTTTCCTCCTTCCAAATAGCCTCCATTGGGAGCATGTCATTTTGGTGCATCTCCGCATACAGCGTCTAGCTCCCAAAAAGGAGAGGCAGCAGAACTGGCCTGCTGTCATGGGAGGTTGCCTCGTATGTATCTGCATAAGCTGCTGTTCTGGGCTTTTCTTTTGAATTAGGAGGAACACCCACATCGTAGATAGAATTGTAGAGTCAGAAAGGGACCCCAAATGAAGAGTCACTTAAAAACAAAGCTTTGGGCCATGGTGAGAGTGACTGCCGCTTTCTGCCAGCTTGTATTAAAAATAATAATAATAGACGGAAGCATCACAGCTATCAGAAATTTGGACAAGGCTGTGTTAGCACTTCTACTTGGGGGTCATGTGGAATAGCCTCTATATGTTTCGGTTTCCTCTTTCCATTTTGTGTGTGTGCGGGTGTAAGTTAAAAATGTCAAGCCAGTCAAAATGACAAAGTGTTATCAGGTCTGTGCTTTTGGATGTGGTGGCAATGGCATGCTTTGTGAGAAAGGCTGTGACATTATAGTGACAATCGTGAGAACGGTTCTGCTTTTTTGCAATCACCTGCTTACTCTGCCCAACACACAC